GAAAGCAGGGCCCAAACTCCGGAGTACCACGACAAAATAGTGGAGGTCTATCTCTTCTGGCTTCGAAAATAAATGTCGTAACAGCTTCTTGATACGGAACACAAGAACCGTACAGGATGTATTTTCACTTTATCCTCGTTTCTGGCACATGTGTTGGAAAAAAACGTATTTAAATTCATACATTGAGAGAGAATTCTTCTAAATCATCTGTATTTCCCGCCAAAGCGACCAGTGAATAGGGTTTGATTTTTATCCTGAACGTAAATTTCAGTGGTGAATCCATGGAGGCGAACTTGGTTAGAGGGCATGACAGAGCCTATTACATCACAGGTTTAACGTGAAATTTAACATTTTGCTTTAGATCCAAAATACGCGAATAATTCAAGTTGTTGGAAATACCAATAATATATAGACGCGGACTTGCCATCTTTACAGTGTTCGAGCACACAGTTCTAACAGGGCATCTTGCCCTTCCATCTTTCTAGCTGCCTGATATAATGTAAACAAATAAGGTGGCCCCACACTAGCTCGATATCTCGTCGACACTAGACGCTTGTTTAAATGGTCCTATACTAGCTTAACATCCCGTCAACACTTACCAGGTTAGTTCGACATCCCGTCGACACTAGCCCCTTTAGCTCAAGTTCGATCTGTCATATTTTGTCGCCCCTAATGTCTTGGTTCTCCCATAGTGTGAGAAAATATTTTGCAATATGCCCAACCCTCGTATATGCATGTAAAAAAGCTCTTATTTTGCTCTCATAGACTCCCTTCACAGAAAAATACACTTATAGTAACTCCGAAAATACCAATTTATTTTCCTCAGGGTACATTATTTTTTAATGGCACTAACCATATCCTTTTTATACAATGGGCTACAGCACGGTTCGTAAAAGAAGCATTGAGGTGGCTGACAAAGATCACTTCTCTAACTAATAGTAAGGATAGGATTAGACAAGGATACACTCTTCTCGCCAAAGGGCCCATTAAAGGCATTTTCAGAATATGACACACAATTAGGCCACGGTTAGGTAGGTAAATTGCAGATTATAGTTACACAGAGGATATTTAGCTAATCAAACTAAAATTTTAACACAGAGGTCCTTAAAAAGTCAGTTATCAGGCACGGATCATCAAGTCTGTTCAAAGATAAAATGGACCGCGATATGCATGACTTGACCAAGTGACAAATCTCTGTTTTCCAGGAGGATGAATAAACTTTAACAATTCATTAAAAATCAATGCTATGATTGCAATTTGTGTGGTAATACTGTGGTATAGAATACTGCTTTATAAGCAGTTTTTTTCTTGTTTACACAAAAGATTGCTCAAAATTTATGAATATAACATACAATGTAAGTTACTGTGACACTGTTCATCGCAATAATGCAATTTTGCATTAATTTAATGAAATGAAATAGTTCATTGTTAAGTAGTAATTTCTTTCATTTTAGATAAATATTCCCATCACTACACCACCATCCACCACCATCACTATCCTACTCTCTCCATCTAGTTGCGATATTCCTAAATCATGGATAATTATATACCCTAATTTGGTTTGTCAAATTCTCACTTATATACTAGCTGATATCACAAAATATACCTAATTAAATGTGATATATATGAGAAATAACTGAAAAAGAAGCTGTTGCCAATCACTAAATAATGAAAACATAACAAAGAACATTGCAAGTTTTTTGATGGTTTGATGAAATGATCGTTGATCTTTATTTAACTATAATGTTGGACGATGATATGTTGGGGTTGGGTGGACCTAGCGAATCAAAGTTGAGTTTTTTATGTCAATGACCGCCGGTGCTTTTTGTATTTTCTATGACACACAAGCCGCTGGTGCATTTTCCACTGCTTAAACACATACTGTTCAAAATTTCATCACAACACAACACCTCTACACAGTTTACCGAGTAAATCCCATCATTTACGTATGTATTTTTAACTGTTGTTTTAGCTAATAAGCTAATGTGTAATAACACGGATGATTTTGAACCTTTTTTACAAAAAACAACGATTTTTCACAGTTTCATATCTAATTTCCTTAGTACTATACAGTGTATGTTATATTCTTATAATTTACAGCATCATTTTGTGCAAAAACAAAAAAAAGAGTATAAAACAGTATTCCATTCTAGAGTATATATAAAATAGCAAGCAAAGAGAAAATTACGTTTTCCGCTAGCGACCAAGCTACGGCTGATCAAGGCCATCGCCAGACCTCAGCTCGCTTACGCCTCCGCGGTCTGGGGGTACGCTGCCCCCAGCTACCGCAAGCGACTTGCTGCTCTAGAGATGAAGCTACTCCGGATCGCCACCAGTGCACCGTCCTACGTAAGAAACTCAACCTTGCGTAGAGACCTGCATTGGGACACCATCCACGAGTACATGAGGAAAAAAGCGGAGAAGACCTTCGAGAAAGCTCAGGACCACCCGAACGAGCAGCTACGATTCCTCATGGACTACGATCCGGACGAGAGGCCTCGCAACCGCAGAACCAGGTACCCCAGACCAAGGTCCCAGTTGGCACCCGCTAACTGGAACCTTGACTAGGAGACTAGGAGAACTCGCGGTTGCTCCCCCCCCCCCCCTGTGATGCCACTGCGGGTGTGGTACATGATCCAAGCCACAGTGTTACCAATGCCTGTTTCACTTTTCTAGGCACTTGACATAATGTAATCAAAGCAGATGCCTTCGAAGCATCAAAATAAGATGACCATTATCGTTAATATTTAATACGAGGGTAAATCAAATATGAACCGGACTTTTCTGTTTAACGCGCCATATGTGAATGGGGGTGACGTCTTGGTATATGTTGGGTGGGGATGTCAGGAAGAGAAGACTCAGACGGTTTGGCGCACCGAAGTAGATGAGCTGTTAGTAGCATCATGTCTGAGCAAGAGTTGTACACGTCTGTTGCGCAAAGCATTATAATAAAATGTGTGTCGCGGTAGGGCGTAAAACCTTCCGAAATTTTGCGTCGATTAACAGCACAGTTCGGCGATATAACAGTTTCAAGGACACAAGCAGTGATGGGCGTTTACTCGTATACATTAATTGTCTACGTATTGATGTATACGTAGTCGTGCCATAAGTTCTGTCCCATGATAATCTCATGATAAAAATGAAACAAGATAAGATATATTTATATGAAAGATACTATTTATTCGACAACATTTTTAGAATTCATAATCAAACAGTTTTATTCAAAATGTCCCCACTTGGCCTTCACACACTGCTTCAATCTCGCGGGCCACTCATCTATCACTGCACGCACAGCTTCCAAAGGAATAGCTGCCGCTGATCGGATCAAATCCGCTTTCAGGGACTCGATATTACGGTGGGCTTTGGAGCAGGCCAACTGCTCTAGCAGGTCCCACAACTTGTAGTCTAAAGGATTGAGGTCCGGACTCCCTGAGGGCCAATCTTCCGCAGCAATGAACTCTGGCACATTGCTTTCCAGCCAGCGCTGCGTACTCTTAGCCTTGTGAGCGGGGGCGGAATCCTGCTGGTAGACCCAGTGTTGGTTGGCAAACAATGTACCACTTAAAGGCTTGACGATAGGATTCAGTATGTCGCTCTGATAGTTTGCCGCTTTTGTTTTCACGCCCTGTTTACAGAAATGTAGCTGAGTGACCCCTTCGTAGGACACCCCCCACCAAACCATGACTGACGCAGGGTGGTGGCCTCTCTCAACTCTCGGAATGATCTCCGAAGCTTCTTGTGAACTCCTTGCATACACTTTGTCATTTTGTCGGTTGAATTTTTCTTCTATGGTGAAGATTTTCTCATCCGTGAACAAAATCTTTCGGAATCCCCCAGCTGCGTACCTCTCCAAGAGCTTCTTGGATCTTGTCGCCCTGATGTGTCGCAAGGTGGCCGTAAGTCGCTGGCCCGTACGTCTCCGGTAAGCCCCTAGCCCTAGGTCTTGTTTAATGATGCGCGACATCGTCCGGACAGGAATCTTCATTTCCCTGGATAGGATCTTCTGCTTCCGGAGTGGATTCCTTTGAATCCTGGCTTTTACGGCTTTGATGGCTGCTGGAGTCCTTACTTGACGAGGTCTTCCGCTTCTTGGCCTGTCATCAACAGAGGACGTCTCATTGTACCGCTGAATGGTCCTAGACACAAATTTACGCGATATTTGAAGGCCGCGTAAGAGTTCAAAAATCTGACTAGCACTGTGATTACACTTATGTAAAGCTATCACTGCAATACGGTTCTCTGCCTTGCCCCACTCCATCGTTATGCTTCGAGAGATCAATACAAACTGAGGTATATGTAATTACCCGAAAAGCGCTTAATCAACTGACACCACAATGTAAACAATCGGACAAGTATTAACAGGTCTACACTTGTTTGAAAACGAGGGACAGAACTTATGGCATGACTACGTACAATGTATATATTGCGTATACAATTAATACAATGCGTATACCATGTATACAATGATGAAGAATATAGAATATATATATATATAGAACAGCATAATTTGGGTTAGGCTTATTCGCAAACGTCAGAAAGTTGGTGAAGAGGCAACTTTAAAAAATATGGTTGGACGCCCCAAGAACAAACAAATCGATGAATTAGAGTAAATTTTGTTTAAAGATGGAAAGACAGATTCCATAGAGTGTAGTGTCTGCAAAACAAAGTATTCCAATTCAGCTATAATTATATCGATTGAACTCACACAGGTGAGTTCATTTTTGTCGTATCAACGCGCTATTTTACAAATTTCTGCTTGCCTGATATAAGCACAAATCAAATACTAGAAATTATATTGAAAAGTTCTTTTGAACATTATATGCAGCATCTGCTCGCAAGAGATGTGAGGAGCACGCCAGGCTCTTGTCTGTGTTTTGTAAGGAGTGAGGATCTCAAATCAAAGACCTAACAGGGATTTCATGTATATGGAGGTAAAGCAATATTGTGTAAAGGGAAAGCAATAAACGCGTTTTCATATATTCTAAAATAAAAACAAAAAATTGTGTATAAGTACTCTATTTAGGACACATTATTTTGTAAATCGCACACAATTTTGTATAAATAGAATTCATATAAAATTCATTACGAAAGGATTACATTTTGGCACTATCAAAACTTAATACCACTTAAAGTTAAGATACTAAAACAAAGCCATTTTTATATGCTAGCACTGGGTCAAAATGCACTCTAAAATAAAGACAAGTATAGTTAACCAGGTAAATGAAGACAGAAAACTACACCAGCAGTATAAATAAAAAAAAACGAAAGTTACATGAGTCTCTAGGGTTTGGAAGAATAAAGGGTAAAAACACGTCGATCAAATATAGCAACAAAGATGTATAGTACTTTTTGAGACAGTAAGTTAATCATGTCCATAATTTGAATATACCAAACTTGTTCAACAAGAACAAAAATGCATAATTTCCAACTGTAGTCTGAGCGCGCATTTATTCACGCCATCTGTGTCGCACCACAATGTTTCACGAAAATGTCCAACAACGACGACAAGTAGCCGGCATAAGTCCAGCCGATATGGTTTGAGAAATATCCTATACTATTTCTCTAAATCATTGTAAATAATCAGCAGACCCTTAAATTATTTTTGTTCAACTCATATTACTTTCGCCGTAACACTTGCAAACTTTCATAACCTACAAGATTGTATCCTATGAATCGGATGCATCTCATTACCTTAATGTTCTTTTTTCTTCGGCTTTTTAGGATTCCTAGACCTAGACTTTGCCTTGCAAAGAGGGCAGATAGGTGCGTTGCGATGTATTTGTTGATGACAACTCAGGCAGGATTTCATTGGCGGAGGTTGTTGTCTGGGAAAAAAAAGTTCGCTGTAAGACGAAAAACGCCATAACCTTTAAATCGGTATTTTGGAAACGAATGTAGAGAATATGTAATTAAAAAACTGTTATAGGTCTAATCATTGTCTTTAGTGGGTGACAGTAAAAAGGTAAAACTACAGGAATTACTTTCATTCATCCATCTCCATACCAGAAGTCGACGTCAAGCCGGAAACGGGGATATGCCAAGTCATAATAGTTATCAGAAAGATATAAAAAAATGTATAAATTATATATGTATATAGAAAGATCAGAAAAATCTACACCTTGTGATGATCTCTTAGTTCCCATTACTACAAATTTCATTTTTTTCTTAGACACACGTAGTGACAGCAAGACAAATAGTTATGCCACTTTTATTAATCTGTGAGTGCATTCATTAAATTCACAATAAATATTCTAACTAGCTTCCTTTAGCAGCAATGCAAGCCTGACATCTTCTCAAAAATGATCGGGTTAAAAGACGGGCGAATCTACCGTTAACAAATTCAGCGGCTTGGGTTAGCTCAGCTAAATTTTCGATTGGTTTTGAGTAAAGTTTTCTTTTCACTGCTACTCAGTAAAAAAAATCGAGTGGATTTAAGTCAGGTTAACGGGCTGGTCACAAAGTCATGCCAAACCACCCTTTCCATCTAGTCGGGTATTCCGCATCAAGATAATCTCGAACTAAACATTCTTCCAATAAATTTGGTGAATGATTTTGTAAAAAGTCTAACTAAATTTCGCTATTCAAGAACTATGGCAGCTCAAAGAGCACAATGATTCTCCCATTTAGAACACCGGTCCACATGTTTACTTTAAAACGATAATGTGATCTATCTATCTAAATTTCCCGTTTTCGTTCCGTTGGTACAATATGAGCGCCAAAATATTGTAAGGTGTCATGAGGCAGACTTTTAAGAAGAAAACTAGTCACTCTGGTCCGCTGGATGGTTAAGGGGTACGCCTAGAATGCTGAAGGACGCGAGTTAAAATATCAGCGGTCGAGGTTCGAGTTTTTCCTTCTGTCGTCCCTTTAAGCTTACCTAAATGTTGGTGTAGGTGGTCCAGGATGTGGAGAAGGTGCCAAGGAACCATGCCGATTGTCATGTTTGCCTGTAACCAATCTGAGAGGATTGGGCGGCGGCAAAAAAGTGGGTGGTAATGGAGGCGGTGCCAGCCCACTTAATGGGCTGTCATTGGGTGCCAGGGGGCGGTTCCAATCTGTAGGCTTCACAAACGTTGACGTTGTCGATTGAGATTTAGCAGCGTTGTATAGCTGGGCAAATTTCCTAAAGTGAAAATACCTATAAAATAATCTTTAAGATATGGACTTGGTTCCAATATGTATTTCTTTATTTATTTATTTATTTCATTTAAAGATTGCAATAAAATTTGCACAATTTTTGTCCCTATAAAGGTAAATGACACCACTAGTGGGTTTTGAGCAGGAGGGGCACCCAAGTCTGCCAGTTTTTTTTTTCAAGAAAATGACACATTGCTATATAACTTAGTATGAAAATAATTAACTCACTAGACTTGAATTGCGAGATGTGCACCCCCTCTCCATTATCCCTCCCTAGATGAAACACCCCCGCCCCAATCTTCTTCAGATAGCACAAGGGTGTTTGCTCTCAGAAGTGGTGCTTAAGCATGCTGTCACTCAGTTCTCCTTATTTTTTTAATGACAAAACCCACCTTCAGTGATGAACAACTACATGAGCATAAATGATGTGACCCTCCTATATGAATTCCTGAATATATGCTTGGTTAGAAAAAATTCATTGTATGTGCTCATGATAATTTTTTTTTTTTGTTTGAAATTGGAATGTTTATAATATAATAAAATGACTACAAGTTACAGAAGGATGTTTACCAAATCAACCTTTTTTTTATAAACTGCCAAAATGGAGAATACTTTCCCCTATGATAATTTATGCAGAAAGTATCCTAATTATCTCTTTTTACCTTTTACCTATATAATAGAATTGCTTTCCAGTTGAAATGTTAAAGATTATATGTCTATATTTTGCTCTGTAAATGGATTTGATGTGTTAGGTGACAAATGCTAAATGCTATTATTAAGGATGGTAACTAGATTAATTCAAGACAAAAGGGTATCTCATCATGCTTACAGTCACTACTGCATCTTGTAGATATTCAGATATGCCCCTGCATATATTTACTGCTGCTCTCAAATATTCATTTACAAAAATACTTACTCTGGTGTTATACTAGAACCTTCTTCCTCATGCAGCTCAGGAAGACGATTCAATCCTAAGCAATCCCTTCTGAGTCTGTCAATCTCATTTTTTAATGGTAAATATTCTGTATGCAGTCTAACTGCAGCTGACATTGATCTTGATTTGCTCTCCTCTGCCTGTTTTATTACACCTTCCATCTAAAAATATACACAAAATTTAAAAGTTACAGTGAAAAACTTGCTTGTTACAAGTGCAGATATTACACCCAAATATTTTTGTTGCAGTTCTAAATATATGAATTCACATGTCAATAGATCAGAAACACCATATATTTGGGTCATAAATGGTACCAAAAAGGGGGCAATTTTAAACATTCTTAAAGTATTATAGAAATTTAAAGGTCTTTAATGATGTAAAGACTAATATCTTCTTAAGGTATTCAATGTAAGCAGTTGTTCATACTCACAGCATTGATATCAGCATGGATTTGTCGAAGCTCCTCAACGTGAGACATTTTTTCTTGCATTAGTAGGTCCATTTCCTGTTTATATTCAGAAAGGCATTTCTCTTCTTGCTCTTGAGCTTCTACCTCCATCACCAATCTGGCTTTAAGTTTTTCCAGCTGGATAGTTTTCATTCTGCAATATTGATTTTATATTATACTTGAGTGTGTTCTCAATTATGCTAAGTACAGACCTGATTTCTTTCAGAGCCTCAAGTTTGGCAAATACTGCTCTTTCATCTGTGGTAGTCATCGTGAATAGCGAAGAAAATACATGTAATTATAAGATTTTCTGGATTTGATAGACCCTTTTGTTTATTTTGTACAACAAATGTGTCCACCTGTCAAAACACTAGAAAATGTCATTTGCCAGATGTCAACGTACCTGTCAGTAATAGAACAAGAAATACAAGAACAGAGCTTTTAGTCGAGACCGTGGAGATATGAATTCCTGTCCGCCATTTTCCTACCACATGTCTAAAATGTAAAAAATGAACGAATGTCAGTATTTACAAATTTTCTAATGCGATCATTTGGAATAAAATGAATTTACTATGAAAAATATATCACTTTGCCAATCTCTTTGAACCCTCATTTTGTAACTTCTATACAGGGTGACTTCGAAGTTGAGTCATCTATTTTAACAGTGAGTAGATCTGATCATCGGTTCATCGCATCGGAAACAAAAAAGCGAAAGAATTTGAAACGCTTATCACGATGTTTTTACTACAATCTTATTCAGTTGTATTCCGTCAATGTGTCAGTCGGTAACGCGTGAGGGAATAGTGGCGATTGTTGCGTGGCTCAAACGAAATAAAAAATGGCACAAGTTTACGAAAATGCTGAACTTTTGGACATGATTCTTATTTACGGGGGGGGTCTTTACAAAATGCTGCCGCGGCATCACGAATGTATGCGGATCGGTTTACCAATCGAGTGCAACCAACCCCTCGTGCCTTTGTTAATGTAGTACAAAGGGCTCGTGAGGGCATGCCGGTGCTCCAAGACCGCACGATCAAATACAAGGCCGCACTGAAATACTTGTCGGGAGGATACTTTATAAAACAAGGTAACACTTTTTTTTTAATTTTTACACACATATTTTGGTTTATCTTCCTTCTACAATCATTATCTGAAAATTAATGACTCAACTTCAAAGTCACCCTGTATAATGGTAATAAGACAGTTACATTATAGTTATAGAAATGTATTAAATAATGCATGGTATATAATCTGTTACAGCTCTGTCATGGTCCTAAGTTGTCCTGGACCTTGGTTAATCTTTCTTCACTTTATACATCACTTCACATTATGCATGCAGGAAAGTCCAAAGAACCACACAAATCCTAGCTATGCACCTTCAGTCATTATTTTCTTTTTTATGCAACTTATTCCCCATGTTCTTTAACTTTTCCAATCTTTTTCGTAAGCTTCTATTTCTTGCATTCAGATTGGTTAGATACTTTTGATTTTTATATACTATATCGTTGACAATTTTCCAACATTCTTTTGCCTTTTCATAGTTCTCTCGAAAGTCTTCAAGTTTCAAATCATCGAATGTTCGACCAAACATGGCATTTTTTTCATTCTTGACTTTCTTCGCCTTTTGAACTACTTGCTGCCGCTTTTCAATTGCTTTCTCCTCCTTTTCAACAATTTTCTGCTCTTTTTGAAGATTATGTTTCTTTTGAACTACTTGCTGCTCTATTCGAACTTCATGCTCCTGATCAGGTTCCATAACAAATATGGGAACAGTTCCTGGCTTCAAACATATTTGGCCACATGGTGTTTCAAAGAAGTCTGAGTTTTTGAAATGTTTGGAGCAAATCAAAGTCTCTGCAGTCAGATCTTTCACTTGTTCTTTGGTCAGATCAAGAATGGCTATCCATACGTTCATCAATCTTCGATCTTTTGGAAACCTTAAAAAATACAAATATAAAATGAATTTAGGGCCCGAGTAAAGATAACATGGACACGCAAGACAACTATTGAAATATACTCTACTAGACTCTAGAAGACTATCCGTATCGAAATGTTTCTCGAAATCGTTGCACACTGCTTGAAAATGCAAATGAAGATTGGAAAACTGCCGCTTTGACGTACTAAACGACTCCGTCGTTACCCCGGGATAGACATACGATCTTGTCATTCTTGTCACTTACATTGCGGCGTTGCTAACTCATCGGACAATTTTGCTACCTCTGCTATTTTGCTAGAATGTTATATAAAAAAATATGCTTTGGATAAAATACTGAGGGATACCAATGGAGATATTTAAAATTTGAGGCGTAGCAATGTTTGCCAAAAAAACTAAAATAAAGCTGTTATTCACATTTTGCGTCACCTGGCGTCTATGCAGCGGAATGTTAATGTCTCTAACACTTTTATAAATGCCCAGTTTTATAGGATAAAATACTTTTTGAATACGGAATTTCTTCCAACAATTGGAAAATAACAATGTTTTATTACATAAATATATTTATTCACTATTTGTTCTAAAATTACATGATCATTAATAGGAGAAGTACGATTTTCATTTTACTCTACTATTTATTAGTATCCGTCTTATACGCAGAGATATTAGGCATGCATTTTGAGGAAGCTAAAAATGGACAGCTTGATAACTTGAATCCAACTTATAACTCGTCGATCATGTGGAATTACAGGCAGACGCATTTCGGATGCATCACATCCCTACTCTTGTTGGACATTTGGTACCCACATATCCTCCAACAACCAAGGCAAGACATAATAGTTTCCTAAACACGGGGCTGAGATTCCAGGTTTAAAAACGCCAGAGAACCAACGCTTGATTTTTTGCACCATATTTAGTAAACATAGTGCCAAGGGCGTAGTGTCAAAGCAGGATACTTTCAAGTATAGACTATCACCAATTCCTTTTGGACTAAAAATACTATTTTGTTCAAGGATTTGCTAATAGTTTTGAGATTTTTCAGAAATGAATGTTAGTACATAATAATTCTTACAAGAACGTTAGATTAGTGCTCGTTTCTGTGAATTTCTTTTTATAAGAATGTATTACAGGGTGGCAAAGACAAGGATCAGACTTGGTTAAATTCAGTAATCACAAAATCTTACATCAAGCATTTGTTTGCAACACCTACTCAAATAAAATGAAAAAAACCCTTTGCTAATAACTTAAATAAAAACAAATGTAACTGATACATCCTTGAAGTCGTAGAAAAAGATGCTATTAGATACAGGGTCGTACTTTATACTAAATGTTGTGCACTTTGGGCAAATTTAAAAACACCGTCATGTAGTGCCATTAGTTTTTTGACATTTCTTAAAATAAAGAAATAAAAACGATTTGGCCAAATTTTTGTTTTTCCCAAATACCACATTATATGACTATTCTCTCAGTGTATGCAATGTGAGCAATTTAATTAAAATACATAGGATTTCAAACCTGACACACAAGTAGATGAGTATGCAAGGCTCACCAAGTTTGCTGCACATGTATCCTGCTTCCCTCAGAAGAGTGGGAAGTTGGCCTAATTTCCAGTTTGGAGACACTTGACACCGACGTCACAACTCACAACACTGAGGGCCGTATCGTCAGCCGTTCCTATAATTGTAGGACGCCTTTATTGCCTCCTTGATTGTCATACTCCTTTCTCTCCTTCAAAAATTTCTAGATTGCACCTGTTCTGGGTCAGCGTCAGCGCTCTCCTATTGTATTTTCTTTTTAAATTGTAGGATATTTCAAGCTGATAAAACATGATATAAATCAAAAGCATGCACAATTTGATGCAAATAGATATTTCTGACATAACCACAAAATATGGCGCTGACACGGAAAAGTTGAAAACTATGACAATCAATGAGGCCATAAAGGCGTCCTACAATTGTAGGAACGACTGACGATATGGGTCTAAAACACCAAAGCACCACTGAGAGACAATCGAGAACCCTATAGTGAACACCACTATTAAAAAAATAGATTAACCGAATAGAGCTCTGCACGGAGCTGTGAACTCGTGGACATTCCGCTGCGGCAACAGTTGCCGAGAGACTGATCCGTGTGAGTGCTGTACTTCGCTGCGGCGATACGGTACGGCCGGGAAGTACAGCCACGCCCCTTTCCAGCTCCCTCTCGGCGCGTCTGCTTTTTCTTATCTGACAGTATCATGAAGCGACTCGATGTTTACGTTGACGGGAGCGGACGCGCGCAGTGGGAGCTGGAAAGGAGCCTGGCTGTACTACCCGGTCGTACCGTATCGGAGCAGCGAGGTAGAGCACTCACACGCATCAGTCTCTCCGCAACCGTCGCCGCAGTGGAATGTCTACGCGTTCACAGCTCCGTGCAGAGCTCTATTCCGTTTAGCTACTTTTTTTTAGAAGTGCCGTTCATTATAGGGTTCTCCATTGTGTCTCAGTGGTGCTTTAGTGTTGTGACGTGGGTGTCAAGTGTCTCTAAACTGGAAATTAGGTCTACTTCCAACTCTTCTGAGGAAAGCAGGATACATGTGCAGCAAACTATGTGAGCCTTGCATACTCATCTACTTGTGTGTTAGAGTTGACATCCATGTTTTCTAAATAAATTAACACATTGCATACACTGAGAAATTAGGCATATACTGAGGCATTTGGAAACAACTAAAATTTGGCCAAATCGTTTTTATTTTTGTCCGACTTTATTTTAAGAAATGTCAAAAAACCAATGGCACTAAATGGTGTTTTTAAACTTGCCCGAAGTGCACAACATTTAAAAAAGTACGGCCCTGTATCTAATAGCATCTTTTTCTACAACTTCAACAGTGTATCACATTTGTTTTTTTTTAAGTTATAAACAAAGGTATTTTTTTCTATTTTTTCATTATATTTAAGTAGCTGTTGAAAACAAATGCTTGATGTAAGATTGTGTGATTACTGAATTTAACATAGTCTGTCCTTATCTTGGCCAACCTGTAATATGTTATTATAAAAAGAAATTCACAGTAACGTGCACTCATCTAACGTTCTTGTAAGTATTCTTATGTACTTACATTTATTTCTGAAAAAATATCAAAACTATTAGCAAAGCCTCGAAAAAAATACTATTTTTAGTCCAAGTGATGCATCCAAAATGCATCTGCCTGTACTTCCACATGATCAATGCGTTATAAGTTGGATTCAAGTTATCAAGCTGTCCATTTTTAGCTTGCTCAAAATGAATGCCTAATATCTCTGCATATAAGACAGATACTAATAAATAGTAGAGTAAAATGAAAATCGTACTGCTCCTATTAATGATCATGTAATTTTAGATCAAATAGTTAATAAATGCATTTATATAATAAAACATTGTTTTTTTTCAATTGTTAATATTTTATCTTATAAAACTGGGCATTTAAAAAATGTTCAGACACATTAACATTGCGACGCCTCCAATTTTATATATCTCCATTGGCATTCATCGATATTTTATTCAAGACTTCTTTTTTTATATAAGATTCTATCAAAATAGCAGAGGTTGTGCAAAGTTTCGGCAAAAATTTCGCTACGGATAGTCTTCTAGAGTCTAGTGGAATACATTTCAACAGCTGTCTTGCGTGGCCATGTTATCTTTACTCGGACCAATTTAGAAACATGATTGTCGAGGCAGTTGTTGAACAATTTAATGAAGGCCAACACAACACTTGAACTTGAATACACACCTGTGGAAGGAAAGTAATTGTTCTGAAGAGTTTGTTGCTCCACATACTACACATGATTTCATTTTGATTGTTTGTTCAACAAATTCTCACTACTTGTTGACAAACAAAAACAAGATGTGTTGAGTTCAAGAGTCAAAGTCCTTCAAAGCACAAAACATATACACCACAAAACACGTAACACTGATTGAAAATCAACGGTGAAAATCCTGTGAATGGTAAGCCCAGGGCCTGTAAACAATAGATTAATATTAACCAATCCTCAATTGAATGGTTAGCTACGTGAAACCACGCCTCTTTTCCTATCCTCACGAGGACAACTTTTGATAGATTGATGTTCGATTAACCAGTCAACAGATAAACACTTGGTCACCTTTCTTTAACCGCACCCATATTCTAGTCAGAGGACGTCATGTCAAATTATGACGTTATATCTTATCCGATCCGTCAAAATTCCAAAGCTTGCGTCAATGTCTAGAATTTTTTCATGGAAATTACATTCTCTAGCAATTCGATTTTGGTAATTAATCTAAAAATTGTGCTGAAAACTAGTGAAAGCGGGTCGAATAGATAAAATAAAGAGTAACATATTATTTAGAAAATGAAGAATACATTTATATTACTATTTGTCTTTTTGGCCACTCAATGTTTGGCTATAAAAAAAGGTACGTTATCTTGTACAGTGTCTTGGGGATTTCACAGAAATTGTGGGCTACAGGTCCATGCTACTTCCTATTTTGCTACATAATGTTTCGGTGGTGTTTCTAATAAAGATTTCTATGTTTTTTGCAGATACTACGCAGGATGCACCAATAAATGTTCATCACACTACAGTTCAGGATATTATTGATATTAATGGTAAAAATGAAACTATCCCATCAGGCACTGATGTTACAGGTAAGCTAGTTAGCTTAGCAGGTGCATAATCTTTGAGGGAAATGAATGAATTTAGATTTGGTACACCTCTGTCTTCTCTTTCTCTTCACATGTCCTTGATAAACATTCAATATGCTCAAAGTTAGCACTGTTAAAATTATTTTCCTATAAAAGGTTTGCTTCAGAGTAACATTTTTAATTACTCAGTTAAGACAGTGCTTAATCTTGAAAAAAAAATAATACAATTATTATCATGAAAAGACATAATGCATATATATATATATGACATTTCAAAGTATATCTTGTGTGGATGTATTGAACTTTTTAAGGTGCATATTGGGTGTAGATACTAGATATTAATATCAATTTGTCTGTGAACAATGTAGGTAGAACATATTTACTAAGGTTGAAGGATTAATAATTGCATTGGTAACCACTGAAGCATTTTTGAATAAAATGTTCATGTTGCTTAAGGTCAATGCACATCACTCAAAAGTTAAGAGAGTAGGAGTACTCTTACACATTGAGTTGCATGCCACTGAGAAGAAACAATAGCAAGGGGATGGCAGTAACATTTTTACATACATCAAACAAGACAGATTGCTTCAGTGCACGTACTTTCATTTGATTTGATGTAAAGGAACCTGTTTGCTTCTTTTTCCTAACACTTCCCCTCCCTGTAGACATAATATAATGAGAGCCTGTGCAGTGGAGCAAATCAAATTGCCACATTTGACATGTGCAAATGACATATCTTGCCACAATTCCCTTCACCCCACTTCAGCTAAATGGCCATGTAACTATACAATCTTACTCAACCATTTCTTGCACTTGATTTTATACTTCATATTGACTACCTTGAACTCTAGCAGAATTTAATTATTTTTCAATGCTGACAACATATTGTGCAACAACTTTCAATTAGTAAATGTGTGAATGATATGAATTCAATTTGCTAGTATATCTATATTTTTATGTTGAAATTGTGCATTTAAAAGCTAAATCAACTATTCACAGTCTGATAAGTTACTTATTCCATATCTTGAAATTTTAATACACCTATGCCTATAAGCATCGTATTTTTGCAGTCATACACATAGTTAATAGGTTAATATAATGTAAAATATGATGTCCATGTGCCAGTCCCAAAGCCCTGTTCGTAAAATGAAGCAATGCAAGCAGTATCTTAAATTTGGACTTTTTTTGCAATACCAATGCCGCCTGTCCTTTCCCTAGTAATGTAAGGCAGGGAAGTGATAGGTACAGCATAAATACAGTACTACACCCCAACACAACTTTCTAAAAATTAAGCTTGATGTATCTCTGATCTTTAAAGCTTGGCAGATGTTGGAAGGGGCTGCCACACGCAATCGTAATCGTGTCGCGTGGCTGACTCTGTGTAATTGTCCGCGTACCACTATTATATTTTTTTATATAATCGTTTTCTTCAACAGCTAAACTGGAAATGAGCTGTCAGAATGTTCTGGATAATAAGACGAATGCGGGTTATGCAATGAGCGAACCTGTATTTTTGGTTTTGCTTTTGCAATACATTGTAGTATATACCATCTCTTTTGTCATTCATTAGTGTGTCCAAGCAAGTCTCAAAAATCATTTTTAATAATGAATTCATAAACTGTAGACATTTTCAAATAGGGCTCGACCGATATATCGACATATACATCGGCAATTTCGCCCCAATTTGTCGATATACGAATCGCCGGATAGGGCTGCCCATAAGCCGATATAGTCCGACCGATATAAATCAGAAAATTAATAAGGATCGAGGGATACAAATTACACCAACCACCTTTTGTCTGTGGATTAGAAATTTTGACAAAATTGTTCCGTATGATGCTTTCTTTTGTAATTTTCAATGTTTTTTCAAAGTAGTGCCTTCAAAACATCAAGATGCGTCTCACACTGGAGGAACCCGTTTCATGAAAGTTTCTTGCAACAGATAGAAAACCTAGTAAAAACATGCTGTTCAAGGCAAAATGAAGGCTATAGCTTTGATATCTTGTAAATATTCTTGAATTTTATGGAAACACTCACGTAAGTCTTGGGTGCCGACCTCTGATAAATGGGTGCTGAGAGGAGACAAACTTTCGTTTTTTTTTTACTTTGTGGTTGTCACCACAAACGCATATTCGTCGTCATGAGACTATTGAGAGAAATGTGTTGGAAAGCCTCACCTGATTGTAGCGAATACTGAATTGAGTGAAGATTTATTACAAAATTCAATGAAATTGTATTGAATTATATGCATAACCACCTATTGAATAAGTATCGATTTTTATAATTATCGCTTTAAGATGGGCAAAGTAACAAATACGCTTTTCTTTTTTTTTATACTCCAACTACCACGAAGGCCTAAGGCCTAAACACCCATGGGGCTATGGGGGAATACAGGGGAAATGGGTGACGCCACATGGACTCTGACGAGGGAGCACGTGTGCATGCAACATGCACACATTCAGGCCCCGCCTACGAGACCTGCTGGGTCAGAGACCGTCTACCACCTACCGACAATCACGACATCCATAGCCAAGAGAAAAATTTCGAAACCGCACAGCGCACGGCGACTGATCAGGAGACCGAAGAGTCTACCACTGTGGCCACTGCTGCTGCCAAAAACAGCTTCAGATTGTTCCCAAAGTTTGGGTTTCTATAATTTCAACCATCTGAAAATTTTAGATGGCAATCGAAATATTTTTGGGGTGGTCATAATTTTGAAGAAATCAGAAATTTGCTATTGTCGTCTCAATTTTGGGTTTGTGCAGTCAAAAATATTATTCTGCAGCTCAAAAATGTTGATTCCTTAGCAAGGCTTATAAAAAATAATTATACTTAAACAGTTACGCATGCAAGGAGATTAAATTTGTAGGTATGAAAAGGTTTGAATTTTGTCATATGTGAACGCGTGGGAAGTACTGAGTTGATCCACTTGATACTAGTTTTTTGGAGAAGCTTTTTAGTAGTGTTATTAATGCAGATTCTAAAATTCTGGTAGTCGGTAACCTCACATGGTCTTGGTCCAAAAATATTAATTTCAGTTTTATTTTCATTTAATACAAGGCTGTGCGCTCTCACATATCTAGATAAATACTCAAGATCAGAATTGATCCGCATGCAGGCAACATAAGCATCAAGTTTGAAAAAGTAATACAGTTGTGTATCATCAATGTATTGATGTGTACTGCAAAATTCCAACTGACTTTTCAAGTCTGACGTACATATATAGTGAAAACAACAAAGGTCCTTAAATACTACCCTGTGGAACACCTCTGTGCCCTGGCATCTGTCTGACAGGTACCTATTAAAGAAACTATATCAGCCTTTCAAATATCAGTCTCTGCGGATTGTCGGTATCCGTTAAAATCATGTATCACTCGATCTCTGTTTTGAAAAGTTTTACATTTTGTGTGTGAAAATGACCTTGTACCGATTTCTTTGTCTTGTTTTTATATAAACATCATTTACGTGACCTCAGCGACGTATTGTTGAAATTCATGCAAATGTTATTTTAATGTTTGTTTTTGTTTGATGATAAAGTGCACTGATAACTGTTATTAGATTCGTATAATGAATACACGACGCCGAGTGTACGGTTATATTTCCAATGGAGGAAGTTTACATTACACATATGGGCGACGTGCCGATACTCGACCCACACTTATTGATAAGAATGATAAACATAGTGAATTTATAATGCGAGAAAGTCTCATAAATATATACGTATGAAAACTCGATCGATACTTTTTCAAGACAGAGACAAATAGAGGATTTGAATCACTCAAAAATATCTAGTTTGGAAAAATACAAACAAAAAATAGCTTCTATTCAGGTTGGCACTGCACTTCCCGTGAAAGGCTGCTCCTCTTAGAAAAAAGTGTTACCTACGAACACGTATAAATAAAGAGTTGAATGGATGAAGTCAATCAGACGGGTCCATTCCATACAGTCAGTACATATTCTCCACACCTTTGACAATCTTGTTATCTATCCTACCGACCATCCGGCAATGTGGCAACTCTGCCTGCCTCGGCACTCAGCTGGTAGATGTATGTTCTTTGAGTTGCCTGACACGCGTATATTGAAAATACATCTGAATCATTCAAATTTTAAGCGCAAATGTGTATCCAGCACCTCGCTCCTGTGGTTTTCTCAATTGTCGTTGCTTGTACCGAAATTACTTAGCAAGTATTTCGGCCTGGTACTTAGATGGTCGTCTTCTGTTAAATAAAGTCGCTTTTTTAAAAAGTCATTCGTAGTTTGCCTTTTTTGATGAAATAATGTCTAATAGGTGCATAGAGCTTTCGAGGTTGGAAACCTATAAATATACTAACACCAAAAAATTTAGATACACTTCTCCCAGCTTTAATTTTTAACCCCTACGAAAATGTTTCTGAAAATCATCAGTAGCCTCTGAAACGTCAAAAACTAATTATGATCGGTTTATATTTTCCGTTCCGTTTTTTTTTTGCTTATTGTTTCACCGCCACTGGACCGATTTTAAGAAACTACAAATGTTTTTTTGGTAACAAAGGAATAAAGTTTCATAGCAGTACTTTCTAAATTATAGACGGGTCAACGATTAACGGACAGACAGACAGACCGACGGAATTGACATCGTTTTTCGTGTCGTATAACATACAAAAAGCATATTCCATTTTCGACGTTTTTCGCGATTACAATACACCCTCGCCCGTGGCATAGGAAGCAAAATTTAAATTTTACAGTTTTTCATAATCATTGTTTTTTTATCTCCATTAAAGCTCGTTTTTTTGTAATCGGGTGCGTAATTCACGAATCTGATGACAGTTTTTCGCCGAAGTCGTCGAGAGGTCGACAGAGTCCCATTTTCCTGCTCCAAAAGTATCTCGCGATATATTAGCATTTTCTAATAATCTTATTTGAAATTGAAGACCTCGGTACAAAAACCATTATATAAGTTTTGGGAAATTAAAAAACTAAATATTTTGTTTTAAAAATATATTATTTTAGGGTATAAACATGAACCCACAATTTTTTGTTAGAAATTTGGACTTACCTAGTTTTTGCCCCGAACATTATATTGAAATAATGGAAAAATTAATTCAAGCAGTTTTAATAGTCAAAGAGAATAAAAGCAAAAAAGCTTTTAAAAAAGCGGTAACAAAAATAAATCTTCAATTAGATAAATGATGAATCTGAGTCATAAGCATCATCACCTGTACAAACTACTTCTTGTGGAACGTCAATATTTTCGGATTCTCCGAAGACCTTTCGATAGTACCATAGATCGGCGGCCGGTGCGTATTTTGCTGATAAAAGTTTAACATCAGCAGCCTTCTTCTCATTAAGCGGGAAAGGATGGGGTTGTATATGTGAACCTGGAAAGCACGATACATTTTCTTTTTCAATATAACACCTTGTTTCACATATTTGAATCCTTTTTGATACTGGAAAAGTCGGTAGGTTGAAATGCTAAACTTTTTTCTTTGCCAACAAAAGCAGATTTGAAAAAAGCTTTAAGATGTGTCGCAAAATCCATGATCAAGTTCTGATTGACGTTTACAACTTTAAATTTTTTTTAAGTTGAACGCACTAGTTCTTTCTATTCATCGGGAATATGGATATGAACATTTTTCAGGGCAGCGTATGCGTTTCATGCCTTTTTAGGGGGGACTTGCCTGATTTATTCCAGCAATACTTGATCACGCAAGTGAAATCCTAAGCTATTTCACATTAGAAGCGTTGCACTTACTTGATTTTAGCACCAAATGATCCGCAATGATCTAAATAAAAAAGCAATTTTTCATAAAAATGGACTTACCTGGTTTTTGCACCGAGGTCTTCAATTAGCGTTACAAATTACCTTAGTGAATTGAGTCTTGATCGCTTATGGCGAAATTGAAAACTGCATATGCATTTGCAATTTAGCAAAAGTTATATTTTTTTCTGTCACCAGCATAGTTGCGGATTGGATTGACCATACAGGACAGGTAGTGGAAGAATGTGGGAGCCAAACCCGATCCATGGGGACCTGCATTGACTTTTGGGATGAGCTTAAACCTTCTTTCTATCCTAGAAATATTGTTTTTTAATTACCATGTTTACTAAAGATCGTATTTCGTATTACTCAGTGATATTGATATTAGATCTCATTCCTTTCAGACGCTATACCACCACAACCGTCATCCACAGACTCCACTAACACCACCACCCCCGCCGCCACCACCACTCCCAACCCTAAAACCACAACCACCACCCCCATTACTCCCACTACAACTAACTCTACCACCCCAATACCAACTATCCCCAGTACCACTTCAATAGCGCCTAACACCTCAACCACCACAGTGAAGCCTTCGAGTACGACGGCGAAGCCTACGCCTACGCCGACTCCAGGTCCATCAACGACCAGCAAACCGGTAGTACCTACAACGGCTGTACCGGAGCATCATAGGAGGTGAGTGCTTGTTTTAAGGCAAGATTTCACCTATAATGCTGAACTCGGATCAAATTCCTGATCACCTGAACTTAGTTTAACCACGGGTCAATGATAAAACGTGTTCGATCAAAGACTGACTTTCGTTGATTTCCATTCAACGTTGACTGCGGTTAAATCAAAGATTAGAACTGTCGTTTCACTGGTTACTAATCTCATTGGAAATCGAAGATGAACACGTTGGCTGTAACGCGTCCAAGTCATGAAGTCATGAAATGCAAGCTTACTGAAAAAAACTCTATATTCAAGGTTGCCGGTAATGCGCCGTACCCCTTTCAGGGAGAGTATGAGACCTCAAATGTCAAATATTTCACCACCTGCATGGATGTCCCCACCTCTAATAGTGTAGTTTAACACCCCTAGATTTTTTTGGTGGGGCTAAATTGAATCATTGGTCTATGCCGATAAGCCGGCATCGTTAGAGGAGCTCAGAGCCAATATTAAACGAGAGATAGCGGCCGTTTCTGTCGAAATGTGTAACCGAGTCATTGAGAATTGGGTTCACCGAATCGATCGCTGCGAACGTGCCCGTGGTGGACATATTAACGAGGTCGAATTCCATACATGTTTCGAGTATACTTTAATCCAATAACATTTTCGAGATATATCAAATGGTTTGCGTTTTATTCAAAAAGGAAGTTGTCAGGTCCTTAATAGAAAACCCTTTATATTTAGTACCACTTTGGCTCTTCTGGTAAATGCACGCCTTTGCGTTTTTATGGTATCCATATATCGAATCTCATTATATGAACGTTGTTGGTAGGTTTGACGGTCCAAGTTTCATTGGTGGCATAGTTCTTGCCCTAGGATTGGTAGCCATCGGTTTTGTAGCCTTCAAGTTCTACAAAGCCCGCACGGAACTCAACTACCACACGCTGTAATCGTCTCGTGAAGCTTACGAAGCACCACTTTCAGAGCATTTATTGTTTTCAGCGGGAATAGGTTTTTGTTTGCAGTTGTTTGTGTTTATTCTTAAACCTTCCAAAAGTTATGCACTCTCGAATATTCTGAAATTGACCAAATGAAGTGCACTTGAATCTCTTGAAGTATCAAGGAAAAAATAAATTATAGCTCAATCATCAGTTTGCTATCCTCAGTAGTATTTATTTTGTAAGAGGAACTGAAACAGATAATGAAAAAATTTGCATACGTCCAGTTTTACAGACTTAAATTATCTTGGATAGACTATCTTTGGATACTACCCTCACTATTATAGGAACACTCATGAACATGATCATAACTTCAGGAAGGTTTAAGTGTGTTTTTTTTTGTTTGTTATTGTATTGGCAACGAAGCTCACAGTTATTATTTCTACCAAAGATGTTTTAGTATTTTGTATAGACTCTTGAAATGCAATAAGCAACAGATAGCTTTTCAAAAGCCTGTTCTCGCAAAACCCACTATATTCGAATTTGTTATTATACATTTACCATTATTGTTTGATACAACGTTAACTATGTTATGTGATAAATTGATAGATTGTTTCGAATTATTTAGATAATATTGCATCACACGATGAGGAAAATTGATATATGTCTCAAAAGTCTGGATTGCTCTCGAAATATTTATATAATGTGATTTTATTGTTTAGAAAATATGTTTCGAAATTTGGGTTATAATCGTGGATTGTGTTTTATTTATCGAAAACACCATCTAACCAGCATTGAGTTTGAAAATGTAACAGTAAATAGTATTATCGTTATTGTACAACAGAGATAAATAGTTATTAATATTAGACGTCTTTTGTTGAGGGCCAAGTTTAGATATTATTTTTCCATAATTTAAATTCTTATTATGGTCATGCTTGGTTCATCTAGCCCCTGTATGTTATTTGTAAAGTTTGCAATTTTTGTGCAAGAGGCTTTCCCATACATTTACATACCTCAATGCTGAAAATCTCTAAAAAATGATTACTTGACTCTCTGACAGCGTAAGGTATTCTACTTGAAAATATCCAACCTAACACTGTATTCCCGAGTCCCAAAATCTATCCGAGATATGTAGCGTCGTCCATAAGAATTTTTCACAGCTATATTTCTATGTTAATATAGTTGGCTACAGCACTTATTAGTAGAAAGGTTTATTTAAGACGTATTACTATATAAACAATACTAAATAATGCATAACAATAACAAATTCAAAATATATCGTCATATTTGCTATTCTAACATAGAGTTTCTGAGTTTTGGTTTCACTTCTTTTTTGCTATTTTTTCGTTTTATGTCTGAATCTAATTTGTTGAAATCCATTAGGCCTTAATGGAAAACCGATTTTGAAGTTATACTGCTTTTTTGCGTTTAAATGGAAATCATTTCTAGAAGTTGTGCAAATAGGCATGAGGCAATAAATCATTTTTCATTTAATAATAAATAAAAATTATGACGAGGTGTTTAATGAAAATTTTAATGTACTGAGCATTTGATTGATTGGCGTATTTTATTTTTATTTAGTAAACATATTCTCATACATTTATTTTGCAAAATCTGTAATCTTTGTCAAACGTAATCATTAACCAGATATAGAACATTTGCGCTATACAAAAAATTTACAGTGTTTATTCAAATTTGTATTTTTTCCAGCTCACTCTGCCTCCCGTTTTTCCGTCTGATTTATTCGATTTTTCAATAAAATATTGCCAAATAGGGCCTTTTTTCTACCACCACTTCGGGGCATCTCAGCTACCTTTTTAAAACACACTAACATTTAAACAAGAAAAGATATGATATAGGGACACGCAATTTACTTATGAACGTATGGGCCTACTATAAGTTAAGAATTGATGCGTCTCGCGTCAACTGCTCATTATAAAGAACACGAACACCATTTTTTTTTGTGTGTCGTCGAGGAGTTTTTACTATAAATCTAGACAACAAATATTTCTGGGCGTATAGAGAAAAATAATAAAAACATTTTATCCAAAAGTTCATGATTGCCATATTTAAGAAAAAAAATCGTACAGAAGTAGCAAGAAAATTAACGGTTTAATCGTACAATATTTTTTTGATTCTTCAAAAAGTAGATTTCTAATTAGTGGGGAAAGAAGGAACTTTGAGAAATTGTCTCAGATGATGCTACAGTATCTCATTTCATGTCGAGTAATTTTTTGGAAGCGGGAATATAGTTTTAGGTTGGTTATCTTCACATAAAATATGTTAATCAGTGATAAAAGCCTGAAATCGACTCTTGGGAATCGAGTGTATCTAAATGATTCACATTTTTTATCACACACATATGGGGCAAAAAATGTTTCAATGTGCGTCTTCAATGAATTGCGTGTCCAGTTTGAAAGTATTTTCGAATAAGTTGTGATTGACCTCATAATTTCAAAGTCGCGCGTATCTAGTCATCAAACCAAACTATAGTGTAATAAAAACGTCAAGTAATCATTTTTTATTCACAATTTTATTATACATTTTTTTCTGATTACTTATATTGCATTTTTTCTAACTTGAATCAAGGGCTATGTCATGGTGTTTAAGAAATTCACTGAATTGTTTTATTCTGTCCGAGAAGTGCTCTTATATAGAGTAGTTACAATGAATTACTAAAAATCATGTAAAAATAATTTACAAGGTGCGCTAGTCTATTAGTAGTGATTTTTTTAAATATTTCTCACCGTGAATCAAATTATGTAAGTCACATCTATTCGTCGTTTTGTGGTTCAAGTATCAAAATTACCAAATCAAGATCTCTTGTAAGACTGAGCTATAATGAGAAGCCATAAACAAATTATTAATTGTTGAATTTGCAATTTTCTGAAAAAGTTGAACTTTATCTACACATTACTTAGAATCAAACCTAAACTTTTTGTCGTCAAGATTGTTAATTTGCATTCCTGGCTTATGGAATGACAGAGACTTTTTCAATAACGTTATGGCTTTTGAATTATACTGGTTTTAACCTAAAGTGGCATACTTTTGCAGGTATTTGAAGCATAAATTGACAAATTAGGCATATTTTTACAGGTCTGTAAGGTTCTTTCTAAGGATATTTAATATAGTGTATTTTTAACACAGTACAGTGTTTAAGTGTATTTGTTCTTTTAATGGTACAATAAAATTAAAAAAAAACAAGCGAATTTTATTTTTGACACTCCTCTGTTCCAAAGCTTAAGGTGTAGCACGTCCATTTTCTTAGATTTCTTTCCAACTTCCTGTTTGCAGCAGTATTCTAAATCCTTTTCATCTGATAATTTCATGCATAGAGATGACTAAAAAACAATGTTTTAATTTTTTTGTCAAAAAACGCATTGTGCATTCTTTCTTCAATCGGAACTTATTAACAAATATAAGTAGAGCTCTGAAATTGTGTGTGAATATTCCTCTTTTATGGAAGAATGAAACGAGTGATTACTTTTGTTATCACTTTTCCTTTTCGAAAAATCTTTGATGTTCTTGAAACAACAAAGATTTTTCAAAAAGGGAAAGTGATAAGAACAAAATTAATCACTCATTTGATTCTTCCATAAAAGAGGAATATTCACACACAATTTCAGGGCTGTACTTATATTTGTTAACAAGTTACGATTGAAGAAAAAATGCATTTTTTGACAAAAAAATTAAAACGTTTTTTAGTCATCTCTATACACACCATAAAATTATCATATGAAAAGGATTTAGATACTGCTGCAAACAGGAAGTTGAAAAAAATCTAAAAAAGGGACGTGCCACCTTAAGGTAAATCAAAGATAACAATAAAATTAATATTTGTTGACAAAAGTTATTGGTAGTATTAGAAAAAGAAACTTTCGCATAAATCACTATTTAATTCATTCTCCTGATGACTCTGTGGTGTTTCTCAAAAAAATCCCGTCCGCGATCATTCTGCCAATAAGCTTTGCAGTGTTTCTAGCATCATCCAATCCGCAGTGCTGTCTTCCAGTAAACTCCAAGCCAACTTCACTCAAAGCTCCATAGAGCCCTTTCGGCCTTCTCTGGTAGAACTCTCTGTATAGATATCGTACATCCATCCAGTTTTCAAAAAATGTGGGGTATGCTATCCGTTTTCGCCTGGAATTGAATGATATCATTGATTAACGTATTCCACCGCAAGGTATTCAATTAAAATACGCATTAGAAAGGCCTGAAAGGGACTGAAGATCCTAGTGCCATCTATGAGAGATTTACATAGCCACCGTCATAGATGTTGCTAGTTGCTGCGGAATACAGTGTATGGTTGTCTATCTTCAGGTAGAATACATATAAATCAATTAAAATATGGAATTTATTTAATAATATGAGTGGTTTAACATGCTATCAAAACTTTTTGTAAATTGGATGCAATAATTTACAATACTATGGCCGCATTTGATAATGGCATTTATTGGTATGTTATATAGATCCTGAAAATCTGTCACAAGTGCTTACTCATATATTGGGCTGTTGGGTTTTTTACATTGAGTTTTTTCGAAAGCATTTGTTCAGTATAGGTATGTCTATTTATCAGTAAAAGGCTCCAAAGCAGAAGCGACCTTCACCCATCTCTTTTATGATGATGATCTTTATTTCATAGCAATCTGCTAACAGAGAAAACATTTGGATATAAAATGCCTTTTGAAGTTAACAAAATTTGTAGTTTTACTTTCTTCTGGAATCCTATTAAAATCTACAAGGCCCTTATAAAATAAGCTGTTTCGGGCAAAGGAAGATTGTACCCGAGACACATAAAAGTTGGAATTAGATCTAACATTATAACTATGTATATTGCTGACCATTTTTAATTTATTAATAATATGCTCTGGGTACATTCTATTCCTTATTTTGTATACTACCACCATAGTGTTATAAAAGATCTCCTGGCTTACACTTAATAAATTTGTAGATGTCAGCATGTCTTTAATTCTACCGTATCTTCCCCATCCTAAAATACTTCTCAATGCCTGGTTTTGTTTTTTTTTAATAATATCAATATCACCTTTCTTAAACATATACAAGATTGTTGCACAGTAACTGAAATGTGGTAAGATTATCGTCTTATATATAATTAATTTAGCCCAGACACTCAGGTCTTTCCCCATTCTACATAATAAATTCACTTTCTTTGATAGCTTTCTGGTTATATAAATTGCATGTTTTGAAAACGTTAAATTTTCATCTATAATTATTCCTAAATACTTACATTCATCAACTTGATCTAGTCTACTACCATTAATTACTATACCTTTGTTATTGTATGTGTTAGTTACATTATGCTTAGATTTCAATATCATACATTAAGTTTTATTTACATTCACACTTAAACTATTATTGTTTAACCATTTATATATATTATTTAAATCTTCATTTAAAAAGTTTATTATATCATCCACTGAATCACCCTTAACAAAAAGCATAGTGTCATCTGCAAAGAGTTGAATTTCACACTTCTTAATTATATTAACAATGTCATTTATGTACATTGATCTTAGATTCAGATAATGATTCTAAATATTTGGTTTTTTGAGATCTCATTTCCAAGTATTGTGAAAACCAACCTAGGACTTTACCTTGAAAGCCATATCTTTGTAACTTCCTAATTAGTAATTCTCTGTTAACAGTTTCAAATGCTCTGCGAAAGTCCAAGAAAACCACGCCCACCATTTCTTTGTTGTCAAATGAAGATTTCCAGTTAGATATGACTGACTGTAGAGCACTTTCACATGAGTGACCACTTTTGAAACCTGCTTGACAGTTTGTAATAATATTGCTTGCACTCACATAGTCTCGAACCTGGACATTAACTGCCGTTTCTAGAAGTTTTTCATATGCTGGTACCATATTAATTGGTCTATGTTCTTCACACTGAATAGTTCCACTAACTTTTTCTATGGGAATAATAGTTGACATTTTCCATTCACTTGGAAATGACCCAGTTTGTAAGCTTTGGTTTATTACATCCAAGAAACGATTGCCAATGGCTTCAAATGAGAGCTTCAATATCTTTGTGTTTATTCCATCAGTGCTACTTTTTTTGTTTTTCAGATCATTCACAATTTTCCTAAGTTCTGATATCTGTAATATCTTGAACTCTGTGAATTTTTTAGGTGGTGTTACTATACTGTCAAGCATTCTGTTGGATCAGGTATAGTACTTAGCTCATTTATGCTCTCTATATAGAAGTGATTGAAACTATTGGCGATTTCGAGACTGTCTGTTATCAGTTTGTAATCAAACATGATACCATCTATTGCCTTAAACTTGCTCCTAGAACCAATTATACTCTTCAAGGTTTTCCACATTTCTCTAGAGTCTCCTCTCGATTCATCAATTTTTTCTTGGTAAAAGTATCTCTTTTGTTCTCTTATTTTTTTAACTGCTAAATTTCTTTGCTCTTTGTATAATTCCCAGTCATCCTCTGCTTGTGTAATTATTGCTCTTTTGTACCTCCTGTCTCTTTCTGTTATGATGTTGTCCAGTTCAACTGTCCACCACATTTTATTTCCCCATTTACAATTTATTTCTTTCACTACTATAGGAGCATGTGAATCAACTATTTCAGTAAGGGTTTTCACCAAGAAATTTGCCTTGTCATCTAGGATGTATAAATCTTTGGGCCAATTGCAATCAAGTAAGTCTAGCTGGAACTGCAATTCGTTAAAGTTTTTAATATCACGAAAAGAAATCCTCTTTTCATATGTTGAAACTTCTGTGATGTTGATTGTTATAATGGAATGGTCAGCTATTTTTGGTGTGTAATGCACATTATGTACAATTTGATTGTCATTAGTAATTATAAGATCTATTTTTGTTGCACTTTGTGATGTAATTCTTGTAGATTGTTGCACTAGTTGGTAAAGTCCATTTCGATCAATAACATCTTTCAATTTTCTTGAATAATATGTATCATCGGAAAGATCTATATTATAGTCACCTATCATCAAAAGAGTTTCTGGCTTTATGGCATATTCTACTAATATATCTTCTAATTGAGATAAAAATTCACTGTGACTTGAATTTGGCGAGTGGTACATGCTGAGTATGTTGTAATGTGTGTTATGGGTGATTCTCTGTAAACTCGTCAACGCACCATACAAATCTGTCCAGAGATTTTATAGCAATATATATCAAAGAAACACCATCTAAGGCCTACGAAATCGACACATACATCTCAAACACGAAAATGCCCATTGAAGAAATAGCTATTTTCTCCGATATTAGCTGTTTTCTAAAAGTTCTTAGCAGGGGACTGTTATATGTAACAGAGGACTGTTTCAAGCAGGGCAGGGGACTGCCTAGTGAGGTAGGGGACTGTTTAAAATTCATAAAAATCGTAGGCATGTGCTTAATATTCTTTATTTTGCATCATCAGTGGTACCTCTATGACCACTTAATATTAGTACAGTAAAAATGAATACAAAAACATATAACGTCATACAAAAATATTCAGTTTCATCAGGAGGCACATAACATTCCATATTTTGTACTACAAATGAGATCAAGAAACTAGTTTCACAAAAAAAACTCAACAACCTTCACTAACACTATTATGATAGTACAGTAACAAAATAAAACTTCACTTACAAATTTTTATAGAAAAACTAACATTTTTATACGTTTGATGGTTCATTAGAAAGCCAGGCATGGAACATCCAGAAAATATAAAAACTCAACATCATCACCATGTGATATTTTGTAGTTTTGTAGTCATAAAAATAGTATCACAAAAGATCACCGTCATTCATTTAAAATGCCCCTACCGACATATATATGCAATATTGTTGTAGTTTACAAAATAAATCTGAACTTACAAACAAAACTTAAAAAAAACTATTCTCTGAGTATCGGCCAGATGACTTCGTAACTTGAAAGAAACAATCATCTCTCATACACGTTCACCAAAGACTCAAATTTGTAAAATATTCGATTCCCTTTCAGTATTAAATCAGGACTCTCCAACTTCTGAACTACATGGTCAAATGATACATCTGATATGTCACTTTCATCTATTTTAAAGGTTTGAACCTTGTCATCACAAACCTTTAAAAATGTAACACGCAAATCATTTTCCTCTTCGTCGACTTTATTAACCACGGCAGCATATCGATACTCCACATGTTTTACCAAAAATCTAACAAGAACGTACTCTCCAGTGCTATAACATGAATGCTGTCGACCACTAGTTCCAGCGACTTCATCACTGACGACATTCACAGGCATATTTGACTTATACTCGCTTAAATTTATATTACTATCCGAATCCGATTCTGAAAACACATCTTCTACTCTCAATCTTGGATTCAGGTCATAAGTAATGTTACCTATCTTAAAATGCTCACAGATGCCTGTGTTGCAAAAACAGCTGAGGCTCCTCATTGTTAAGGTTATACAGTTTGCTGGAAGGTCAGAAATGGAGCTAGAAAAGACCCCTGTGACTTGATGCACATTTAGCGTGCCTTTGAAGCCCTTCTGCTTAAATGCCTCCTGTTGAAGCTTATTGGACATTTCCTTGAATATCTTGACTGTCGATTGTGGTGCAAGTTATATTTGGGCATCTTTCTTGGATACATTCTACAAACTGTTCGATATTATTTATATCGCCACCAGCATTTACAACAAAATCGGCAGTTCTTTTACAGGTTGCACCAACTCCATCTGGTGCACCTTTCCCATGCCCACTCTCGGTATAGTTCCAGGTGAATTGTTCTATACCTGGAATATCTTGCGGTAGTTTGGTTGCCATCATAAAGAACATTGTTTTGTTACGGTATTGCGTAACGGGGCCATCGCTCAAGAAATGTACATGCTTTATGCCACATGGAAGTGATTGAAAAATGGGTCCTAGATGTACCCAAATAGCAGTAGGTGAGTGGGCTATGTTATCTGATATCGTGCAGTAGGAATGTATTGTACCTTTTAAATAAACTACTACTATATGCAGGCTCAATTGCGCTCTAGATCCACCGAAATGAAATGCTTGTATCTCTTCGGCATACTTTGTGTAATAATTTTCGCTGAAGTCGATATGAATAAGGAAATCGTCGTCTTGTAGGTTTTGTTTTAAATGATTTATAGCACTGTATTGATGTATGATATTTCTTTGATGTACAAAGAATTTTTCTAAATCTGTGTGTAATTGTGATATTATTTGACGGGGATGTCCATTGTACACCATTTTCAGGTGTTTTGTCACTATCTTTGGCTTTTTCGTCTTTAAATCTATGATTTCTTGTCTTTCTTGGACCCACATCTTATATTTTATGATTCTCTTATCGTTGAATTCTTTATATTTAGGAAGTCTATTTTTGCAAAGAAGGCATCTTCTTGATAAGCAGTTTTCATTATACCGGTCACAACATAGCTGTTCCAGTAACTTATGGATTTGTTGTAGGCAATTATCTTTGCATCATATAGAGCCCGCAACTGCATGTCCAAATTACTGTGAGTTACGCACAAGCATGTGTCACGATTTTGTGTACTTGGTCTTACTACCCAAAATGGACGCAACCGACAGAATGTTTGATAACTAATCTTGAAGTTATTTGCCAAAAATTTTTTGTATAAATTAAGAATCGTATCAAGAAGATATCTCTTTTGCTTTCTCACATTCTGTTTTGTAACGTATTCTTTTTTCCCAGCTCCTATGCGACTGTTACTGTCATCTTCAAAAAAGGACCGAACAGCTTGCTTATAATACCTTATTGGTATTCTTATCCGCCGTATCACAGGCACGGTCAAAGTATTGTAACGTTTTGTACTCTGAACACCTCTATACAAAACACCACAGTCTCTGGGTATACACCGCCTGTACTTTTGTAATCGAACTCCAGACAAGACTTTCGTAAATATTTGTTTATCTTTAATACATTTTAAATTTGAATAATTTTCTTTGAGTTGTTCATTTAAAACGTCGCTAAACAACGCTTTCTTAACCACTTCTTTTCTACCTCCAGGTTCATTCAACATCTTCTGCATTTTAGTGTTGGGTGTGTCTGCTTTATTTTTCTTACTTCTATTTTGTAATCTTGTTATTCTTTTCCTATATTTATCTACTTTTTTCTTTAGAGCTTCTATCTTCTCATCCTTTTCCTTATTCACTTTTTCTCTCCGCTTTTTGGCTTGCCTTCTTCGATGTGAATTGATAGCTGTTACCGTAGGGATCTGGTTACTAGGAAAGTCAATGGAAACTGAAGTGTTGCATCCTGCAGATGAACAAGGGCTCCCTTGATCAGATGAAAGCATGTTTGCACGTGGTGTATTGAGAGCCACTGTCGCATCCTTTTGTTTGGCCCGGTAAGCAGCACAATGCTCCCTCCACTTTTTTAAGGCAGCCCTATGTTCACGTGAAGTCATGTCTTTGGCTAATTTTCTCAAGCCTTTTTCCTTTTTTCTTTCATATTTCAACTTCTCCTTTATTCGCATTTCTTCCCTCATTTGCGGGTCATTCTTTTTTCGTTGGTACCTCAAACGTTCAGCTTCCCTCTTTTTCTGTAATATTTCTTCTCTGGATAACTTTTTCCTTTTCGAAGCCATCTGTAAAAAATTCTTATGTTTAGTGCGATACATATAATAGCGTTGACTGCAAAATATCAACAGAGAACTGATATCAGCAGTCCCCTGGAATGGGCTACAGTCCCCTGGCATCTTGGAGGCCAGGGGACTGTTGCCAGGGGACTGTGTATTTCGATTAAATCATTCAACATCAACGAAACAGCTGCTAGGGATTCAATTTCACGACAACTGATCACTCAACACAGGAATTATAGGAGCAATACATAATACATATATGGTTAATTATGAATATTATAAACTTTAATACTTACCAGAGGACTGTGTGCTGTAACGGCCCTGACACGTGCTCTCACAAGAAACGACGCGCTAATACTAACCAAAATGGCGCTGCGCAGTCGCTTGCTGCAGTGGAGCGACCTTGACCATAGGTGCGTTCCGTTTAATGCCGAATATCATTTGAGACCGGCGCAAACATCTTTTATTTGAGGTTAGAGATTTGTACAGGGTACTGTTTGGAAAAAATGTGGACAAAATTACACACATTTTAGAAACTTGATAAATTTAAATTATAGTATCATTTGACAGAATTGTCATAATTTGGTTTATTCATTTTCAAAGGACAATTGGCCACATAGCATGACATTCATAAATCCATTGAAAATAATATCACAAAGTGGATATCATAGGAATGGGACAGCCCAGGGGACTGTGTTTCATGATATTTGGGAGCATATAAAAAATAAACTGTAACTATTACCAATATTATATCAATCGCACAAGGAAGGCATATTGTTAAACTTATTGTATAAGCATCCTTTATGTTTTATATAACAATACTCAATTGAATATCAGACATGGACCGGGATTTACGACTTTACAGAGAATCACCCTTATTCAACTTTATATAAATTCCACTGAGCCACATATTTTTTTCTACACCAGATCAACTGTTTTTCTGAACTTTGATTCTTTTACATATATCGGTGCCCCTCCAGTGTGACGACTTTATACCCTTCGATGTCAATTTTGTTTGCACTAATTTCTGGTGTTATATGCGTTTCTACAAGGCAAATTACTATTGGTCTCCATTTATTTATCACCCACTTGAGCTCCGTTGAATGTGCTGTGTAACTGTTAATGTTAAGGTACATTATAGCATTACTTAATTACTATTTGTTTTGTTTATTCACATGTAATTGGGGATAGGCTACTCTCATTTGAAGCTGTTCAAATATTCTTTTGTAACCTTCAGAATTTCTATTGTATGCTGTGTGGTCATAACGCACTTGTAGTTTTAGAACATCCAAAGCATATTTACAATTAACGCATACATTGACTTCACTTGTGCACACCTCTTGTTTATGGTTTCCACTGCATTTTGGACAAACAACATTTGCATTAGTGCATTGTTGAGCCATGTGACCAAATTTCCAGCATTTATAGCATTGAATGACATTAACATGTTCAAAATATTTACATTTTTTCCAGCCTATGTATAACACTTCTTTTTTATTTATTAGATCAAATGTTGTCTGGTCCACCTCTAATATTATTATTCCATATTTCTTGCTTTTATGTTCATAGGCGCTTATTATTTTGAGCACTCTTTCATCCTCTGCTGTAGAAATACCATTCTGCTTGATAATAGTTTCAATAAGTGTGTCTGGAGTCTCAATATATTTCTGCTGAATATTTATTACTTTTATCTTAGGATTTTTCTTTTTTGGGATATTTATTTCGTACTCCTTATCCAATTTCTCTTTTATATTCTCAGATATGTTGGTAATGTCTTTTTTTTTTGTACAACTTATAGCAATACCTCCTTCTTTTACATATTTCACTCTAGATACTCCTACACCTATCTCTGCTGGATTTATCTTCTCTTCAACTGCTTTTTTCGTTTTTGAACTGTCTTGTGTTTTGTCCTTTGGTTTGATAACTATCACTTCCTCACACCTTTTCTTTAAAACATCGCTATATTGAGATTGTTGGATTGGTATGGGTACTGGAGTAGTGGTTGATTTATCAGCCAGCTGTTTTTTTATATCTTCCATAAGAATAACTAAATTTGGAATCTTCTTTAAAACATCTTTGCAGTTTACACTAGCATATAGCAGTGTTCTTTTTTGTAGAGGCATACATCTCACTTCTGAGCTACTTAGCTGTGCACAAACATGGTGAATCTTCCCATTACATACGTCACACGTGTAGTAATCTTCCTTTATATACTCTTTACATTTTATACAACTATCTTCGTTCTCTTCGTTCCCCACCATTTTCCGCGAATTTTCGGTAATTGTGGCAACGTCGGCTCCAGCCTCAGGATTGTCGGCATTCATTGTTTGCTTCAGGCGACTGTTGAAGACATCCTTGTTACGCCTCTGGTCTGACCACAAATAAACGTATTTGTTACTGCTCGAAGGAATGCAGCAAAAAAGTTGGTTCGATATAAAATGAAGAAGATTTCAAGTAACTTTGTTTAAGCAGATTGCATGCAGGTCTCACTTCACAGGATTGTTAACTGCACTTATTACTGATATTTGCACGAAAATTATAAATTTTTGGGCCACTTTTTACCACTCAAAACTATGAATTTTCAGCAGAACCCCAAACACGACACATATCACACCAGTGGCGTATCACATTATGATGGATGAAAAGTATTTTGAATATGTTAAAAAATTCCTGGCGAGACTGATTAATTGAAAATTAAAATATGGCTTTTTATTGGAAACTGCACAAACAAGTTTAACAAATAATAATACCAACTGAAAGTATGAAGCCTATAGAATATGCAAACATTGGGTTGTCTATTTTTTCCTACACAAGGTTGTTCTGAATGATTTATTTATTTAGTTCTGTCATGTGTTGTCAAATAGTACCTACATATTTCAACTCTTATCCATTGCAGACGTTTGAAAATACAAAACATTGTTGAAATGACGGAAAATGATGACAGATATTCGAAGATCAATAAAAGTAATAAAGTTTTCTTTCGTTAGTCCAAATTTTTCATTCATTTGAATTTTTTAGCCTGTCACTTTGTTTATTTTTTATTTACTAAAAGAACAAGAAAATCATAAGAATATATTCGAAAATCATAAGAATATATTCGAAAATCATAAGAATATATTCGAAGAAAAAAGTGACAATGTTAATGTATTTTATGAAATTCCATCTCAAATAGAGCCAAGAAAGTAAAAATGATTTTGCAAAAATTCGGTTTATTCCATCTATTTTTTAAAATATTCGGAAATGTTAAACTTTAAAGAATTTAAATGGGCAACTTTGCCTCAGTTTAACTGACTTGGTACCTTATAGTCTCACAACCCATTTTCTTGAAATGTTGATAGCTAAAATCTTTACCTACACTCATTCCTAAGACAAACCCCTAGGTCCCAATCTGACCAAGTAGCAAAGGTACATTTGCTGTAGGGGGTTTCCATGGTGATACCAAACTTTATCATCTGCTTATTTAGCCATTGCCTGAATAACATGAGGCAGGTTCCTAAAGGGCAGCCATTGTCCACTTGTTTTTGACTTATGCCTATTGGTTATAAAAAAATACTATTATTATGTTGTCTCAATCTACCTTCAAATTAAAATCTGGGAGACTCCATCTAATACAGAGAATGATATCCTGGGATTTTTGAGATGTCCAGGACTTTATGGCAAAATTTAGTTTTGGTGTTAAAAAAGTTAAAATAAACTTGCATTTTTTTATGTAAAATAAAACAACAATGAATTTCACTTATACTATTTATTAAAAAAACCTTTGCTGTAAAACAGTCTTCAGCAAAATAGTCTCATTTAAATTCCTCAGGACTTTAAAGACTGGTACTTCGCAGGACTGTTCCCAGAAAAAGTCAGGGAGAAAGAAGGGAAGAAGAAAGAAAGGGGATGAGGAAGTGAATCAGTTGAAGGGGTGCCTTGGCATTGTTAACAAGTAGCTTCAGTTCTTAAATTGAACTTGACTGGACTTAGAATTGCTCAATTTAATTTTGTGCACACTTGCTTGGTTGTGCAGGTCCTTTAGTGTGAATCAAGTGAGCATAGAATAAGTTGTAAAGCATGATATCTTCAACCGTCCTGAAGCAAGCCAGGGGCACTGTCAGAGTGTCTGAATAATTAGCCAGTTCATCAGAATTTCAAATGGGTATTCCCTATAACAATCATCCTTATTTTAAGCTAAGGGCATACAAATGTCACAGCTGAGTGGCAATTATGAGAGGACTAATTCATTATATAAACCAATGGCAGTTTATCAACCCTAATGACTCACCCTTTGTAAAAAAAGAAGCCTGATAGAGCTGACTTACCTGTAAGCTCTGTACAAAATGCAGTTAACCTAGGCTTCTCAATTGGCATCACATACTCCTGGAACTCTGCCACTATATTTTCTTTTTTAACATAGTATAGCACGCACGGAAACTCTATTATCTCTGAATATCCCCTATCTTTATCCAGTCGGTCCCAGCAAGTTGCTTCAAAGTCTAGCACAAAAATGTAATCAAAGGGCTGCGAGGCACATCTAGTTTGCAGTTCTCTTTTCACGCAAATAGTCTCCACTGCATTTAGTTGTCTTGCAAGATCTAATGTACTCATTATACTATTTTATATTCAGGAACTTCTCATTGATGATTTCATATTTTGAGGGTTTTTTTACCGCTAGAATGACATCCAAAAGTAGGGTTATGTTTATGGTAGTGGTGGGCAAAAAGTATCTATCCGATACAAAAGATCCGATACTTTCCGAAGTCAGACGTATCCGATACTTTTTGATAAATGTATCGAATACTGTAATAAATACGGACAATCTGACTATTTATACATACTGTAGTGTAGACAGAGAGTGACAGAAAAATAATGTACGGTTATGACCAAATAACTTTCAACAGCTGTGGATGTCCAAGTATCTGTCGTAATCGTCAAATACTCCGAATTTTTTAGTAAATTCTTTACTTTCTGAGCATCCTCATCATATGTTTGGGGGCAACAAACTGTTGCTTAAAGTTTTTCTTGAAGGAAGTTTATAAGCAGGATCAAACTCTTCTAACAATTCTCTGAATTATTCATCTTCAACAATTGTAAATGGCTGCATGTCTTTTATAATGATGTTTAAAACTTTTATACGCACGTTCTTAGTACGAGGAATAGACATTGGCCGCGTACCGTAGATTGTTTTGATGAGGGAAAAGGCATTCGTCTTTTGCCCTTATCAATTTTTTTTGGGGGCGTCATAAGCCGAACTTCCTGGGGTGACTTCTGACTTCCAAGGTGTAGAAGAAGTTGATGGTCCGGGTAAATACTCCAACTCCGCAGATGTTCTTAAAGACGAAGGAGACGGAAGATCTTGCGTTATTACCGCAAAATGCTTCGCCTTCAAATGTTTCCTCAAATTGCAGGTTGCACCACCTTTATAGGATAAGAGATTTTTGCAAATGTCACACTTTGCTTTATTTGAATCAATTGCATTGAAATACAACCAAACACCACTTCTTCTTTTATCACTCATATTTTATTATATTTTGAAAAAGAGAATATACAGGGTGTCCGCAAAGTTGGGGTTTTCCTTTACACGACGTGTAGATCTTGAAAACATAAGCAATTTTTGTTAGTACCATATACACCAATGTCTTAAGGGAACCGAGATAAAGGGCTCTGCAACATCAAAAATATCTGAATACCGTCCTTTAGCCGCGACATCACCGACTGGTACAGGGTCACTGGCTCAACCCGACGACAGAACTGGGTCGGGGTCAGTGTGTCAGGTCAGTATGCAACCTTCAACCGACGGTTACGGTCATGCGTGTAGAGGTAATCGCGTAGACGAGAATCCCTCAACAAGCACTAGCGACGTGGCTAGAGAAGTGCAAGTATCAAAAACTAAAGTGTGGCAAACGCTGCGTGAAGAGGGGCTGTATCCGTTTCACGTCCAACGTGTACAAGCCCTTCAACCTGACGATTTTCCAGCAAGAGTGCGGTTTTGTGAGTGGTTGTTGCATCAACGTGACAATAATCCGGACTTTTTAAAGTGCATATTGGTGACAGATGAATCTACGTTCACGTGCAATGGGGTGAATAACTTTCGCAACACTCATGTTTGGTCAGTAGAAAATCCGCACGCTGTCCGTCGGGGACATTTTCAACAAACACTTTCGGTGAATGTTTGGGCTGGCATGGTGAACGGTATGCTCATTGGACCATTTATTCTCCCAAATCGATTGGACGGGATGCAATACCTAGACTTTTTACGCAACATTTTGCCTTCCTTGTTAGAAGATGTGCCATTAAGTGTAAGACAATCAATGTGGTTTCTGCGTCTGCTCGGTAGCGCATCAGCTGATTTCATTTTCGGTTGGAGCGGTATGATTTTGGGCAGAGACGTACTTAGCCCTTCTCGTCAACTGGATTTTTATTTTATTTTTTTTTTATTTTTTTTTTACTTGGGCGCCCTCGTTTCACTACACATTACCTTTGTTATTTCAAGGGTAGTTGTTTCTGAAAAGGAAAACCGCAACTTTGCGGACACCCTGTATTATATAATACACTAAGCACTTCTAAACTTATGTAAATATGTGAGCTATACTATTTGATATGACATAACCCAGCAGTTCTTCTCAACGCAACGTCGAGACCGACACGTGGGATTCCCAGAACTCGTTAAGATAGAGATGTTGATTTCTACCGTCACGTTTATGTAGATGTCGATATCGATATTCGATATAGATTCGATCTTAGGTATTGGGAACCGAAAGGATAAAAAACTAAGGCAGTCTTACGAGATTGGTAATTTGAATACGATTTTTGGGTTGTTGCACGTTCCTGTTGTCAATTGGGCGAATTTTTGGGAATTAAAGTGTTTCATTTTGATTTCTAACACTTAACTGAAGCAAAAGGCTGAAATTAATTTCTGGTTACAAAAGCCCAGAATTTATATTTTATTTTTAACCAATATTGTAACAATAACAAATATAGCAATGTAATTTAAAATTCAGGGTATCGCTTATCAGTCATTTCTAATTTCTAGTCTATACTCGATGATACCTACTTATAGGAGACCAAAGACACAACATGTTTATTATTATTTATTATTATTTCACACTAGCAGTATTAAATTAACGGATATTAACGGCAATTAATCGAGCCGATACTTGGTATCGGTATTGCATACTCAGTATGGGATACTTACAGATAAAGTATCGGTATCTATTCAATACTTGCAAAAGTATTGATTACCCATCACTAGTTTATGGCATCGAAATGTCACCCTGAAGTTATAATCCAGGCACTAGATACTGTATTTTGTATAAAATAGTCTGGGAAGAAATTCCTGTTTTACAAGCAACATGATTTAAAAAATTACAGCTGTTATTTATAGGTGAAATACGTTAAATAATAATACGATCAAATATTTTGCACTTTTGAGGATTTTTGAAAATCCGCATTATTTCGATAATACAGAGCCAGTATTTATCTTTATGCATTATCAACATCTTTTGTTGCAATTCCAAAAAACTTAAAAAAATGTCACTCATTGAGGTAAAATTGTAATGCCAAAGGCGTCGTCTCCCCATTGACTACTCAATTTTTTTCAAAATATTCATTCTCAAAATATCAACATGTTTGTTGAAGTCTAATAGCTAGTGAGTAGCAGTTGTACATATATATATATATATATATATATATATACTGAGAGTAATTTGTCATTGTGAAACAATAATTCAAAAGATCCACCAAAACGTGTATTTATTTTTAATGTGATATAGTTATGTACAAGAAAATATCAACATAAACCTATTATATTCAATCCTCAGCAGAAAATGAGTAATAGGTAATCATACTTCAACTAATCAAATACAATACAAGAGATATGAGGCAAGGAAGTGATATTTAATACTGGCGTTTCACTTTTCAAGTTATACTATAAGTATAATTAAGTTTTATTGAGATCATAGAACAATAAATCATAAATGTCAGAACTCCTAAACAAACGCAGTGATTCGTTGATTTTTAGGGCAATATTCTGCATATTCTTCCCAAGTACATCCTGAAGATTTGCAGCATTCGTTTGTAATTGAAGAAGATCTTCGTTGCAGGGTCCTTCTGAGTCTCAGAAAAGTATGTGCTCTTTGAGGTGTCTGCCATGGAAATGTTACTGAAAAAAATAAGACTTTTCAGCCAATGAAGCAATATGTAGCTGACAGGCCGAACACAAGGTAGCCAAAAATTAAGTTTTTTTCAACATTCGTTATATTTTTTTTATTTCAGCGATAATTGATATATGTTTGCTTTAAAAATAAGGTATAATTTAACGCCCACGTAACTGGGAACTTGAGTAACAATGAGACGCCCTTGCAATATCGACGCTTACGCAACCATAGTTACGCCACCGTGTATCAAGAGCTATATAGCTTTCGGCATCATCGAGAAGTATCGGCCAACATCGGTAGCGTTCGAGAAGTGTTGATCGACATCGTCTAGAACATCGAATTTATTTCATTTCCTTACCGTCATACCGTTTTACCCTTATTATCAGACATTAATATTTTGTTGTTGTGCCTCTTTGGGCAATTCTGATTGATAATTAAAGCTTAAGTTTTCCTATTGGGGAATAACTATTTTCAATTGGCGTGTGATGTAGAAATAATACTAAAGCTTTTTGTTTTTAGTAGAACATTTAGAATTGCAAGATAGACAAATTAAGATTTTTCTTTTTAAAGCGTTATACTTACCATCAATGTCTGTACGTTTCGGTTGGCTTCTTCTCGTCAGTCTGTAAATATCTTTCTCGCACGCCCAGAATAAGTGCTTTACAAGTGTTTCTCTACATCTGGAAAATCTCTCGTTGTGCCAAGCATCCTTCCAGTCGGAGTGTGTACTGTACATATGAAAAGGTAATAAGTAAGTACATGAAGTATTTCGCTAGGGGGAGATTAAGAAATGCCGCAATATTCGTATTAATAGAGAAGTAAAGTTGTGACGTCAGTTCTCGCAAGACATCATAAGTTATCATATGACGTTACAAGTTCTCGTCTGACGGCATAAATTTTTCCACTCCGGTACCGTGTTCTTAGATTATGACCGTGCTTTTCCCATTTCCTGGTCAGAGCTCGGGGGTGAGAAGAATAATGTTTTCAATCTGACATACCGTTCTTGGAAGACTAGGTCCAAATCGTCAAGGTCAGACTGTAATGCTGCTTCAGAAATGTGAACAAGAACACATAGCGCGGCTAAAGTCGATAACGGCAGCCACATTTTAGCATTCAGGATATTCCCGAAAGCCACTTGGGTCCTTTAAGATATGTCCATTCACCTATAATAAAAATATTATTATAACTCGTGTAACTGATAAGAACAACTTCTTGAAACTCAAAAAACCGTAGTTTCGTTTATCTGAAATTTTCATACGTTCAATCAATGATTAACGTGTTGGTTGAATACGTCTATCAATAGTTCGAGGAGTTTTATTGACACATGTTTCTGTGAAGTCTACCGATTTTCCTAGTTTCTCGTATAGTTTCAATTTCTGTCGGAAAAATATAAGAATGCTAAAAAACGATCACATCAAAAAAATTTGAAGTCATCTACCAAAATTTGGTTCTCAGTACTCAGTTCATAAATGCATAGTCTTAATCTTACTGATGGTTTCGAATGTTTAATTTCTCAAAGTTGAAAATTTATAGACATATTTAAAGTACTGTCCAAATGAACTTTAGCAGTTGAAGAATTGAAAGGTAGGCTCTAAGTCCAGGACGTACCTATCTTTGCATCCGGATTCGCTCGGAAATATTCTCATACAAAAGTAGTTTTCTACGTTTTTTCTTTGCCATTCTGGACAAAGGGAGTTCCTATAAACTTTTCTGTGAGGTTGATGGTTTTCGAGATATAAGCGAAAATTGAAAATCATTACAAAATCTGCCTTTTTCAACTCAGAAAAACAATATGAAAATGGCGTCCAGTAGATTGACTGTGCACTTCCCACACAACGCTGTCATTTCGTAAAGGATTCAGTTCATCACTAGTTAACCTTTCTCAGCAAAATGTTATGTATGTAAAAAAAATTAAAAGACCTTCTTCCTCCTCATGGGAAAATTTCCAGCGGATGACGACATTGATTTTTACAGCATACAACACACAGCAGCAAGGAACCGAGTTTCCAGGGGAAATCAATTATGAGTGAAATATGTCTAATAGGTGCGTAGCATTTTTGGCCTTTTTCTCTGCATTAATTTTCGAAAACATATAGTCTTTTCGTCCTTGGCATGGTAGTAACCTTGTGTGAAAATTTCGTCCAAATCCGAGTGGTACTTTCCAAGCTTTAGACGGGCCAAGCATTAGCGGTCAAACAGACAGACCGACCGACAGACCAACAGATCGACGGAAATTAGTGACATGGATTTTCGTGATGCCATAAAACATAATATCTCAGTTTCGAAATTTTTCGCTATTATAATACTTCCTCGCCAGTGGGCTTGAAGAGTAAAAAGCGAAGATTTCAATGTGGCCTAATATTCTTCGAACATCAACTAACAAAATATCAAAGCATTTTAGGGAGTATTGTTATTTTAAATCTTTGTTTTTCAATTGTTGCTCAAGCGCGCTCAGGCAGAATATACAATAATAATATCCCCTAAAATGCTGTGGGATTTTGTTAATGAATGTTTGAAGAACATTTAGGAACTTTGTTTTTCGAGGTCAATAATGACATATTTTGCACCAATGTAACTGCCTAAAGAAAAAGTATTTTATGTAATTTTTTATAGAAATAAAATAATTATATTTAGGGGATCTATTGAGCATCTCCAAGTAAGCAAAGAAAAATGTCAGCACTACACCGTTTTTCTTGAAACGCGATTCCTTAAAACGGCAACCAGCATAACTCGAACAATTGTAACTATTTTCATTCGAATCGTTTACAATATCCTCAGAATAACATTTTGAAGAGAAATGCTTAGGGGATTCTCGATGAAATAATATAAATATAAAAATTTGTTAATAATTGTTTTTTTTTTCGCTGAAAATTGGACGCTTTAGTTCAAAGACTCGCCAAACACCCAAAAATCAATGTTTTTAAAATCCCCTATGTATTTATTTAGCTAGAAATAGAAATTTCGATGTCACACGCCTCTGCTTGAACAACTTGGTGAAATTTCACATAGATTTGACAGTGCGAGCAAAGTCAAAATTTCATAAAATCACGACGGCAGATTTTAAACTTCAACTTTGAAATTTCTATTTCACTGGCTACATGCGGAACGACTTTATATATTTTGACATTTGACGTGTCTTAAGATTGGTCTTCCATCCTTTTCAGTTGCTTTTGTATTTTTTAAACATCTACTTGTTTTGTTTTCGTCAACTATGATACCGATCCTGTAGTAAAAATGTATATGACATAATTTGTTGCAAATTTAATGTAGATTATTAATGTAGAGGGTATTATAACGATATTAATGCATTTAAAAACCCCTTAATAGGAATCTTTTCCCCCTCCTCTATCGCCAACCCATCTCCCACAGTCGAGGACTCTTAATGTGTTCATCTGGACACCTCAAGTAGGTAATAGTTCTACCAATTTTCAAAACTACACGAATTTGTTAGTCAGATCACCTTAATTGTATCAAGCTAAATGTGTCACCTGCCAAATTTTCATCCGTTAGTTCCCCAGACTAAAATATTGATAAACGCTGAAGAAACTTACAACTTACGCTGGTGATATTCAAAGAGATACCTGTCACCACTCAACACACCACTACCTTTTCAGAACGTCCGATAAACCCGAAGACTGATTACGAAGGACTCCCGACGATCGCGGATCAGCGATTGGCTAACGGGCGTCGCGGCGAAACTTAGTTGGCCATGGAGTCGTGGAAAGCACCGCGATGCTGCGTCATGTCTGCAACTCCCGGAGTTACTGCAGGGTCCGGAGGAAAACAAATATAGAGTATACGACTATCTATTTGTTGCAGAATTAGATGCTCGGAAAATTTAGAGTCAGACTCATAGGAACTTTACCTACATCGCCTACTTCAAGTCTCCTCTGTACCTCTATACAACGCTTTTCAGTAACACCACTTCAGTTAAAAAATCTGGTAAAATTTGCCATTTTTTTTAAATGGAATGTTTTATATTTTATTTTATATATAGATAGAGCCTTTCAAGAGAAGAAGATTGATATTACATACCATAGTTGACAGCCAGCCACCACGTCATTTAAAAAAGATGGTTATTCCATATTCTAGGGTTATACAGTACTTATAAGGAACTTCAAAATGAGATATCACGCGATTCCCTTTCCATTAAAAAAATTCAAAAATCTCTTCCAGCCGCCATCGTGATATATTCAGCTGTCATTCTTAGGATAAAATATACTCGTAGTATGCGTCAATTTCATTACCCCGAATTTCAGCTTACAAATTTGACCCGCACTCGTATTACATAATCTAAAAGTGACAATATATCGATTTGTCATGACAATATGTAGGTTTTTTTACATTCTATAAAATGTCACCTTTGAACCAGCTGACATTCACTTCATGCTCACAATAGCGGGTACCTTGTTCACAGGTTGAAATTTTACCGATTTTTTGACTTTATATAGGTTTTTTACGTAATATCCGTATGATTCAAATAATAGGTAGAAGGACCTAAGGAACCTTTTTGAAAAGCGCTGTATATTCTACTGTAGAATATTATGCATTCGCGAACGACTTACATGTTGTAGATGGGGGACGATGTATACATGTCAATGAAATTTTAAGGCTTTTATTCCATCAAATAAGATAATTTTCTGATCTGATGTGAATTTGTTGTGGACGTGTACGAATACACCATCATTTTTATTAATATTTCCCTAATTATAATAGTGATAGGTAATTAGGAACCATTATAACGCTTAAATCTGCTAGTTGAAACGTTTCCGTAAGTATTATACGATCAAACTGAGCATCTAGTGAATTTATTAGTAGAATAAGTTCATCAAAATTGTTTAGAACGCTTCATATATTTATACAAATAATAGTGAAATCATCCTTAATATGTTTGCTCAACAAAAACTGTGTGCTAAATAATTTCAACTCCGCAATTCAGTTAACTTTTCCTGCTATTTTACAATGTATTTTCTGTCTTTAAATATGCAAACAATGACGTTGTATAAACCAGAAATCGATATGTCTGTGAAATTGATAGACGCACTGTATAAGTTGCAGGTGAACAGCACAAAAATACACAATTGCGGCCATAAATTGAAGCAAAGTTGTCCTCTGAGACACTTTGACTAATTTGGTGATACATTGCGACACCAGCGGCCATTCACATGCTTACCTGAGATCTCTACAAGATACATTGATTGCATAGCTAGACAGTATGGAAAAAACCTGGATTGCGGAAAATTTATGGAGAGCTATTTGTGCTTCTGAGCAGTTTTTCATTCTTTACTACATTTAACTCTAACTGATATTTCACATTTTCTCCAAGATTTGGACATTCACATACAATTTCCATCATCACAGGCATGTTGCGAAATAGGATCGCAGAAGTTCCCTTAGACGTAATAAAGTCAGACTCCATTTTTTGTTCAAATAAATTGTTTATTCTTTAGTCATCAAACTTTCAAGGAAATATCACTCCTCAACCATTGGGATCTCAGAAACGGTACGAAGTCGCTCGAATGAGAGTAGAGAGTTGCGTATTTAAGTAGCTAACAAAATGCAGCTTAGACAGTTTAGAAATTCAAAGTGCTTCCGGAGAGAGGCGGAGAAACTCGAATTTTCTCAAAATCGTTTTACTATTTTCATGATTTTATTAGTATTGAGATTTCAAAATAAATTGCACATCAACATTGTTTCTCTAAGTACCATAACACATATTTTTTGCATTCTTGTACCAAAGAATACATGATTACCAGTAGAAGAGCCACTCCAGCGAAAAAACAGTTCCTGCTGCGTTGGCTGAGATGGTACTTCTCTTGGCTAAAATGCTACCTGCCATGTGGATGCGATAACCCATTCATTACCTGCGGTGATATTTCAGAAAGTATCTTCGCATCTGCTCGAAAAAATATTCTTATTTTAGTTTTTTTGCACAACCTCAATGAAAAAGAATATCAATATTTTTTACGCAAAAGGGGTCTTAATGAGATTATGCAAAAAAAAAGGTTTTTCTAAGCAGGAGCGATGGCCGGCATCCGAACCCAAGTGGGTCGCGTGACTGTTCTATGTGTACAGGGCGATTCACTATGACCAGCTGGTGCTGCGTGTCTGGATGTAAAATAATGGTGGAAATGGAAAGTTTCAGTATATTTGGAATCGACGAAGGAGATCCACCCAAACTTACCTATGATTCATGAGCGTCAAAAACGCGACATCACTAATTTCCAAAATAATTTATGATCAATTTGGATACTTTTCGGAGTTTCGTTGAATATGTGACGGAATTGGAGGAAATACGTAGGAAAGCGACTGAAAACTGTGGTTTTAAGCGTCAGTTTCACTCACATTTGTGAACAGTTTTCTGCTGATCGTTTTCTGTCACTTGATATACAAGTCCACATTAATTTTAAATTTAAATATGATTTAGATTTATCGAAATAAAACAGCACAAAGTGTCATACGTTACCAGAATCGACCACTGCCAAAGTGAAATCACTACCCTGTATAAAGCAATTCTGTACTTTTTTTTCTATATGTCACTTTATTTAGTAAAGTCAGTTATCAATATTTTGGCGTTCATGAGCTGGGCTCAAACGTATTCTGGCCGAAGTTTTTCAAACGAATCTTAGTCAAAATGCCGCACTGCAGGGTAAGCATTGCTGATTTTGCGATACATCTGAGTCTATTATAACTCATGACTGCTATTTTGAAGGAACTTAAATTGGGAGATGTCTGGAGGACATGCAACAAAATTAGAGCCGCCATATTCCGTATGGGCATAAACCTTTTCGAATACTTCGCCCCTCTAGACCCGCACAAAAATTGTCTGATATCGGGTTAGTATGTATTGCAATAGATAGGTATATAAATAAATATGCTTTATTGTTTGATCATTCTTGATGGCAGAAAACTAAAACATGATTACATATGTAGATCTTCGGTAAGTCAACTGAAGAACTCACACATGGTATATAATATGGGTTGCATATTAAAACATGTTCACGTTCACGGCGGAATATCTTTAAATTGTTAATTCTTTTGATAGCATCTGGGAGACATGTACATTTCCTAGACTATTATAAATTATTGAGTCTTTCACAAGTACTGTTTTATTCACTACTAATTTAAGATCTTGTTTTCGTATAATATTGTAACTTATATTCAATCTTTATAATATCTTGACAATTTTACAATGTGGGATCGATTTTAAATCAATAGAGTGAAGTTCCGTACAACCATATTATTTGTTTATTTTTTTTATAATATATCATGTTTGCAAAAGATGCAAAATAGGGCTGTTGAAATTTGTTTATTATTTAAATTTGAGTATAACTGTTGGAGTACTGTAAAAATAGCATCCATGGTATTTTTTTGTTTTTGAAAACCAAATTGGTTCTCACAATAATGAAAACTCATGCCACTTTTTTAAAGAACAGATGGAGATAGCATTGAGCAGTAGCGTTTAAATGAATTCTTAGGAGTTAGATACTAAACTTACTGGAGGTTGTAAAACGCCTCGAACAATACCCATTGTGCGATACTCAATGATATATTCATGAGCTAAAATGCGGCTTTTAGTTATATCTCCATTACTTCAACTTGATTACAAATCACCAAAATGTGTTAATTCCAGTAAGCATGCTTTCTAATCTGAGCTTACTAAATAATCGCCATTTTTAGAGTCGCAATTTATATCTGTAATAAATGGACAACTTAGAGCGACTATAGGCTTGTCCGAACAAGAGGTTGCTGAATTGGCAGACTACTTCAGAGTTCCAGATGGACGAATCTACTACACACAACTTTGTGAAGTTATACACGACTCAGGTGAGGACTCCAATTGAAATAGTATTTGTTTATTCAGCAAGTCGTTGTCATGTGTATCTAACAATTTATGTATCTCAAAATCAAGAGTACTGTGAAACAATATTCTCATGTTCATCAAGCTTATCATATTCGAGGGTTTCTATATTTTAGCTGTGCTTGCATATAAAATTGGCATCACTTCACTTTTTCACTAAAATGCTGCCTAAAACATATTCTGCAGCAAAACACTTCAAAAAACTATTGGCGCTTCCAAGGGGAGGGAGTAAAGTGAGTGATCCTATCCACGACTTGAGTTGTCTGTGTATTCAATATGTTTTACAAACCCACTGGTTTCTGAGATAATGGGATAAAGCAAGTTACGCTGGTCACTCTGTATATTAGATTCAGTTTTGTTGCCAATCCCACCTAACCACCTCCCCCCTCCCCAGCCTGAAACCTGCTGGAAGCACCACATCGCTTGTAAAATTCTACCCTGACCGCAGCAATAATATGCTGGCACATTCATCATATATTACAAATTACAATATACAGTTAATACTGGCACATCCATCATATATTGAAAACTGTTGTTGTTACATGCGCATTCACCATTTCTTGCAAACTGCAATGCTTCCACAAGAGCGCGATAGTTTGACTAATCGGAATTTTCTCTTTTAGTTCCTGAATTTACTGACAATGCACCGCTAGTGACAGGTTTGGAATGGGAGGATCCGATGCACTCCAACCGATTGAGTATCAGCGAGGAGAGACGTCTGAATGTGCTTATCACAAAAATCGCATCATTGGTCAACATGAGGAAACTGATTTTGAGACCGTATTTCCAGGATTACGAACTGGTATATCCACAATACTTCAACAAAAATGCCTTTGTTATCCACAGTCTCGCTCTATCACTATTCTTCTCTCATTTCTCCTTCATTCACTTCTTTACGTTATAATCTTTAGGACGTTCCAGATGATCCTGATCGTTTTATCTTTTTTAGTTTTTAGGGGTTGTAGGGAAATGGGTAGGGTGTATCGCAATATTAGAATATTAATACACTTCCAACTTCCAACCCCGATAATTCTACACACCTTTTAGACATATTTCACACATGATAGCTTTCCCCGTACATTTGCCTTGGAAACTAAAGAATACATTTTTTTTTCGACAAACTACTTTGCGTCTGCTGACTTCAATGGCTGGCCGGCGTGCCGATGTTCGTATGTGTTCCAATAACATTATACGTTTTTATACGTTTGTGTATTTTTTGGTCCAACGAGCCCAGAAAACGAACAACTTGGTTCCAGTTTCAGCATTTAATATAACATTTAATGAAACACTGTAATTATAATTTTCAGGTGTCCAAGAATACTGGCACAGTGACCATCGCGCACTTTGCGCGTATCTTGGCGCATCTCAACATACTATTATCTGCCGATGATTTTAGCTTACTCGTTAAGAAATATTTAAAAGACAGCTACACACTCAACTACATAGCCTTCCTTGCAGCTATCGACAAAGTTGTGAATTATCTAAATGAGCACAACATCCTGGATTTGAGCGGGGTAATGTACTATGGTTATTTATGTTTAATTTCTCCAGTGCCGAAACCCTCGCCGATGTTTTTTTTTCAAAATCTATCGTTCTTTCTGATTATATGTAAGTAGAGCGAGTTTTTCTAATCAATGACACTTTTTTATCTTTAGAAACATTGTGAGAACAATACAATGTATTTTACGAAAATATCCTATGTTGACTGAATTACTTATACACCAGGCTGGCTAACGAAAAATCGACCTTGTTTCAGAAAAAAATGTAATGAGAAATATAGGACAATTTTGCTGGCTAACTTTTATGTTATTAGACGAGAAAATCACTTTTTCCCGTATATTCAAATAACTATAAATTAAGATATTTGTGTGTAAGGGACCCTACAATATTCGTAATTGATAAAAATACCTTCAAACTAAGATCTTCCACGGCCAATTTGTCGTAACTGTAATTACAAAAAAGCGTCAGGAATCATCCAATCCTACATTTATTTTTTATTGTAAATGGCAGTTTAATAAGCTTCAAACCTTTTTTATACTTGAACTTAATTGCGAATGTTTGCTGTACCTTTGTCTTTGAGAATGAAAGGTTCTAAATTTCACTTTACCCTTTACGATACCACTTTCTTGGACATGCAATATTTTCAAAAAATCGCGATTTGGGATAGCACAATTTAAAAGCAATTTATTAAATTACATTATTTTATACCCTTTGTTTCTAGCCTGTTCCGTTGTTTGCTGTCCACTACTGATTTATCTGTTTTCAGGATATAATGAGTATATTCCCAGGTAGGATCCTTAATGCCGAATTACCAAAGCTACCCAGGCCAGAAATAGGTAAAGTTCTTGGGTGTCTTGTTGAGGGGCTAGCAAAAGATAGCTGTTCTGAATATAGATTACGGTATATATTTGTCCAAACACATTTTTCTACTTATACCGTAGATGTGATGTCCCCATTTGCAAAGATTTTAGTGGTTAAAACTAGTTGCTGTCGCTAGAATCCAGATATAAATGTCGCCAAATACAACTAATAAGTTTCTTCTAGGGGAATAAGAGCAAAGAGTGAACTTGAATAATATCCAAATATTTACGCATACAATTTTTCACTTATTTTTTCAATGGGCCAAGTTAGCAAGCTCTTCTGGGAACGTTGTTTTAAATGAATGGAAGGTGATATATTGAAGATTTTTTAATCATAAAGTATAAAATCGCTATCTTTTATCAAAACATGTGGAAAACCATAGTTTAGAAAAGTCCTATGTGCCAGGGTAGGAGGTAACCTTTTTTTCTGTTATTGGCACTCATCGAAGAGCAACTACCCAGATCTTTATTTTTATTATCATGCTCTAATAGAACATCCATTACTGAATATTACCACTGTTTCATTTCTATTATATACTAAGTGACATATAAATCCGAACACCCAGTTTAAATGGTTTTATTTTAATAAAATTTTGTATAAGTACTTAATGAAGCATAATAAGTAAATGATAAAAATTTCAAAATGATTGCACTGCTTTAAAGCCCTTTGACCTTTAATAATGTGTGGATGCACCCTGATGTGCTACGCATTCTCCAACGCCCCTAGGCATGCTTCTGATCAGGTGGTCAATGTCCTTCTGTGGTATCTCATTCCAGGCAACCACCAACTCTTCTCGAAGTGCTTCTAGAGTCTGAGGAAGACGTTGCAAATTGAGCAATCTCCTACCCATCATATCCCATACGTGCTCAATTGGGGATAAGTCGGGAGATCTTGGTGGACATGGTAACAATGTGACATTATGTTGAAAGAAGTCTATTGTGACTCTTGCAACATGTGGTCGGGCATTATCTTTTTGGAAAGTTGGATCTGCCAGGGTGTCAATATAGGGTAAAAGATGGGGTTCTAGAACTTCGTGGATATAACGCTGCGCGTTCATGTTACCTCTGATGAAGATTAAAGGTGACCTGGAACCATAAGCTATAGCACTCTAAACCATAACTCCAACAGTATGATGAACATGTCTTTCGACAAAAAACTGTGGATTCCTCCTTTCACCACGTCGCCTTCTAACCCTTACACCGACGTAATCGCCTTGAGTGGTGCAGACAACGGTCACTCTGGGATCAGGAATAGAACAGTATTGTCTTTAGTGACGAGTCTCGATTTTGTTTAGGCATGCACGATGGTCGTGCCAGGGTTAGAAGGCGACGTGGTGAAAGGAGGAATCCACAGTTTTTTGTTGAAAGACATGTTCATCACACTGTTGGAGTTATGGTTTGGGGTGCTATAGCTTATGGTTCCAGATCACCTTTAATCTTCATCAGAGGTAACATGAACGCGCAGCGTTATATCCACGAAGTTCTAGAACCCCATCTTTTACCCTATCTTGACACCTTGGCAGATCCAACTTTCCAACAAGATTATGCCCGACCACATGTTGCAAGAGTCACAATGGACTTCTTTCAACATAATGATGTCACATTGTTACCATGGCCACCAAGATCTCCCGACTTATCCCCAATTGAGCACGTATGGGATATGATGGGTAGGAGATTGCTCAATTTGCAACGTCCTCCTCAGACTCTAGAAGCACTTCGAGAAGAGTTGGTGGTTGCCTGGAATGAGATACCACAGGAGGACATTGACCACCTGATCAGAAGCATGCCTAGGGGCGTTGGAAAATGCGTAGCACATCAGGGTGCATCCACACATTATTAAAGGTCAAAGGGCTTTAAAGCAATGCAATGCTTCATTAAGTACTTATACAAAATTTTATTAAAATAAAACCATTTAAACTGGGGGTTCGGATTTATATGTCACTTAGTATAGTTATAGCGAACACAATTAATTATATTTCTCTGCTTTTGAAACAGGTACTTTTTTTTGTTTAACCAATTCTTTTTATATTATTTATTCGTCTTTTCCACTTTGTTTGCTATATCGTTTTTTTCTTTTTATTGTTATTTTTTAATTTTGATACACATTTTTTTATGCTGATCTATTTTGTTAATTATTTTCTTGTTTTCATTCTTTTTTTCGTAAACTTGCTGGTTCTCAGAACTGAGAATTGACCCTTAATTTAGTGGCAAAGCTACGTGCTTAGCTAAAATTTCATACAATGCAGTATTTTGTCTATTATTGCAGTAATGTTCTTGTATTTCCGCAATTTCAATGTGGATCATCATCGTATCCAATGCTTTATGGTATGTCAATATATAGCCACTTCTTATTCTACTCATGGTTCTAATCTAAGGACGATTGGTAATTCCTTGAAGCCAGAGGTGACCTTTAAAATTATCCTCTAGATTTATACAAACTGCAATGCTCTATTATATCTTTATGAAGCAATGTATATTTATCAGCTCATTCTGATGAAATGCATCATTCATTCAAAGTGCTTCGTCCAAGTATAATTCTAGACTGCGGTGCAGATAGAAATAGGATTCCGAGATACACATGTGTGCATATCATACTTTGCGAGTCTTACTTTGGTAGAAAACGTTCATGCCACTGTTATATACAGGGTGTTCCATAATTATTGCGACAAAATGATAGGGGTTGTAGAGGGCATAAAAATATGCAATTTTGCCTTATAAACCCCTGTTCGTAAATATGCCGTTTGAGCACTACAGTTAATTTTACCTTAAGAGCTCATAGGAGAAACAAAAAATTCACCAGCTGCAAAATGTTCGTCTAGCACATTTCATGGTCTCGCCGGTTTGTAGAAAAAGCCTGCTGTGTTTACATTTTTGTTATCGTACACCCGTACCACCTTTTAAAAGTCCAAGCCATGGGTCCAGCAGACTATCTGCCGCGTCGACGTTTTTGTCGTTGGTGGCTGCAGCAGGAGTTGAGGCAACCAAACTTTGGTCGCTACGTTTTGATCACTGACGAGTCCTGTTTTACAAAGGACGGTTATTTTAATAGCCGTAACAGTCACATTTGGGATGAAGAAAACCCTCATGCCATAGCCATCCATAGAGACCAACATCAGTTTTCAATTAACATCTGGTGCGGCATTGTGGACGAGCATATCATCGGGCCATATCTGCTTCCACCACGTTTGGATGGGCATGCTTATGGTCGATCCTTACAGCATGTGCTACTGGAACTATTAGAAAATGTGCCACTGAATATAAGAGCCAACATGTGGTTTCAACACCATGGCGGTCCAGCCCACTTTTCTTTACAAGTGCGGCAGTATTTGGACGACAAATTTCCAAATACAATAATTATGGAACACCCTGTATATACCTAATCTAATACAGGTTCACATTATGCTTACAAAAAGTCCCAAATTGGAGAATATGTGGAAACGAGGTCTAGCATGCAACTTATCATCTAGCATGTGTCCGATGTTATGAGTATGCTTTATAATTTTAACATTTAGGTAAGATTTCTGGAGCAAAACTGTTTGGAAAACAGAATATTTTCCATCCTGCATTAAATGATCCCAAGAAGATGGAACACCTTCTGACTATAATGTCATTGATCCAGGACCATGTTTCCAGAAACAGGCTGAGAGTGTGTGAATTTTTCAAGGTAATTTTGAATAAATATTTGAGTTTGGGACTGTATTTTTGGCACCCGAATAAAATATGGGTCCGTCAGAAAGAACGCATGTTTTTTAAATGTAGTAGTACAGTCAAAATAAGTATGGGAAAAATATTTTATTATATCGAAATATTCAGAAATACATGTAATTTTTTTGAGTAAAACAAAATTTACTTTAAAAAAACTACGGCCATATGGCGCGCTTGAGCCAAAATGCAGGAATCAGGCCTCTCCCGAAATGAGCCCATTGCGTCGGCCAGCATCCGTGCAGGAATTTGGGTTACTCTCTTCTTATTTCCTCCTTCAAATCGACGAGGGTCCGAGGCTTGCTTTGGTAAACTTTTGATATTAGGTAGCCCCATAAAAAAAATCACACGTGTACAGGTCCGGGGAGCGAGGAGGCCATGGAATATCGGCATGACGAGAAATGAGACGTCCTGGGAATTTTTGCCGAAGAAGTTCCATGGAAGTGCGAGCTGTGTGAGATGTTTCCTCGTCTTGTTGGAACCACACTGTTCTGAGTTCCGGAAAAAAAGAGTTGTTCAGCATGTGGATGTAACGCTCTGAATTCACAGTAGTTTCTCCATCATCATCAAAAAAATAAGGGCCCATAATCATCGTTGTTCCTACTGCACACCAAACTGTACCTTTCGGGGTATGCAGGGGATGCTAATGCAACTATTGGGGGTTCACTTTAGACCAATATCGACAATTTTGTTTATTGACGTATCTATGTAAATGAAAATGTGCTTCGTCACTCATAAACAGCGTCATATCATTGTTATCCAACTGTTCAGTCATGAGATGTACAAAATTAACACGTTGTGCATAATCCTCTGGCAACAGTTGTTGACAAATTTGGATTTTGTCTTCAAGATGGGACGTACAGTGGACGCGTGGATATCTATAGGGAACTGGCACGCAAACGGACGGAACTATTCGGGCTTTGCAACGTGTCAACTCTCACTCTGTCTACGTTTTATAGGGTTCCAGCAGTACCTCACATTACCTGACGTGTTGAATGCTTCCACCCATCTCAGAATGGTGTTACGGTCTGGTACTGTCCCACGACGTGGAACACGAAAGTGAACGCGAAACTCACGTTGCGTTCGAACGACAGACTCGCCATTTTGAAAGTACCGACGTACAGTGAACACACGATGCTCAACGTTCCAAAGCATCTTGCCAACTGAAACGGCACTTCTCCCACAATCCAACACGCCCTTTCCGACCGACACGGAACCAGACCACTCGATGTAGTACCCATGCGTTCTTTCTGACGGACCCGTAGGAATCACATAGTTTTACACTTCTCAACTTAGCGGTCTCTCCAGAAGATGTTTTCAATGGAAAGATGTTCAAGAAATGAAGCATTGAAATTATTTTGTTGATTTATTAGTTTTGGTTAATTACTATTAACTGCTTTAGAGTCCCGCACAATATCATTTTCTAATATCTAAATAGCATTGATATTATCGAAATCAAACATTAATAAATTTCTTGAAACAACCGCAGGTAGCAGTACATTGATGTAGATGGAGCAGTCTCATCGAGGCACGTTACAATTATTTTTAAGTCATTATTGTACAAAGGTGCAAAAAATTAGCAATATATTGCGTTTATGGATAGTCTGTTTCTGGCGAACTAAATGAATTAATACTTTTCATTGGATTATATCTTCGCTAAAGTTCTAACATAGTGTAACTCAAATTGACTAAATTTTAAAAGAGCAAAAAAACAGTGGATCTTTGTATCCCTATCGAAAGTTATGCATATCTAGATGACGCCATTTTTTGAGTTGCGCTTTGTTAAAACTTATGATAGCTGCCTGTTTCTCCGCAAATCGACGGAATCAAATAGAAGAATTTCAGAATAGTCCCGAGTCACCCATTGAATTCTTGCTCCATGTTTGGGAAACTCCCTGTATATGACTTAACTAAGATATTGCCATATTATGAAGTAATATTTCAATCAAATTAAACCGCTTTTCTCTGATTTTGTCCCTCAGAAAGTATTTTTATCAAATGTACCCACGGCGTTTAAGGCGCGCGCGAAAAGGTTTCTTTATAACCTATATTCTTATCTTATATTCCTGTCCGAATGTCTGAATTTTCAATTAACAACCTTAATCACAGAAGACATGCAGAATCACTATTTTATTTATATTTGCGTCAAGCTCAGTGCCGGATGCTCCGCTGTTCGATTTTCGTCCGCCGGCGCGCATGACGTCACGCGGAGAGTGATTATCATTTGGGTTGATATGGATAACGTGCATCAAGTAGAAAAATTGAGTTATCATCAGCAGTAAGCTGGTAGTATAACAATAAATGGCAATGACTTAGTCTAAGCCATAATTTTTCTCCATTTCCTTTCACGATTTTTCGGGTCTTCCAAACTTGTACTCAGTTCTTTGATCCGGAAGAACATCCTTGACCTGAAAAATAGTTTCTTAGCTTTTTCAGGGCAGTCAATGTTGCTGCTCTTCAACAGAAGTTCGCCTATAAAATTTTGCTTTTCTGTCACTATTCCGTCCCCACTGAATGTAGTAAATACCTTAGTAAATACCTTATTAAGCTTCTCAATTTGATTCATGAAAGCTGTGGAAGGCTTTGATAATCCATTCTCACTAAGATGGTCTATCCAGGAGAAAGTTTCATTCGAGGAACTTTTCAACCTCTCATCCTGCAATTTATGACAAATAAAGCCGGCCAAATTTTTCAGCCCATCATACTCGAGCTCATCCATTTCTTCCACTAAAACTTCCTCGTTATAGTCAGCTGATACTTCAAGTGCATTCAGTTTATTCGTTAATGATGCGGTTAGTGGAATGTCCGGAGTATCCTCTTCCTCTACGCTGCAATACTCTGAGTATGTACCTTCGTTTCTCTCCAAAATATATGACCTTATTCTATACTTAAACTCTAGGGGATAAGTTGAGCCCTTTTTCCGTAAGCACTTTTCAACAGATGTAGATGGTCCAGGTGATGATAGAGCCTTGGGTAAGTTTTCCATAGGAATGGCACAATCTTTTAGAGCACGGTAACTTTTAGGGGTGTAACCCAAAAAGTTTTAAATAGACCTTAAAGGCACTTTCACAAAAATGCTTCGCGCAAACCCTAGCGCTTTTTACATTGACTTTGTCTTTTCTTTTTGTAAAATGTAGCCATTTTTTGCTAAGGTTTGGGTCTTGAAGAAAACTGTAGAACTTCATGTCTTTGCAAGGATTCCGTTTAGACTGGTTGTCGGAACTACCTCCCACAACAGCACACCGCATTTTTAACAATTTATCAACCACACAGGCTATATAAGGTATGCATAACTAATAGAACAGGTCACAAAACCACCAAAAAACAGCAACAAATCGCACTATATAGTATTAACCACGATAAACGTGAACTGCATTAACGTTACGCCAATCCTGCCGCTGGTAACCACGAGCCGACAACTCTCCGGGTGACGTCACGAAGCTCCGCCCACATGCGCAATATCCTATCTTCAGTGTATGTGTATCGTGCGTCAAGCTGAACATATAGCCAGCCAGACTTACGCATCCATTTTACTCCCACGCCATCCTCGATGCGCTTACAAATGGATCAGGGTTGCCAGATGCGGTAATTTTTCACCAAATCTGGTGGTTTATTACCCGTATCCATCACATATTTGCAAAAAATCTTCATTTCATTAAATTCATCAAAGAGTCGTCAAACTAAATTCGCCTAGAGGGACGAGAAGCGGTTCTGTAGAGCTAAAAGCCTAATGCGGCGATCCTGGTGTGGGGAAATACTTCTGGCACGCTCTGTAACCTTAACTTTTCATGTCCGGCGTTCAGGATTCCGTTTCCAAACTCGCTGAGCAGTTGGAAATTTTCTTGGATTCTCAATCTAGACATAACGAGTCGACTAAAGTAGCTCTTCACAGCATATTGTACGATGACCAAATGCGAATTGTAGTTACAAATTACAAATAAGACTTACTTTTTTTTGTAATAGCAGGCGATATCACCAAAACCACTTTATCGCTATGAGTGCTAAAACTATTAGTACTGCCAATGAAAAAGTCACCGTGATGGAAGATTTTCAACAAGAACATTTCCAATCTACATAAGATGAACTTTGTTCTGTTCTGCAGGACTTTGACGTGTTGAATTGCGGACGCATAACAGTATCCCAGTTCAACCGCGGCCTAGACGCGTTAGCTCTAAGCGGGAAGCAACGCTTCTTCCTCGCAATCCCCGACGTTGAGGCTGTCGTCAACCAATATCGAGACCCCTGCGACCCTACAAGAGTATGTTGGAAGACCTTCGAAGATGATGTCAACCATGTATTCACCACACACGAACTAGAAAAGGCTCCCAGCTTGGTAGTCGATCCACCTCCAAAGGAGGTCCGTGACTTGCCTAAACTTGGCGGGAAGAATTGGCAGACAGTTAACCCGTCCATGAGGGCGCTATGCGAGGAAGCTGTGGATAAAGTCAAGCAGAAGATCATCCATAGGAGGATATTGTTGAAACCGGTGTTTAGAGATTTCGATAAGTAAATCAAATAGCAAACCTACACTATCCTTAACTCTATCTCTCTTGCTATTTTATGCTTATCAAAGATTAAAAAACAAAAAAAAAAACATATGCGGTACATTTTTATTTACATACCTTTTGTAGCGCATAAAAATATTGATTAAGTTTTAGGTGTCTCTAATGGTTATTAAATACTGTACGGCATAAACAAAATTATATTTATAACTATAAATGATTATGAAAAATTATTATGCCGTTTATTTTACATGTAACATTACGTATAAAACGGTGAAGTTCTGAGAAATATGCAGTTAGAGAGCGATTTTGACTCGGTTACTTGCTGTGCGCCTGAAAGTTGACAACAAGATAATAGAACTTTGCGATGTAAGAGCGGTACATATATGTATTAATGACCTTCTTCTAATAATCGCTAATTACAATATTCAAATATTGTAATTAATGCAATTGCTAATTAGCAAAAGTACAATTTGCAATTTTTTTCATTATAAAAGCTACACAACAAAGCTTTATTTGATAAAAGACGACTAATTTTAAATCTTATTATCTAAAAAGTTCGCGTGACTGATTTCACAGAAAATATTGTAAACCTTTATCCCTTATTTGTAACCACATGTAACCCCCCCCCCATTTTTGCCCACAGCTCCCGGTCTATTTAATGATCCAGGAAGTACCTTTTGCATCTGATCGAAGAAATATTCTGATTCGTTTTTTTGCATAATCTTCAAAAGGAATCGATCGCATGTTTTCAGGACCAAAATTGTGTCAACGTTGTGTAATTTTTTTTTTATTGATACAAATTTTTGCTATTGAAAATTTTTCTGGGGTCGTTCTGAAAAGAAAAGGGTCATTTGAACTCTAAAGTTGATAGATTTCTGGTTATAAGCGATTTAATATTTGAAAGAGTGTCAAGTGTGTCATTTTCGATCTATTCTAAAAACAATATGAAAAAACGAAAAATTTAACGTTGTCAGGTACCTGAATACTCTTCAAGCATCCATTAACAAAATCTCAAAGTATGTAGGGGATATTGTTATTGTAAACCTTTATCCCTTATTTGTAACCACATATACTCAAGAATGTCGTATGCACTCTTGAACTGAGGTCACTCTGTGCATATGGCTAAACTATTTGCACTACACAGGCGCTGAATCAGAATTCTCGCAGGTCAGAGTTATATGCAGCCATAAAGGCATTCATCAACTTAAATATCCTTACTCTTCCATCTCTCTACATGTGTATATACGAGTACTTTGAAGTTGAGTCATTAATTTTCAGATAATGATTGTAGAAGGAAGATAAACCAAAATATGTGTGTAAAAATAAAAATAAAAATTAAAAAAATGTTTGCCTTGTTTTATAAAGTATCCTCCCGACAAGTATTTCAGTGCGGACCTGTATTTGATCGTGAGGTCTTGGAGCACCGGCATGCCGTCCATATATGAGGTCTTAAGTCACCTGATTCACGAACCCGTTGTACTACATTAACAAAGGCACGAGGGGTTGGTTGCACTCGATTGGGAAACCGATCCGCATAAACATGTGCCATTTTTTATTTCGTTTGAGCCACGCAACAGACACCACAATTCACTACCGACTGACAATGACTGTATACTAACTGTAACTGTAACTGTAACTAACAACTGAATGAAATAATTGTAAAAACATCGTTCCAAATTCTTTCGCTTTTTTGTTTCCGATGCGATGAACCGATAAGGCGGATTATATCCGTTGTCGCCAAACACGAGCACATAATATTATTATTGAGACAGGGCGGTACTCAAACTTCCAAAGGGCTTTAACTTTGTTACTTTAATTTTACCAGAAAAATGGTAAAGGAAAAAAACATTTCTTTTGATCAGATCTACTCACTGTTAAAATAAATGACTCAACTTCGAAGTCACCCTGTATATTTATCTGCTTATGTAATGTACGAGTACATAACAATTTTGATCTATACAAAACATAGAGTGATGTATACAGGGTGTCGCATCGGGAACGCCATCGATAGATTTCTCCAAAAGTAGGCATATGATATTTTTGAAAATGTATAATCTCCAATACCCAAGTCTAACAGTTTTTGACATCTTTCAAATTTGATGTCAAAAATGACGTTTGCAAGCCCTAAAATAATTGTTCATTTCCCCTATGTAGAACACCTTATTGTTTAATGTGGATTGATTTTCTGGTAAACAGGAATATAGTTTAATAGACTTTGTATGATATTTCGATAATTATTTATACAGGGTGGTCAAAATATTAGTATAAAAATTGAATGCCAAAAATTGCCAAAAGTCGATTTTTTCAAATGAAAACCCCCTATTTTTATAAGTTTATCGCATCAAGCATTAAAAATTAGCGTAACTTTATACAGGGTTATCTTTCCCAAAAATGTTTACTTTTCGAGTAATTTGCAATTTATTACATTTCTATTGTAAAACTCCTATAAGTACAGATTTAGTTTTTTAATTAGTTGGCTATGAGGTGGGACGCAGAGAATAAACAATTGAGTACTTCAGATATATCACTGCGTATACTTTTAAGCTTTTAATAATAATATAATTAATAATTTTCATGTATTTGTAATCAGAATAATATGAAGACTAATTATGATAAGTTTGCTAGTAGATTTCCAAACAAGCACACATACAGTGAAATGAATAATAGGAAACAATAAGCTATTTTGATTTATATTTAACTTTCATACTATTATAAAATAAAATCAAAACATAACAAGAAACAACTTATTTTGGTAAACGTTCAAAATGACCACCCCTAACTTCCAAACATTTAAAGCATCTACGTATTAACTTCTGATAAGTGGCAGTTCTTATGATTGCCGGACTTCAACTAGCAAATGCATTTCTTGTGGTCAGTGGGTTCTGGTAACAATATTTTTTATTGTCCCCCATATAAAGTAGTCCGATACTGTTAGGTCTGGCTACTTGAATGGTGCCTTATGAGCAAACCATTGATCGTAAAACGTAGCTTCTAAGAAATTGTTTATTAAGTATCCGTTGTGGGGTGGGGCACCGTCATGTTGATAAAATACATTTTGATGATGAGCAAGTGTTAAATTATCCAAGAATTGTTTTCTAAATTCCGAAGAATCTTCTAATAATCTTCACCTAAAAATATTATTGGGTATTAATAATAATAATAATTTTTATAACTGCATAACGTTTTCTTTAATATCCAAATATTTTTAAATGAGATAAATTAGTACTAATGTTGGCAATGCGGACCTTTGTGTTAAAAAACTTACACTACTGGTATTTGCATATTGCACATTCTTATCAGTTGCTTTTATGAAAAAAACTTACCATTTAAATTTTTCTTCATAAAACTGTAGTTGAGTATCTATGACAGCGCAGTATACATTGAATTGCCAATTGTCTTGAATGTTTCTTTCTCTTATTACATGAAGGTTCTCATTAGTCCAATAATGATAATTGTGTCGATTGAAAAGGCCATTTTTGGTACATTTTGCTTCATCTGGCCATATAATATTTTTCAGGAAAGGATCATTTTCTTGATACCCTGTTCTTCCAATTGTTGGACTTATGATAGCTTATATGAATTAAAATTGTGTTTGTTCAAAATTCTGCTAATATCTTTCGTATAACCTGACCCTCGTACAGCTTGTCGTAAAACCATCTGTGGAAAAGCATAAAAATACCCTAAAACTGCTATTTTAATGGCTTCATCGTTAACTAAAGGTTTATTCCTTTGAATCTTAAGGCTTCACACAACCGAAATTTTTGAAATCTCCTACTTCTCGTTTAGCCGTATCTATGAGCAAACACATCACTCTGTTGCATTCACCATAAACAATAAATAAATTAAAATAGTTTTCGTGAGTGAAATTTAAACGGGGAAATGAGCAATTGCTTTAGGGCCTGCAAACGTCATTTTTGACATAAAATTTGAAATATGTCAAAAATCGGTTAGACTAGGGCATAGGAAATATGATTAGAATTATATGTAGAATCCGAATATTGAGTAATATGCAGGGTGTCCAATTTAGAATAAACAAGTTGGCATCAACTTCCGGTATAACCGGAGGTGTCACCATCTTGAAAATATTTTAGCTGACGTTGCCCCATCGACGTTAGTATACTCCTAAATTTTCAAAAATGTCACATGCCTACTTTTCGAGAAATCTATCGATAGAGTTCCCGATGCGACACCCTGTATAGTGACAATAAACATAACATGCATCATAAATCAGTAGCTTTGAAAATGACTTTTTAAAAAAGCTTTATTCAGGTCTGAACTTACAGACCATTACAAAAATTACATTACTGCTGACTAGGAATCAGAAGAAAATAGACAATATAAATGAATAATGGAAAAACAATAGACTATTGAGAAATAGAGACACGAGAAGCTGTTATCTTATGCTAACGCAGCGTCTGGTGCAACACTGCATGCTAACTTAATAACTATGTAGTTACTAAGAGCACATAACATGCTAAGTTAGATATTCCTAGGCATCGTCTACAAAGAACTAGAAACGGTTCTAAGTACTATGGAATCAACTTTTATAATGTTCCTCTTGCGGCACTAAGAATATCTGACCACGGCTCATTTAAGAATAGAACTAAAGTAGGCCTTATCAATTAAGCGTTTTATACCATCGAAGAATTAAGTAATAACTTTTCAGAACTCTTATAATCGTTTTGTAATGTTGTGTACAGTATATTCAGATAAGAGATAGACCGGATGTAAACAAAAGGTTCGGGTGATTTTCACGCTAACGCCGCCGTCTCGACGTAAAACAGGAGCCCTCATTGGTCAATTCGCAATTAAATGCCTATGCCGAGCGGCAGAGCAGTCGTATCAAGGCAGAGTCACATTCAGGTGTGCATCATTGCAATTTGATATTTCTTTGGACGTTTTCGTTTGTTATCTTATTAAGTTGTTGAGTTTGTCGTTGTTATTGTTATACCTTGTTATTGATTGTTATTGTTATCAACTGCTTGCGCAAAATGCCCAGTAGTACAGATACTGCCGATGAAGTTGTAAACTCCTGTAGTCCACCTAGGAAACGCTCTAAAAAAAGACACCTGAGTGCAGAAATGAAAGAGGTCATTTTGAATATATAAGATCGAGCGCGAGGAGAACGAGGCATCAACCATCAAAGAAATTGTTGTGAAGGTTTCTCACAAAGTTGGGGTGTGTCGCGCATCAGTGTTTAATGTGTTAAGACAAGACAAAAAAAATCACACCTTTTCTGAGCCAATGACCAGTAAACATCGCAAAAGTATTGTTAAATCATTGGATGAAGCTGGTAAGCATGCGATTAGGAGGAAAGTGCATGAATTCTTCTTTAGGAATGAAATACCTACTATAGATAAAGTACTGCAGGAGGTAAATGGAGATACAACGTTGCCAAATTTCAAACGATCAACTTTCCATGCGTTACTGAAGCATTTAAATTTCAAATGGAAAAAACGGGGTCGTAATAGTTTACTACTGGATAGAGAAGAAATTGTGCTATGGAGGAGGGATTATTTAACAAAAATTGGGAAATATAGAAATCAAAACAGGAAGATTTATTACCTTGATGAAACGTGGGTAAACGCAGGACACACTACAAGTAAAGTATGGGTTGATGATTCTGTAACTTCATCCAGGAGGGCCTTTCTAGATGGACTGTCCACCGGATTAAAAAATCCAGCAGGTAAATACGAGTAATAGATAACAATCGGATGTTTTTCAAACCTTGGGAACAAGGTTCTAAACATTAATTCCAGGGGGCAGATAAAACATATTACAAGTAACAAAACTTTTATAACTTTCGATAAAATGCGTGGATGTTTTATTGTCATTTTCATTTGTTAGAACTTTTTTAAGCCATGTTTTTATGTGTTTTCGATATTTCAATAATTTTTTAATATAATCTTGAAATATGTCGAATATTATAAACTTACAAAAAGTTACTAAGTTTTATATTGTGTACCGTTCCTAATATTTCTAATCATTTTAATTCATACTTGAACTATACTGAAACCCTTATGTATATTTACATCATTATATATTTCTTACCCCACCCCCACATGATCCTATATCCATCACCAATCGTATACACATCGAATTGTGCTAATTTACTACAAAGTTACGCAAAGCAGCATCTACTATCTAAAATATGTACTGCGTGATTCTTAATACGTCCCTGCCGAATGTTACAGCGTTCGATGACCACGTGGTCTTGTTTATGTCCGGTCTATCTCTTATCTGAATATACTATAGTTGCTTACTTTTTCTCTGTTTGTTAATTTGTTCCGATGTGCTTGTTCTAAAATTTACAATCATAATGTTATTTTACAGTTTTTCTGTTAATGCTGTTTTTACAGTTTTCTGTTAAAGTTGTTCATACCAACAAATAATAGTATTATTAAATATCGTATCCTTGTACGGCAGAATCTCAAAAAAAACTAAAAAAACTTTGTCCTAAGCGAACAAACCATTTTTTTATTTTTAATATTTAAGCGATGTTTAATGAGCCCAGCAGCATGTAGATATTTTAAAAGGGGTTCTTTTTGAATAAGATTATGCAGACATCCGAATCATAATATTTTTATATACTTTGTGAACTATTTTTTTAGCACGGATGTAGGCTCATAAAGTAAGGTTTTTTTGAACGTTCTCAAGACTATTAACGAAATGCTGATAATTAAGGTAACTATATCAACGTGATGATTTCAGGCACAACAATGGACATGTTAGCCGTAACCAAATGAGGCAAGCCTTGCATTCAAACGGAATATTGTTATCCGACGAGGAGCTGTTTGCATTGGAAGAACGGTTCAACAATGACATGGGCTTCAACTATTTCTGGTTCTTGAAAGACGTCGAGCCTAAGCCAGAGGAAGAACCTTTGGTAGATAATATTTGTCGCTAAGCTTACAATGAATCGCACAGGTTCTATATTCTGCTTCAGAGCTACAGTAACTTGATATAATCCATTATACGAAATGAATTCGGACTAGGTAGAAGCATCTATCACGCGATTTGTTTCGTTAGGCAGAATGACCCGTATCACCCTATAAAAGCATATTCGCACCGCCTGTGCAACCAGACATCCGGTGCCACGATTTCGCTTCACCTGGCCCAGATACCAACCTAGTCAAGAAGTCAATATGTGGTGGATCATTAACAAATTAACATCTGAGCATTCGATACGGTCAGCCACCGCGTGGTTGTGGTTATTTGTCGCCTTGAAGTCTTCTAGCCATTTTATACTACAATGTGTATGTTGGCTCTTGTTGTGGACTTCGTGTGTCTTTTTTTCCTCTCCATCTTTGTTTCCTCAGGTTACACCCGTATCCGGATGTATGGGCATGTGTCTCTACTTTTGTAGTTGCATACGTGCATTCATTTCGGGCCTGATGAAGCCAACCAGCAGAAATACGTATCGCTCGGGTTACCTATCCTATTTTCTGCTCAAATCCACTTTTTGCGGTTTTTGCCCATTATTTTCCTACTTTTTGTTATATATATATATATATATATATATATATTATATATATATTATATATATATATATATATATATATATATATATATATACTTTTTGTTATATATATATATATAACAAAAAGTAGGAATGGGCAAAAACCGCAAAAAGGAGTAAAGTGGATTCGAGCAGAAAATAGGACAGGTAACCCGAGCGATACGTATTTCTGCTTTTTGGCGTCATCAGACCCGAAATGAATGCACATATGAAACTACAAAAGTAAAAACACATGCCCACACATCCGAATACGGGTGTAACCTGAGGAAACGACTTATTAGTATGTAGAACGACTTCGGAATCCTCAAAAAAGTGTTGTGTTCGAAGGCTACTTCTCTTATGGTGTAGAAACCCTGCCAATTTTGAATAACTCAATAGCATGTTGAGCTTCGGTCAAAATTCTTGACTTCGATAATTTCTTCTCGGACTCCCTCATTATGTGACTGCTTATATCAAAATATTTTGAAATCCTCTTAGTTCCGTGGATTCGTGAAAGTCACGCGTAAACTGAACGAAGAGCCCATGAAGAAACTAAAGAACCGCAAGGAACGTGACATTATTCAGATCATGGCGAAACTAAAGGGCAAGGTAGTACGAGAAAGGATACGAGTGATCGATTTCCTCAAAGATTTCGATCGCTGCAACGAGCAAGTCATCAGTAGAACAGACTTCAAACGGGGTCTGTCGGTGTGTGGGTTTGATCTCACAGAGAACGAGATTGATACCTTGTGTGAAGTGTAAGTATTTTCGAAATCCTGCGGGCCGTACCACCAGTATTTACTGATTATGCCATCAGTGTCAGTGGATTTTTACGTGACCTTATACGGTGTGGCCCAACGAACAGGTCGCACCCCAATTTGTACCTCTCCTGGTATATTTTGGGAAAAATGCTCGGACACGTCAATTTTGATTTCTAGGGAGACGTCCTTTCATCTATAGCCTTAAAATACAGGGTGATCCAAAAATAAGATATTGCGTCATAAAGGGAAACCCCCATTTTTTATTTTTAGATTTTCCGTGAAGTTTTTTTGTATAAAAAGCTATTTGAGTTCATAATAAAATTCTAGAAATTGTAATAATAAAGGATTGTATCGTAAAAATAATAATCAATATAGTTCCCATAGTAACAATACTTTAAAATTAAAAACAAATCTCCGAGTATTAAAAAAACAAAAAACAACTTAGTTTACACGCACATTAAGGTTAAAGTAAACGTGAATTTGCTATAAAAAGGTAGGTCAATGTGCTAATAAATGCTGGTCCATTTACCTTCACGCAATAATAAAGATTTTGTTCGAATCAATTCCTCACATTTTCATGCATGTCTTGAGATATTTGTTTACATTCAGCCGTATTCCGCTGACGAATATCTTGAATGGAATCTGGCTTCGTACTAAAGACTACTTTTCAAATGCCCCCAAAGAAGGTAATCTAAATGAGATCTCGGTGGCCACCCGATGAGGCCCCGACTGCCGATCCACTGATTCGGAAAATGGGTGTCCAAAAACTGTCGTACTGGAGCGATATAGTGCGGCGGTGCTCCTCCTTCTGAGAAATAAATGTAATTTTCGTTATAATTATCTCTAGATCCAACGGTGGGAGATTCAGGAGAGCTGCCATTGCACTCAATTGCGTACTGGTACAAGCAAACGCTGAATTTTATTAAATTTTCTTTACAAATTCTTTGCTTTTTTTTTGTATAAACGCGAGATTCTAGTTATTCCTGTTCCCTTTCGCTGAATCTGTGCTGTATTACAGTAGTCTATTCTCACCACTCCCTTGTCACTCGAGGATTCAATATCTGGAATCAGCCTTCTGCTAATCTCTGCACCATGACCAGCTGCATCCCATCTCTTCTGCCATCAAACAAAAAGCGCCTTCTTGTCGACATCTTTAGCTTTACCGCCCTTTTTATAGAGCGCATATTTCCCTTCTGGCAGCAAATCAATAGGCGTAACAGCAACCACCACCAGCAATACCTAATGTAAACACCGTTCCATAAGAGATCACGAAGTACCATCATTCGCTGGGCACACTGTCGAACCCATTAAGGCAGCAATTTTCATAAAAAATTTTTTTTTCAGATTTGCACCTCCTCTTCGTCAATCGTGCGTGGACTACCACCGTTTCTCAAACGCCTTGGAGGAAGCGTTCACGCAGATTGGCCTGGAGAGGGCGCCGTTGCTGGTGCCAATACAACACGTGCCAACGAGGGACTGCGAGAAGAACTTCCTGGACTTCGACGAGAGACTTGTGGTCAGTGTTGCGCTCCAGAAGCTTGCGAAGAAGCCCGATTTGCAGATGAATCTGTTCGAGGTTTTACAGGTAATGATACTTTAACAGTTTAACACTAAGTCTGGAATGAATTACTGGAAATGGAGGATAGAATCCTGTCGACATTGGGGTCTTCCAAGGGCGGATTTAGGGATATGTCTAAGGGGGCGCTGTTCCTGGGAAATATTCGTCTTCGAGGTATCCAACGATTAAAAATTGAAAAACTGGTGAGGCAGGGGGTGGCGGGTACATGATTGGGTACTTAAGCATCGAGATCAAACGCCCTTGTCCCAATTGAACAGCGGGGGGTGGGTTTCAGGGGATTCCCGTCTCACGGTTCAGGTCTAACAAGGTAATTTTACATCAAGACACAATATATATTATTTTTTCGAAAAAAAAAATAGCAGACTTGAACGCCTAGGAGATCCTTCGCACTCCTCGAAGTCCGCCCTTGATACCATCCTTCCGTTTGTCATTTTAGGTAGTTCCAGATGCTCAAGCAGGAGACAAAACTTAAATATTTTACTCTCTCATATTATCTTGATGCGACATAATGAACAATTTACCTTCAATTCCGATGTCGGGGTTCTAAGAAACTTGCTGTGGTTCGTAATTTTTATAGTGTCGCGTTGAAAAATGTCTAAGATACCTAACGAAGTACCGTTCCGCAGCAGCATTGATTCTTTCATTTAGATCACTTTCCTTACTTCCTTTAGAGTGTAACTGTGGTTTCTAGATACTTGAATTCACTTACGCATTCTAGTCTATGTTTTCCTAGTAGGGCGGCATTGTTTTCATGTCCCGCTATTGCAATTATTTTACTCCTATCTGTGTTTATTTTCATGTTCCTGGACATGAGAGCTTGGTCCCATATGGTCAGATTTGTTTGTAGATTTCTTTCACTATCAGCAAATATGACAAGATCTTCTGCAAATGCGCACTCCGTTATCGTTACCGGTTGTAGGTTTTTATATCCTATTAATAGTTAAGACTAAGATGAATAGTATCGGGCTCAGTACACTGCCCTGTCTTAGTACTTGGTCCGTTGTGAATTCATCCGTATCCAATCCACCCACGCGGACATAATTTCGGTTTACCTCTTAAAGGCTTCTGATACCTTGAATTAGCTTTGTTCCCACTTTTCTTTTTTGTAGTATGGCTGCTATTTCTGTCTATCCTATCAAAGGCCTTCTCTAAGTCCAGAAAACCTACGTATGCCTCCCTGTTTTGATCCAAAGTCTTGGCAATTACTTCTCTGATGGTAAATATGTGGTCCTGGGAGCTATATCCTTTCCGGAAGGCGCTTTGGGAATCTATCATCCCTTGTTCGATTTTCTTGGTCAGTTTGTTTTCCAAAATCCTTTCAAACAGCTTGGCTACGACGCTTAATAACGTGACTCGTCTAAAATTTGAGCATTCCCTTGGGTCCCCTTTTTTGAAAAATCGGCACCACGATTCCAACTTCACAGTCTTTGGATACGACTCCTGAATCCCATATCCTCACAAATAGCTCTAATAGTGTTTCCATGCATCTTGGTCCCATTGTTTCAATCATCTCTGGCTTGATATTATCATGTCCTGCCGCTTTACCCATTTTCATCTTTTTGACTGCTGCTACTATTTCCTCCATTTCTATCGTCTCTAAGTCTGTTCCTGAATGTAGTGGATACTGGGATTCATTCAATGGTCATCATTAGTGTTAGTTAGTAACTGGTAAAAGTATTCCTTCCATCTTTCTTTTATGGCTTTTTCTTCCGTTAGTGTATTTCCATCCTTTGACCTAATGGCCACCAATCTTTGGTGATTTCCTTTCCTCAGTGACTTGAGAGCACTGTAGAACAGTTTTCTGTTCCCGTTTCTATTCTACTCCATCTCAATACCAAAATCCTCCCAGCATTTCCTCTTTGCTTCTATTATCAACTTTTTCAGGTTATTCCTGTGCATATTATATTCGTCATGTGCTTGTGTTGTTTTTCTACGTAGATACGTCTTCCATTTCTTTTCTTTTACGTGCTGTTTAATTTCGGGCGTCCACCAAGCAGTTTGTTTTATATTTTTGTTTATCTTTGACACACCGCATACGTCTCTGGCTGCGAATATAGTATCTTTGAATTTCTGCCATACTTGCTCAATACTCCAATCTCTAATATGTTCGAATATATTTCCTACCTTGGTTTCGGTTACCTCTCTGTACGTCTTTGCGATTTCAGAATCTTTCAGTTTATATATTCTGATGGTTTCGTATCTATTTTGGTTGACTCTATCTGTCCTTTCATTATCCTTCCGTACAGCCGTTTTTATCCTGGCCAGCAACAAATAATGATCGCTGAAGTTTTCTCTTTTAACTCTAACATCTAAAATGTTTGCCCGATTTTCTCTCTCTACTAAGACGTAGTCAATAATTGACTTTTCATTTCTGCTCGTTACTTCTCTTGTATACTTATGTATCGTCTTGTGTCTGAAGAATTTGTTCGATACCACAAATTGGTTCTCAATAAAAAATTGTATTAATTTTTCGCCGTTATTATTTTTTACTTCTTCTCCATCTGATCCTATAGTGCCTTGTGTTTTTTTATCTCGTTTACCTACCCTACCATTGAAGTCCCCTACTATGTAAATTTGTGCTCGGCTAAGCTCTATTGTAGTTGATAAATCTTTCCGAAATTCTTCTTTCTCTTCAGTCTTTTCATTTTCATTGGGGCCATATTTGACTATTGACTATTATTACTGTTATCAGATCTTTTGTGAAATTAAGTTCAACCTTCAGTAATCTTTCATTGTGATATACTATGTTCTGTATGTTTTTCTTCCATCTTTTACTTATCAAACAACCAACTCCCGCCTTTGCTCTTTTTTCTGCTCACAGTATATTAGTAAGTTTCCATCTTGTAATTCCACCTCCACAGAGTTTCAACAATTCCCAAGATCTAAATTTGCCTTTTCGAACTCTTTACCTAACTCTATTTCTTTTCCACTTAGTCCCCTTATATTCCAAGTTTCCATTCGTTTTGTTTTCCTATTTTGGGTAATCCGTGTCCTCGTCCTGTCTTCTCCTTACTGCCATTGCTGTGATCACCAATCAGTTTTTTGAGTTTTCTCTTAATTCTATCGGCTGCCCTCTGTCTTCTAGCTTATTATTTTTCTTATTCCATAAGTATTTAACTCCATTTATAACTAAATACTGATACCCAACTCTCACAAAGCTTCCTTTCTCTTTTACATTAAGATTAACATTAAGACAAAAATTACAGTGTCATACAGACAATAACAAAATGGTGTGATAACGATTACTTAATTTTCAATGCTAATAAGTCAAAGTATGACTATTAAATGCTCCATTGATTCAATAAACTTAAAGAACGAATTGATCTATAATACATACAACACCATTAAGGGCAAATCATAAAATATATTTTACTAATGATGTATGTATCACAACTGATTACTCATCTGGTAAATAATTCCTATATTTTAAGAACATTTAATTCCAACTTAGGGAAAATCACAGCCTTCAGCGTTTGTTTGAAAAAGGTACCTACCATATGTTACAGAAACGACTAATTCTTAAAATTATGACCGTAGTATCATTGTTTATCTTAGAAACAGCAACTATTTTAAAAAATAAGTCTAAGTTTGAAACAACAAATAAAAGTTAGGATATTAGACAAGATAACAGTACCCAAATCGACCCCTGTGAAAGATTCAATAATTTATAATATATATAATTTAGATACCACTAATTTAAGATCTAGTTTTCGTCTAAAGGTAACTTATATTTGATGTCTCAAATTTAGATTTATTTTTTGAAATAAGGGTTGCTGTTTTAAAAATACTAGAGTCATGATTTTTCGATTTGAAAATAAAGGCCTGCATTTAGCTCTAAGATTGTTTTTAGTTATATATCTAGTAGATCGTGTTGGTAAAATGAGCACTTTTTTAAATAATTTTGGGAACAGACACACCAAAAGGGAATGCAATATGTCAATCTACTTTCAAATAAGGCAAAGTAACTGCTTCCGGCTGTGCTTTTCCCTACGTTGTAACTAATTGTTCTTATAATAAAGTAAATCCTTGCTACGAGTAATTGATCTATATGTTTAGTAAAATTTAATTTATGATCAATGGTCAGTCTTAAAAATTGATGGTGTATTTTTTTGTTGTCACATCATTATTTAAATTTGTAGAATCAAGGGAGCATTCAATTTGCTCCTACTAACATTGGAAGTTAAGCAATTGTTCATCACACCATTTTTTGATTGATTATATACGTATATCACTGTCAATTTTTGACCTATTTCATATGTATATCATGTTATTCTGTCTCTATCTGATAATTCTAGAATGCTGTATTTTTCAGTTTCAGTTCTTCTCTATGACACGTGTGCATACCAGACGCAAGATTCGCCAACTTGTTCGTCATACCTTGATAAAGAGATAAAAATTTTACTGTCGAATGTCAAGGTTTGTGTACAAATGGTGTAGGACCTAATAAGGCTTCACCTACCTGTTGACGGTGGCGCAGAGCTTTATTTTGTTTTCCTTCGGGTCGTAACTTTTAATAAGGCGGCGGTGGAATAAGGGATTGCTAGCTGAATTATATTTCACGCCTACGACAGAGGTGGGAAATAATGAAGACTTTTACGCCGCACGAGCGTGTTTGACAGGAAACTGTGCTCTTGTTTTCCTAACGGATATTGCTGTTTCCAAGGAGCATTCCTGATTTGTGGACTCTGCGGATCGAATGGTCATTCACAGCGAATTTTAGGCGACACGCGGCAAAAATGGCGTCAAGAAGGTTGACTCCGCACTTCATACGACACACTGTCAGGTCAGCAGTTCATACGGCACAAAAGTTAGCTGCTCTGAGAAAATAATTGGCTACGAATATGTATAACAAAAGAATCAAATGGATCTAGTCAGTCAAGCAGGCCCATATGTTCCCCAGGGCGCATTAACTTATTTGATTATGTGTAAAAGAACCCATCTGAACTTTTCTTCTTCTTCACTTCCCTGCCATTAATGGGTGTGCACTTTTATAGCCCAGGACACTTACGACTTATCACATTTTCTGTGTTGGATGCTGTAGGCATATACGATCAGTCCATATAGTTCCCACCAATTTGACAATGTTGCTATCTAGAAATATTTCCTAGGCCGTATCGACAGTACCGACCATCTGGCAATGGATCCTTTCCAATAAGGAATTTGTGACTATGAGAGACTGACAAAGACAGTCATCCATACAAATTAATGATATGACGTTGCGTAGTTAGGGCCTGAACTGATCTGATCCACTGTAAATGACGGTTCGGGACTGTCAGAAATTAATGGTTTTAAAAAACCGAATGTTGCTATGACTGACCTCGTCACTGGCCAGCCCACAGCCTAGCCACCCATTGGTCAGATAACGGTGAGGCATTGAGACCTCGAAGCAGTTATAATTACGTTCGTTGAGTTGTGTAAACGCGTTTATTGAAAATCTAATGGGAGATATGTCTAATAGATACATAGAATTACTGGGGTTGGAAGCGTATAATTATACTAATACCAACAAAACTGAGTTATACCCTCCCCCATACCCACAACCCCCACCAACTCTTTACCTCAACCAAAAATTTACTGAAAATGAAAAGGAGCCTCTGAAACGTCAATAACCGAAGTTTGTGTAACTTTTATCTTTTCTTTTCTGACCCCGTCTCGACTAGTCAGACTTTCAAGAACTGAAAAGCCTTTTCGTCCTTGGCATAGTGTGAAAATTCCATCAAAATTTGGGCGCAACGTCAAGTTACAGACGGGCCAAGGATTAGCAAATAGACATACAAACCGACAGATAGACCAACGGAAATGGGTGGCATGGTTTTTCGTGACGTACATGTCATGCAACCAAAAAACGTAATATTTCATTTTTCAAAAATTTTTCACCAGTGGAGTGGGAAGTAAAGCTCAAGATGATTTTCGTATTCCCACGTATTCAATAATAATTAAGAAAATATTCAAACTGGAGGTGGAGTTGTTGAAAAATAAAAAAACTGGCAAATAAGAAGCACCAAAACACCCTTACCAAGATGTCATGCGGTTTGGCATGAAAATGCTCTAAATAAAACATGCTTAGCCAAAAAGGAACTATCACTCGATACCAAGCCAAAGATATATAAAACAGTTTTCTTACCTGTTCTTTTATGGGGATCAGAATCATGGGTGCTGGCCAAGAAAATGAAACAAAGACTGCAAACGCTGGAGATGAAATTCTTGAGGAGGATCAGAGGCGTCACGAGAGCAGACAAAATAAGAAACGAACAAATAAGAGGATCTGGGAGTAGAAGCAGTAACAACCGAGATCGAAGTCAGCTGAGATAGTTGGGACACATAAACCGGATGAAGGAAACTAGGCAAGTGAAAAGAATATGGCCAAGTTGATAGAGAGGAAGACCTAAAACAACTTGGGATAAAGCTATGGAAGAAACATTAAAAGAGAGAGGAATTACAGCAGCAGAAGCTAGAATACTTGCAAAATACAGAAGACAGTGGTGAAACTTTGTGTTTAATTATTAACTAAAAAGTACTACACACCCTTACATCAAATATAGTACTGGAAGGGTTTGTATCTATGTCTTTTCAAAGTATTGCGGTATCGTCAGCAAAAACTATGAATGTATCATTTACGTTTGATTTTATTGATTCGTTCAGTCATACACTGAAAATAAAATCGGGCCTAGTTCTGATCCTTGAGATACCCATGCGTCTATATTTAATTTGTTTAAAATCGTATAAATTTAAATATAACTGATAAAGTAATGTTATTTAGGAGTTTGCCATTCTGTAATCTGGATGGAGTCACTTATAACGGAATTGAGGAACTAAGGTAACATCACTTAGAATTCTCCCAAATCTCCCAAAATCGCTTTTAGGTATTTTTTTAACAGTGAAAATAAATTGCACATTAATGAAGTTCTTTATCAGTGAAAAAAAAACGAGGTATGCTGTATTTAATACCTTTTTCCAGGATTTCGACAAGACGAACTGTGGAACAGTGTCCCAAATGAACTTCCTGAAGGCACTTACCCTGAGAGGTATGGATACTCTGATATCCAGAAACGAGTTCGACGTGATCTGCAAGTGTTTTGGCTTCGAGAGAGGCATGAGGGACGAGGTCGACTACAGGGCATTCATGAAAGCCCTAGATATCATATATGCCACGGAAAAGTACAATCCTTTCTAATGTTCAAAGCATTGGCTTTAATAAATCAATTTCGTATGCAAGATCTCCTAGATCTTTCTACTGAAAACAAAGATGTCACTGGGAATAAGACGATATATAAATTGGGGATACTCAAATACCCTTACCAAACATACAAAAGATTGAGCCAATTTGCTTCCAGTCTTGTTCTCCTGAGCTATAAAAGTGCACACCCATTAATGGAACTGAAGCGAAGAGAGAAGAAAACTCTTCAGACGGTTATTTTGCGCATAATAAAATAAGTTCCTGCACACTGAAACAATGCGAATTGAAGCGACACGAAGGTTATGTTTGACGCCTGCAAATGACAGATGTCTCCGCGGTTCTCTTCGCTTCTCCTCAGTTTGGCGTATCTTCTTCCTGGGGGTCTGAAACGAGAGAGCATAATAACCACTAGAACGGTGTTCTAACACCTTTATGACATTTGTTTCGACGTTTGTGGAACAAGTTTGAGAACGCATACATTTTCGGCAAAATAATATGTTCTTGTTGTGTTTCATATTATTATTGTTTCATCATAAGACTAACTTCGTATTTAAAAAAGACATGGACGATGATAAGACCCTCACATATTTTCATCTTAGAGTTTTTAGTTCCTATTCTGAGATTTGTGTTTTTTAATTGCCGATTTTAATTTCTAGTTCTGCATTAAAAACGTTAATAATGGACGTATTTTTTGAGGTTTTACGAATACTAAGTACGCGGCTTGACAAAGCGATATTAGAGCGGTGCTGTGGTCATGACGTTTGGATGGCAAATACGATAACATTTTGCTCGACGTCATGTCCGCCGTCTTAGGCCCCACATTGACAAGCGCTGCATTACGCAATCATAATAAAAAACAATTGACACTGGAGGATTACATCATCATTTTTGAGGTGGCGATAGGGGATCAAACATTATAAATCTATGTTTTCCTCGTTTTTCGATATTTAAAAAAAGATTCAATTCTATTAACGACCTACGATACTAGTTACCTTGGTTATGTCATCTACAAACGTTCGAATAATGCAACTAAAAAAATAACTGAAATATTACTAAGCAATGCCGGAAAATCTAAAAAAAAATACTTTTTATTCGTTCATCTGAAATATTTCCAATGCAAAAGAGATTTGTAACCTCTGTTCTCCAGAGAAATAAAAAAGATAATAGAATCATGGGTTCCACAAAAATATGGAAAAATAACGATAAAAATAGATTTTGAACTTTTTGACCTCCTATCACCCCCTCAAAAATGCATGAAGGTAGATATACAGGGTTTGTCCGAGCAGATTTAAAAAAAATTATTGACCCAATCGTTACAATTCTTTAAAAACTTTCAAAATAGGCTTCTTCTGCGTAGATGCAGCGCTGCCAGCGCGATTTCCAAGCATTGAAGGCGTCACGGAAGGCATTCTCCGGAATAGCCTTGAGAGCCGCGGTGCATGCTGCTTGGATCCCCTTTGTCGTCTCAAAATGCTTGCCTTTCATCGGCCTTTTCTAGGCGAGGAAACAAAAAAAAAGTCCGGCGGGGCCACATCTGGGCTGTAGGGCGGCTGCGGAAGGGTTCTGATGCTGGCCTTGGTCAGGTAGCTGTTCACAAGAAAGGGGGTGTGAGCCGGGGCGTTGTCGTAGTGCAACTTCCAGTCGGCTGCGATGTCTTGTCGGACCCGACTGACCCTTCGTTTGAGTCTCCTGAGCACTTCCACGTAAAACTTGGCATTGACGGTTTGTCCAGAAGGAACAAATTCATGATGGACGATTTCTTTGATGTCAAAAAAGGCAATGAGCATCGTTTTCACTTTGGATTTGCTCATTCTTCCCTTTGTTGGGCGAGGAGACGCCGTCCTGTGCCACTCGGAAGATTGCCTCTTTGTCTCGGGATCATACTCAAAGATCCACGACTCGTGACCTGTGATTACGTTATTCAAAAATTGGGGGTCACTTTCACACATGTTCAAATTTTCTTGGCACACTTCCACTCGCCGCAATTTCTGGTCGTCAGTGAGCACTTTTGGGATCATCTTCGCGCACACCTTGCGGATGTTCAAATGCTGTGTCACAATGTCATGAACCACAGATTTTGGTAAATTTAACATCTGGGCAATTAAACCAATACTTAGTCGATGGTCTGAGCTCAAAACTTCCAGCACGGTCTTCATCAGCGACCTGTTCCCGGCCCTCCAAAAAGGCCTGGTGCAACCGAAACACTACTTCTTGCTAAAGCAACACCTGGGTAAGCCTGCTTAATCATGTCAAACGTCTCTGTCGCAGATTTACCGAGTTTGACACAGAATTTAATCGCGTACCTCTGCTCTAACGAACGCTGCATTTTCGACTTGCACCACTCACAGAAACACGTCGTCATCATAACGGGGGTCAACAGACTTTATTAAAAAAATATTAAATACTTTTGAGGCGTGATGAAAATGAATTTTCTGCCAAAAGGAATTAAAAGAATCATGTTTTATGCACGCTACGAAGACCTTCAATTTGGCGATGGTCAAACTAAACAATTTCTTTGTTTTGCTGAGATATTTGGAAATATGAAAAATCTTTGTAATCCAATAAAAGTGTTTCTGGAGCAGTTAAGAAAATCGAAAAAATGGAAAGATCACGATCTTTTACTACCAATAAGCCTAGCTGGGTGAGATTTCAAAAAGTGAAAAAGCGATTACCACCCCACCTCCCCCCCACCAGCCCTACGCGACAAGGCTCTTTTATGTCAATTCAATGCTCCAATATGTACTTTTTGATTTAAGAAAAAAATACAAAGTTAATGAAAAGAAAATATTTATTACTATCAGCATATTCGTAAATACGAATTTTGTTTTTAAGCTCCTCCAGTGTTCGTGGATTATTGGAATACACTTTCGAATTTAGATGACCCTCAAAAAATAATCGCATGGCATCCTGTTGAAACCATGTGTTTCTGTTAAATCGACGTTCTGTATTACAAAAGTGGCAAACAAGCGTCAATCATGTCCTTGTATCGCTCGGAATTGACTGCCAATTCATGACCGTTTTCATCTTCAACGAAATACGGCCCAATAATACCGCTCGGGGGTATGGCGCACCAAACAGTCACCTTTGGACTTTGTGTTATTGTTGATGTTTCTCTTTTGGGTTAGTTGGTGCCCGATATCTGCAATTTTGCTTGTTCACATAACCGTCTAAGCGAAATTGGGCCTAGTTACTGAAAACAACGTTCCCGAGTCTGCGCTACGTAGGAAAAAGATTCAACATCCGTTCAGCACAAGATTTCCGCAATACGTAATTACTTTCCTTTAAAGCATCGACTGATTGGATTTTATAAGGATAAAAACCCATTTTTTTCTTCATTATGCCATGCAGTGTTGACGTAGGGATTCCCAGCTGCGTATGAATCATCACTCTTAAAGTAAGCCTCGATAGCAAAAGCACGTTGCGCTCCGGTCCAACGGTCCATTGTGACTATTTAACCCGCACGCTGAACGCGTCGATCAAGACCTCTCCCATTTCCTCACGTATACGGTTGCCGCGTAATTCAGATTTGAAATGTGAACTTTCCCAGTGGACACCCTTTAATCAGTGTATGCTTTGTTTTTTTTTTTTTCATTTTCTAAGACAACACGACGTACGTCTACCTCATCTGGCTGTTGAAGGAAACTACTTTTCAGATCAGCTTAAAACTGGGCATGTGTTCATAAGGAATGTGTAGTATTCTAGTAAAGCAATATGTTTTCTGATACCAGCGCTCTCTGTATGCAACTCCAGAAACTTTTCAAATCACCTGTTAAAACTGTTGAGTTATGGAAAATAAAACTATTTATAACATAAAATTTTTATTCACAAAAAATAACAAGATATGAATATAAGTGATCATAACATTCTTCCTTCATTCCAACTTTCAGTATCTGTCTGTTCCACAGAAAGGTTCAAATATCACACAATGCATATCCTAAATGTTTAATTTTCGACGCAGACCGTATTGCCACAACTACAAATATGGTAAAGTAGAATTTGGCAAGAAAGCTCGTTTCAAATTATAACGCCAAATGGTATCGAATGTTTATTAACAGTAGGGTATGGAATATTTTATAATAAATGTGGTAATACCCTATAACAACACAGCCTTTAATAGTTAACTCGATCGTATGTTGTTATAAATACGTCCGTAAAAAGTGATGCGTTTTAAACTAGTGTCATATCTACGATGCAGCTGCTTTCATCTCAGCCTTGAACTCGCTGAGTGCTGTATGAATTCTGAAATGCAGCCTGGATTCCAGAGAGTATCCCGTATAGTTTTTCCTGAAAATAATAATAATAACAAAACGTCTTTTATTAAAGGGCGAAGTTTGGGGTGAAGCTATTCTGCCACATAACCCTTGAAAATTAAATATATACGAGTATAAAGAACGAAAGAGGATTCGAGCAGAAAGTAGGACAGGTAACCCGAGCAATACGTATTTCTGCATATGCAACTACAACTACAACTACACATGCCCATACATCCAGATACCGGTATAACTTTCATTTTCAGTCGGCTTCAGAACGTGGTAAAGATGAAGGGGTTCCGGTAAAGATGATTGTTCTAAAGAATTTTCAATAATCAATAAATCCTTTGATTCTTCTAAATTCGTTACTGTTTTTTTTTGGGAAAAAACATAGCTATGGTTTTACCATTAAGCAATAATTAAAAATGCTTCTTAATTTAATCTCAACAATCCAGATTTTTGTTCGTTGACTATGTGTTCTTTTCTACTTCGTCTAAGAACGATTTAGCAACAATCTCGCTGACTTAGTAAGTAAGAGTAAGTAATGATACTTCTTTTAATTGGTTATTCTTGCTACTTTCCAACATTTTTTTTTTTTAGCTGATGGCATATACCGTCGAAAGCTTGAGTTTATTGTATTTTGCAAAACTCTGCCTTCGTCCCAAAGAAATTCAAGGATACTTTCTCCTAACGAGTTAAGGCAATTTAATAATAATAATAATAACATATAAATTGCCTTAATTCGTTAGGAGAAAATATCTTTGAAATTGCTTTTGACGATCTATGCCATCATCATCGGGAGCAGGAACAAATTTTGGAAAGTAGCAACAATAGGTCATTCAAAGGAGTATCATTACTTACTAAGTCGGCGAGATTGTTGCTGAAATTGAGAGAAGTAGATGAGAACACGTAGTCACCGAGCAAAAAACTGGATTGTTGAGGTTAGATTAGGAAGAAAAAATTTCTTACATTATAAAATTAATTATTATGTTGATAAAATCATAGCTGTTTTTTTTTTTCAAGAAACCACTGACGGATTTTTAAGAAATTTGGAGATTTATTAACTATTGAAAAACTTGAGTACTATATATTGTGGTTTTCGCCCACTAAAAATAAAATCATATCTCGATAAGGAAGCACTTGCGGACCCATGTTCATAGGACTTTTTCCACTTGAATTGACCTGAGGAACACGTAGAAAAATTTTGTTCCTTACCTCGCGAGACACATATATACAGGGTGACTTTGAAGTTGAGTCATTAATTTTCAGATAATGATTGTAGAAGGAAGATAAACCCAAATATGTGTGTAAAAATAAAAAAAAATAAAAAAAAATGTTACCTTGTTTTATAAAGTATCCTCCCGACAAGTATTTCAGTGCGGACCTGTATTTGATCGTGCGGTCTTGGAGCACCGGCAGGCCCTCCCCTGTAAGGTCTTAAGTCTCCTGATTCACGAGCCCGTTTTACTATATTAACAAAGGCACGAGGGGTTGGTTGCACTCGATTGGGAAACCGATTCGCACAAATCCGTGATGCCGCGGCAGCATTTTGTAAAGACTGCCCGTAAATAAGAATTATGTCCACAAATTCAGCATTTTCGTAAACATGTGCCATTTTTTATTTCGTTTGAGCCACGCAACAAACACCACTATTCACTCACGCGTTACCGACTGACGAAAAACATCGTGATAAACGTTTCAAATTCTTTCGCTTTTTTGTTTCCGATGCGATGAACCGATAACGCGGATTATATCCGTTGTTGCCAAACACGAGCACATAATATTATTATTGAGACAGGGCGGTACTCAAACTTCTAAAGGGCTATAACTTTGTTACTTTAATTTTACCAGAAAAATGTTAAAGGGAAAAAACATTTCTTTTGATCAGATCTACTCACTGTTAAAATAAATGACTCAACTTCGAAGTCACCCTGTATATAGGGTGGCCCATCCATGTGTGGATGGAATATTACTCATAAACAAATACATTCTGGGAAAATCTATTAATGGGATATTATACATGACATTTGAGGGCACATTTCTAAAATATTGGCCGTTATACAGGGTGTCCCAATTTCGACCTACATATCAAAGTTGTGATTTTTTAAATAGAATGCCTAAAATTTTATTGCATATTTGGATAAAACAATTCAAAAGAAGAAAATTGATATAACATACTATAGGTTCTGGTAATTAGCTACTGAGATCTAAGTTGTTTTTTTTGGAGTGCTGAATTTTGTACCAAAAAAAACTTACACACCTCAGCTTTTATCTTTTTTGTTTCTTTTTCGAATTTTAATTTTTACTCATACAGGGTGGTCAAAAACGCAAATTGTAGTTTTTCTCAAAAATTTCAAATGCATCACCCTGTATATTTGTGCAATTTTGGATTAAACTTTTTATAAGCTTTTTTTGATACTAGACACATAAGGGTTTTTACGGCTATTTTTTCGGTTATTATCACGTCTTTTATGGATCGGCTTAATTCCCTAAAATATCGCATCCTCCTTGGAAACAAATAAATTGTTGATTAGTTACAAACTGTCAAAATTATCTTTGTGAGCATTATTATTAAAAACGTGTTTGAAAATGAATTTTTCTTAAGAAGAAATGGTGAAGATGGTGTTTGTTTTGAGCGAAGCCCAATGTAAGTAGTTTCCTAGCATCTCGCATTATATCTTGGCCTCATAGATCACCAGAGATCACACCGATAGACTTATTTCTATGGGGCTACGTTAAGCAAGAGGTTTATAGGTATCCACCGTCTATCCCGGAAAATATGAAGGAAAGGATTAAGGATGCTTTTCTGAACATAAGGGAACACATGCTGAGGGATGTGCAACGGTCATTTGTCCAAAGACTACGGCTGTATATTCAACATGGTGGAGATATTTTCGAGCAGTTTTTGTAGATTAGGTCTTAAGTAGTGATAGTTGTTTGTTTATGTTGTTATAGTTTTCTTTCTCTATTGCGCTTGAAGCTGAATACTGTTCTGATTGTTATTAGTTTTTACGTCAAATCTGTACTCTTAGTGGCAATATGGAACTAGCCCAATGTTTGTCTTTTGTTTCCATGGATAATTTGATTTTTTTCCTTAATTTTGGTGTGGTGTTCTATTAAAAGCGTAATAACTCAAAATCTAGTGATTTTATCTGAATCAAACCTTACACCATAAAAAAGCTTATAAAAAATTGAATCCAAACTTGCACAAATATACAGGGTGATGTATTTGAAGTTTTTGAGAAAAAGTACAATTTGCGTTTTTGACCACCCTGTATGAGCAAAAATGAAAATTCGAAAAAGTAACAAATAGGATAAAAGCTGAGGTGTGTAAGTTTTTTTTATACAAAATTCAGCACTCCAAATCTCAAAATGGCGGATTGAGGGGTTGCCGAAGTGGACGGTTTTTCTGGACAAAACACCTTACATCTCGGTAGCGAATTACCAAAACCCCATAGTATGTTATATCAATCTTCTTCTTTTGATATGGTTTATCCAAATATGCAATAAAATTTGAGGCATTCCATTTAAAAAAACACAACTTTGATATGTAGGTCAAAATTCGGACACCCTGTATAATTGCCAATATTTTAGAAATGTTCCCTCAAATGTCATGTATCACATGCCATAGATTTTCCAAAATGTATTTGTTTATGAGTAATATTCCGTCCACACATGGATGGGCCACCCTGTATATACGAGCCCCTTCCCACTTCAGTTGGCCCACTTCAAGATTTGTACCAAAATATGCCTTTATAAAGTAAACATGATGAAACTATTTACTTCTAAAGCAATTTATTTTCTCAAAAACATTTTAGATACACTCTAGTCGTAAAAAATACATATTTGAAATCACTTAGACCTACAACTAATAGAAACAATGGCGAATAAATGCGCGAAGTTAACAAAGCAACAATTGAAAGATTACCATTGGGTAACATCACCTTTATTTTTTATCACGGCTGAAATTCTTTGGGGCATAGTGTTAACCAAGTTTGGTGTAAAACAATCCCATATTTCTTGAAGCTTTTGTCTCAGTTCGGTGATTTTACGAGCAGGATGTTGTCGTAGAACCTTTTTCATCTCGTGCCACAAAGTTTCAATAGGTGACAGATCTGGACTGCTAGAAACCCATTTCAAAAGTGGTACATTATTTTCTTCCATCCATTTTATAGCCTTTTTTGAGGTATGGCACGCTGCACCATCTTGCTGAAACACAAAATCTTGGCCGGATGTCAAAGATTCTTCCATCACTGGTAAAAGCGATTCTTCTAAAATTGCCAAATATTTGTTTGTATCCACATTTCCATCAATAAAATGAGTAAAATTTTTCCTACTTCTTTTTATGACATACTGCCCCAGACCATAATGGATGCTGGAAATTTCACTTTTCTCTTCAGATAGTCAACATGGAATGCTTCATTTTTTTGCGAATAACTCTACTGCGACTGTCACCAACACAAACTTCGAATCTGGCCTCATCACTCCATTGTATTGCACACCATTGTTGAGGTGTCCATTGTCTATGTTCTTTAGCCCATCTAAGCCGATTTTTCTTCTGCAGTGGAGCTTTTCTTTGTCCTATAATCAAGTTGTGCAACTTTAGGGTTTTTACTTCACTTTTTTTATAAGAAAACTTACCTTGCAAGTGCTAAATCCCAGTTTGTGGGCCTCTCTATGAGTTGTGGACCTCGAAATTCTCCTTCCAACAGCGTCACTCCACAGAGCACTTAATTGTAAATAATTGGCACGCCTGTTTTTCACGATTATTGTTCCTAATGCTCTTTGGTCGGCATTTGTGATATTACTTTTTTTGACATATCGTGGCTTAATATTAACTGAACCAGTTACGTTATATCCTCGTAACAATATTTCTCACACTGTACCGCGATAACTCTAACAAAGTAGCAATTTCTGAGTTTGATTTCCCAGAATTAAAAAATTTAATTATCAGTAACCCAATTTTCTCTATCAATTTTGAAAACCTTAACTACCCAAAACTATTTTAAACGTATTCTAACAGCTGTGATTAATAAAAACAATTGTCATGGCTTTTATTTTTCACAGCCACCTATGCGTTATAGACTTATTTTGCATTGAAATGAAAATAGGTTGATATGCTGTAATTGCAACATGTGTTATGTTTATGCTGCAAATCTGATTAGGGAGTGATAAAGTTGGTGTTTCCTACTATATATATTATCAAAATATTCATTGTTAATATTTCAAACCTATAACACCCTGCTACATTTTTATTATTTGTGTTTGATAAGAAAAAACTAAGATTTCAATAGTTGGGCCAACTGAAGTGGGAAGGGGCTCGTATATGTATAAGTTGAGTCATTTATTTTAACAGTGAGTAGATCTGATCAAAAGAAATGTTTTTTTCCTTTACCATTTTTCTGGTAAAATTAAAGTAACAAAGTTATAGCCCTTTGGAGGTTTGAGTACCGCCCTGTCTCAATAATAATATTATGTGCTCGTGTTTGGCAACAACGGATATAATCCGCCTTATCGGTTCATCGCATCGGAAATAAAAAAGCGAAAGAATTTGGAACGATGTTTTTACAATTATTTTATTCAGTTGTATACAGTCAGTGTCAGTCGGTAACGCGTGAGTGAATAGTGATGTCTGTTGCGTGGCTCAAACGAAATCAAAAATGGCATATGTTTACGAAAATGCTGAACTTGTGGACATGATTCTTATTTACGCGGCATCACGGATTTATGCGGATCGGTTTCCCAATCGAGTGCAACCAACCCCTCGTGCCTTTGTTAATGTAGTACAAAGGGCTCGTGAATCAGGTGACTTAAGACCTCACAGGGGAGGGCATGCCGGTGCTCCAAGACCGCACGATCAAATACAGGTCTGCACTGAAATACTTGTCGGGAGGATACTTTATAAAACAAGGTAAAATTTTTTTTTATTTTTTTTTTTTATTTTTACACACATATTTTGGTTTATCTTCCTTCTACAATCATAATCTGAAAATTAATGACTCAACTTCAAAGTCACCCTGTATATATATATAGTACTCATAATTAAGCTGTCTTAATGCGTTAGGAGAAAATATCCTTGAAATTATTTGAGATGAAGGCAAAAATTTTGTAAAAGTTCGCTCTTTTAACTTAAACTCAGCGTTCGACGGTCTATGCCATCATCGTCGAGAGCTGGAACAAATTTTCGAAAGTACCAACAATAGGTAATTAGAAGGAGTATAATTACTTACTAATTCGGCGAGATTGTTGCTGAAATTGTTCTTAGAGAGAAGTAGATGAGAACACATAGGCAACGAGTAAAAAGCTGGATTATTGAGGTAAAATATTAGAAAGAAAAATTTTTTTAATTATAAAATTAATTATTAATAATTGTTGATAAAACCATAGCTATTTTTTTTAAGAAACCACTGACGGATTTTGAAGAAATTTGGAGATTTATTAACTATTGAAAAACTTTCGAACAATCATTTTTACCAGAAACCACTTCGGCTTTAACACGTGCTGAAGCCGACTGGAAGTGGCTTAGTGACGTGTGAAATTGACATTATTGACACACCATCGATCAAGCGAAAAAGGAGAGAAGGAGAGGAAAGAAAGAGATCGACACATCTGTGTTGCCTACTTTGTGTGGAAGTGCTAAGATGAAGATGGGTTGCAGCAAAAATTTATATTCAAAATTTATTTTCAAATTGATAAATATTATTATGGAAAGAAGAAAAAAAAGCACGTTCCTACAATTGTAGGACTGACTGACGATACGGCCCTAAATCTTTCAATTACATCATTTGCATTATCTGATTTCGATTGACTAGGCATATACCGCACTAATGATTGCTATAAAAGCCTGAAACGTGTATACTGTTTGTTATGGTAACAGCGACGGAAAACAAACATCCAATTCACTCTATGAAATACGAAGTTACAAATTTTTTGTAAGCCTCAAATTTAGTACTGTTATACTCACTTTGCATCCTCCAAAGCCAAAATGGCCTTTTCCTTATTCCCATTTTGCCACTCAACTAACGCCAGTTCCACGATGGCGTAAGGCACGAGGTAGTGGTCCTCAACCAGATCTTTCTGCATGGAAATGACAGTTTCCAAGCGCTCCAACGCTTGCAGCGGACTCCCCATGTGCCTCAGACAAGCGCCTTGCAGCAACAGTGCTAGCGCTTTGTTATCAACGTCATATTTGGTGGGCCTTGTAGAAGCATTCAGGTCCCGTAGAGCTTTTTCGATCACTTTGTATATGTCGCTAGCCACGCTGAAGTTCTTGAGCACTTTGAAAAGGTTCCAGAGGAACATCAGTTCGATCACAGGGATTACTAAGTTGTGATTCTGGTTGAAGTATCTTTCGGCTCGTTTCACGGCGAATTTTTCCATGGGAAGTGATTTGCCGGCGATTCGTTGTTTACATTTTGGTACTTCCCTGGAAAAATAATGTTTGATTCCAGTACACAAAGTGAGGGGTGTTCAAGGGACGATTTAATATTTGCATTCCATTTAGCATTTTGATGATAAATTTAGGAAGGAATGGTTTACTTTTGTGCTTAATATTGCTAAACAATGCAAAGTAGTAATGTAATTGCTTTCTTGAATTTATAGCAGAATCGGAACCAGTAAGTTGTGCGTGTAGGCAGCCAGTACTGCAACTAACTTGTGCTAGTTGTAGATTGTACATCAGGTCTGTCAGATCCAGCGTACAGCCTTGATCCCATAGAGTATTAACTACATTACAGTATAGTATTTAAAAAAAGAATGAAATCTTTCATAATGTGTAACACCAAAACTAAAAAAAATAGCGAGGCAAAGAAAATGCGTCTGACCGATGAACTAGATGAATTTAAACCGATCGTTTAAAATAAAAAAAACTAATAGCTGCACAACCACTTTGAAAATACAATGCTTAAAAGCGAATTGCAAATACGTTAACGAAAATAATACAACCAAAAGAACCAATAAGGACGCTTTCACACGATCCGGCGCACGCCTGACAAGCGTGATGTTTTCACACGAGGTCGGCTTCGTCCGGCGCGCGATGTGCGTCGCTCCAGTATGTTAACTGTTCAGCTAGCTATTGAAATGATTACAGCGCGAAAGAAAAAAGTACTAGCCATGTACTTGCTATGGAGCCGGCGTATAAGAAGAAATAGGCGGTTTTCGATTCACCCATTGCTTCAAATTCGACATACTTCTGGGTCCTTCAAAGTTTTATTCAATTCATTGCAGAACAGTGAGGAAACACAAAACACAACACGCGCGCCGGATATTGTGTGGAAAGACTCATCTACACCCATACCCCAACGCCGCAACAGGCGCGCGCCGAGACAATGCCGCCACTATTTGACCCAAAATATTTTTTACTTACATACCTCATTAAATTATCGATTTCAAGCTTCTGATCGCGAGTTAACTCATTTTTCATCATGCACATTATCACAGCCTTTTGGTAACTGTACAGGCATTTGGACCACTTGCTCTTTTCCAACAATAGCGAACAATATTGTAAAGCTTCCTTCCATTCCGTTTTCAAGCTGAAACAAATTCAGCGTGCAATGTAAAAAATACTTACTTAAATATTTGTTTTCTTAAACAAATATTTAATAAATATAAAAATATAAAATTTTTATTAAATATTTATTCAATAACTTTTAAATATTTTAAATACATTATTTCTTTTATAATATTCAATAAATATTTACTTTTCAATCAATGAAATCTCCAATATTTAGAAAATATTCATTAAATATTTTCGGCTACGGCGCATGTGCGTGTGACCCCGAGCGACCAATGGCATAATGGCACGCCGACCTGAGCCGACCCGTTTGCCGGCATCTATTTTGCCTGTGAGTTTCACTATAATAGTGTACCTCCAAGTGGTACATTATTTGAAAGTTTTTTGTGGAAAAGGGAAAAGGGTTAAGTTTTTCGATTTTAATTTATCTAACTAGTAAACATTATTGTGCCAGTTGAGTATAAAGGTATTTACAAAAAGTAACTAGCTTTGAAGTGCAATAGTTATTTGGGATTGGTTGATTTATCTGAGAATGGATACGAAAGATATATAAATAACATCACAATGAAAAGTCATTTAATCATTACTTTTCAAATAAATCTGAATTATCATTATTTTTGTCGTAGTAGGGGCCAAATCAGCTGTAACTATACGTATTTTAAAATTTTCAGGTTCAACAGCGAAAAAATTTTAACGTTCGAAAATAATATACTTTTGTCCCTTGAATTAGAATATAAAATCACAAAATAGTTATGGCTAAATTAGCCCCCTTACTACTGCAAAAAAGTCACATTTCAACAAAATTAATAAGTGGTCTATTTTTAAAAACATTTTCTTGGAAGTCAGCCAAAGGATCAAGTTGTGTCCATGGACATTTTTCATCAAGATATCTAAAATAACATAGGAAATTTTCTTAAAAATTAACCAAATCTCGAACTATCATAGGAAGAAAATGTGGAGTCGTTTCAGGTGCATTATAGAGCTGCCTCAGTGACCCAGTTCAGCTTTTGGAGTAATTCAGCAGTGCTCAGCACCAATATTGTTCCGCTGCATGTAATATTCCCATAAATACACTGGAAAGCAGCTTATGTATTCAATAATTCTTCATAATGAGTAAGTTTTTTTTTCAGAAGAGTGGATTTGCAAGATGCAGACGAAGCTTAGAATGTTTTTTTATAAATATTTTTCTAGCAAACTGAACCATTATATCTAGAATGAATTTTATTTATAAACCCCATTTTATGAAAGCATTCCTACAGATTTTGCTAAAATAACCAATGAAGAACTTTCTATATACCTTCACTGAAAATATGTATCAGATTAATGCTTGAAAATCCATACACATTTACGAAAAATATTAGATATTTCATCAAAATATAGAATTGATATTTAAAAATCATTCCTGATATATTTTCTAAATATTTGGAAAAAATAGCGGAAAAATATATGAATTATATATGTTACCGGTAATCTGTACAATTCAGGTATTCTATACAAAACCTAGGCAATGTATAGAATACCTGGGTTGCCCAGGCAATGTATGAAATATGAATATTATTATTCATTACATACTTTACCTAGGTAATGAATACAATTCCTAGGGATTGTATAAGGTGCCTGCTGTTCCACCGGCAATGTGAAAAATAAATAGATCTTGGTCTAAATTTTATCAATGTTAACAGGCATACCTATAAAATGATGGGCATATTAAACAAGTTATATTATTTAAAATCAACTTTCTTAAAATTAACAATTAGAGTGCTCCTTAAAAGTAAGCTTCATGAAAAGGGTACAAGAAAAGCACCTTTCTGTTACTACAGTAAAATTAATGTAAAACTAAAAATTATTCTGGCTATAAATAACATAATGTATATTTTTTTTGCTTACAAGGACGCATTTCGTTTATTGCCTGCCTGACGGCATGTACAACTCGTTCCTTGCTCTCGTCTTTCACATACATTACCGGCTGCGTATTCGGTATTGTATAGAATACCTAGGCAAAGTATAAAACAAATAATGTTTCATACATTAATTACACGTTTTAGGTATTCTATACATTACCTAAGTATTGTATAGAATACCGGATTATACAGTTTGCCGGTAAGATATATATGTATACTACAAATATCTATAAAGGATATTTTATGAATATATAAGAAATATATTTACTAAATATTAAAAAATCTGTCGCAACAAATATTTAGCAAACATTTCTTAAGAATACTTAATAAATATTTAATGCTATCGGTGCATGAAATCACTTACCAATGTACCCACACAAGTTCCCAGTAACAAATATGATGGAACTGCGGCCAAAGATCCTGCGACTTCCACGACCTCTTGTAAAATTCCTCACTCAAGTCCAAATTCCCCTTCGTCAGTTCAAGCCTGCCTTTAAAAAATAAAAACCAAACACCATTCACGTGTTTATTCAACTGTTTTTGTATGATCTCCTCGCATATCTTCAGATCGCCTTCTGTGTGGCTTAACACGTGCATAACAATGAGGTTATAGCCCAACAGGGTCATCAGGCACAGGATTTGTCTCAGGCCGTCCATACGGTAACCGGCCAGTAGATCATCAAGACCCTTTTGCTAAAAAAAAATACAATAAAATTAAGATTACATGTTATTGTTGTCCAACCAGGTATGAGACAAAATTGCAATATAACAAGTCCCACAGTGTTTGGTATAATGTATAGATGATTCCTAACAACTTCCTTCTATTTCGGCAGTTGCTTATAGTGTGAACAAATATCGATCTCACAACTATTTAATGTAAAGGATTGGAACCTAGCACCTATCAGGCAAGTCGAAATAAGAAAAAAATTAAGATGTCATGGTGCTTTACCTTATTTCCGGAAAACCCAATGAATTCTAACAACTTTATTACTCTGGATGGTAACATGGATATCATGAGGTTAAAAGTTCCAATGCCCATTTTTACTCCGCTTTCAAAGTGCACCTTCGTTGAATCTCTATCCCAGTTTCTTTTAAGTAGTATTTGCTGACAATCCCTAAAAACAGAAATACGTTGATTCTCGAAATAAAAATGTCAGAAAAGTTGGGTCAAGTCAAGCCAAATTGGCTTAATAATATTTTCAAATATCCTTTCCGTACAAACTGGATATCATCGGTACAAAAATTGTTATTTGAGTAACAAGAAATGAGACTTGTCAATCTTCAAAATTCTCAGCCCTCTGAAGAGAAGTACAATTACGCCGTAAAATAAATCAGAAACAAAAGACAATGGTGAAACACAAAGATCGGATATTTTATGAAATTTTGTTTTCTAGAAAAGTTTATTTTCAAATATCCCTTATGTTAAAAACTGAATATCTTTGATACAACAATTTTTATTTCAGTAACATTGTTACTGATTTACGTAACTCAAGATCTTCGAAATTCTGAACCCATTGAAAAGAAATATAATTATGACCTACAATGAATCAGAAACAAAAGGCAATGTTGAAACACACAGTTCGGTATTTCATGAAATTATTGTTCTAGAAAAGTTTATTTGCTAATCCCGAAAACTTAGTAGTATAAATGTCAGAAAAGTTTTGTCAAGTCAAGTAGATTGACTTAATATTTTCAAATATCCATCACATACCAACCGAATATCGGTACAAGAAGTGTTATTTGAGTAACAAGAAATGAGCCTTGTCAATCTTCAAAATTCTTCGCCCATTGAAGAGAAGTATAATTATGCCCTACAATGAATCAGAAACAAAAGGCAATGTTGAAACACACAGTTCGGTATTTCGTGAAATTTTTTGTTGAAAACTTAGTAGTGTTACCTATTATGACTCACAGCATATACTTCTGCAAATTTCATCAAAATAAGTGCCACCATTCCTGAGATTACGCGAGTAGAAGAAAGTCAACAGACAGGACTACAGATCGGTGGAAATAAGTGTCAACGATTTTCGTGATACGAGAATACATGCTATCATTGCTTAAGCGTGGAAAACAACAGGAAAATTGTACAAATCACTTACTTATACGAGTTATAACACGATCTGATCTTAAGTCCAGCCTTGATGAAACTACTCAACGTCTCATCCTCCATGAAGGTCAACATAGACTTGAGGAGCAAGCACTCAGCATGGCACAACTCGGCATGTGCCTCTTCTTCCGTGTACTGGTCGAAGTTGGTCTTTTTCACCATCTTTCCAATAGATTCTCCCAAGGTGTTCTTCTTTCTGTACCTGTTGCACACGGCCAGGGAGTGTTTGAGTGCCTTGGACGCGTTGATGATGGACTGCTGCTCGAAGGTGAGCATCGCTTCGAGGTAGAGGAATACTGAGTGGCCCAGGGAGTGGTACATGCTCACGTTGGAACTGGAAGTTGAACCTTTGAGAATATGCCGGGATTGCAGAATCAAAAACGTTCTTGGGAAGCCTCCTCAACGGTAATACCAGTAGCGTATATAAGTGGAGTTCCGGCGAACTACTGATCAGGGAGTGGGCGAGTTTGCAAATTGTGTGAACTATTTTACTTCATCATGACGCATGTAGTTGTAACTTTAGTAAGACGAGTTTAAAAATAATTGTGAAAACGCTTTATCTGGAGGTTATTTACTCATCCTATAAAAGTGAATCAATCAAGTTCACGAACTTCATAATGATTAACCTTGACCACAACCTTCAAGATCATATCAAGGTTAAGTTTTCATGAATAACTCTGTTTGACCATGATCATAATGGTGAAACTAAATCTTTCAGGAAATTTTTAAAATCACGCTAAATCATTCTCAGCTCAGGTAACACGAAAGTCATGTGTATGTATCTGTACTACAATATGGTCTTAAATGTCAATTTTCAAAGAAGTTTAATGGTCATGGTCAATATTTACTAATCGACCATTATAGATCATCAATGTCTTCTGATTTCCGTAATCAAAAATGAAGCGTCTCATCGAAAAGAAGTGACTTGACCTTGACATTACCTTGAAGGCCATGATCATAGTCGAATCTTAGAAATTGTAACTAACTATGTTTTCTTTCATCAATATATCATATATATATATACATATATATATATATATATTCATAATTAATTGCCTTAACTGTTAGGAGAAAATATCCTTGAGTTTCTTTGGGTAGAAGGCAAAGTTTTGCATAAGTACACTCTTATGATTTGAACTCGAGCTTTCGATGGTCTATGCCACATATATACGAGTATATACAGGGTGTAAAGTTAGTAGTAGATCAACGGAAGTCAGGTGATAGGAGGCCTCAAAAACTATCGAATGAACTCCCATATGTGTGGTCCAAAATTTTTAGTTCACGAGATATTTGCACTTTTCTTAAATTTCGAAAAAACGGGATAATGAACTTTCAATTTCAATTTCAACTAGACCATAGTTTGAGCAAGGGTTATGTCACTTTTTAACAGAGCTTATCAGAAATCAACGCTAAAAATCTTAAATACATTTTTTTTGTACAAAATCTCTTCCATCCCTCAACTTTGGAGGGCGGTCAAAAAATTAAGGTGGTATTTCATTATTCATTTTATTGTAAAAACTATTTCAATCCTTGTAGAATAAACCCTGAAGATTTCAGCTTGCTACGATGAGTGTATCATGTCAAATTCATTTTGAACCTGTTTTCAAAGCGTTAATCGTCATTTATTATGATATTGAGAGCAACACTCAAATGACTATTTTCTGATGGGTCCCAAAATATATACAAAGAAACATTATTTTGCTTTTAAAGAAAAGTATTTCTGGCAATTTTTCTGGTGAGTTACATGTTTATCTTTATCAACAATCGTTCAATATTTTCTGAATCATGTCTCTTCATGAATACTAAAATATTTTCCCGCTGCAAGAGCAAAATTTACATAAGTTCTTATGCGATTTTCAAGCTCGTTATGGAATAAACAACGTTTTTGAAACCCCCCAATTCGAGAGGTCTAGAAAGATTCATAAAATTTATATTGTTTTAACTCTACAAGTTGGAGATGTGAAACTGTGAATTTCCTCAGAAAAGCACGAAAGAGCAAGTTGTCTATTTTCAGTAGCGAAATAGCATTCTTTTCAATCTTTTTGTAGCTCGTAAAAATTAAATATTTATGTTATAATCCGAAAAATACGCGAATAATTCAAGTTGTTGGAAATACCAATAATAAATAGACGCAGACTTGATATACCATGTTTTCAGCGTTAGGGTGCGGTACTTCAATTTGGGCCTGAAAAAATAAGTATGAAATAAACTAATCTCAAAATACTATTCTTGTAGAGCAAGAATGTAACTTGAATTTAGATACCTGGCGACCTCAAATATTAAAATTTTTAATTGGATTTTAAGCATTGAATATTTCTCCAGATCAAATTTCTTTTAACATTTTTTTTAATTACATCTTTTACCTGGTCAATTTTTTTCAGATTTTTTTGAATTATTCCGAACAAAAGAGGTTTCCATTAACTTTTTTCTCAAGCTGACCATTTTTGGGTTATAAGCGCTTTAATGTTTGAAAAGTCCTAAAAATGGGAAAAATACTTAAAATGTCCGTTAACAATCATAATTGTTGAGATCTACAAATGTTTACATCAAAGTTTAAACCTTACTTTACAAGACCTCGATGAGCTTTTGAGATTACTTTATTTTAAAGCGATATTTAACCTTGTCTGTTGTTAGGCCAAAATTCGCGAACTTTTGATTTTACCAGACTGTGCCTGCCTTATCCCAGACTCACTCTCTGACCAGATGACATAATCTAAACAAACCAAACGTTGCTAAATTCTCAACCGAAGATGTACATATTTTTTATCTTACGATTTCGAGAACATCGTACTTATAAAAGTCGGACATTATACCCCATGATATCTTTTGTCTATCACCCCCGCTAACGGCTTTCAATTTTGTTTCTCTAGTTTCTCAAAATTTCCAGTTTTGTTGCTCACTTATATATGCATCCTTCCAAAATAATAAGATTGATATAACATGTTACAGAGTTTTGATGATTAGTTGTTGAGTACAAAAACGCTCAACGTTGACTGCCCGCTAGTCCGCCATTTTGAAGGATAGTAATGGTATAAAGTACTCATAAGAAGCTTCAAAATCAGGTACCAAAAGAATATTTATAAAATGTTCGAAGACATCAGGTGGCTAAATTGACCCACTTTAAAAAATAAGTGTGAAAAGCACAGTATGAAAATGTGTTGTTTCTTATGAGCAAGGAATTCCAAAGTTTTCAATATCATTGCAGTTTTCCATACAGAACCAGACAAGTCTATTTACTTGATGCACCTTCCATGAGGTGTGTAGCATGGCTTGGCTTATGCATGCATAAAATCAGTGAAAACTATAGTTAGTCATAATTATATACACATGCGTGACTTTCAAATACTCATTAATTGTTACGTAGAGAGAATCTTTTCATTGGATAAAAATACAATGAGCAATGTTGTACGTTGTACAACAAATAGAAAGAACAGATAGAACTAACACACGCACACGTAAATTATTGATTAATTCAGAATGCATGATTCAGAATGCAAACTGTATCTCGGCTACTTAAAGCCGCGTAAAGACCGAAAATCCAAACGAATGCAAGTACATGTGACGTTGGTATTTGTTGTTGGAAGGTATTGGAATGCGCTCGTTTACACGTCATCTACACCTAAACTTAGTTACGAGTTTGACCGCGTCGGGTTAAGTTCGGTGCTAATGTCGAGCGACGAGTCTCCTAGACTAATACTAGAAGCGCAACAAATCCTTTCCAGACCAAATCAAACCTCCCTTTGATGTACCGAACAGGGAGCGAACGCAATCGTTACGCCAACGCCGACCTTAGAAACCGTTGGTTTATGTTGACTCGCGCCGTACACACCGATTCGAACACCTCCGAATCTGTAACCACAAGTGCCTTGGCTTGCGTTGGAATCTCGGTCTGTACGCGGCTTAAAACACACCAAGGTGTCCACTGGCCGGAGCGATCAAAAAGCGAGAAAAATTGATATTTTGGAAGGAAAATGAGTAAAATGTAAGCTTTTCTGCGATTATGTCACTGATATGAATGATAATGATCCATCTCTATTTTGCCGGTAACTGAAGCAGTGTTTTTTAGAGCGAAATTTAAAAAATTAAAGAGCAGCGGAGGTTATACATAAGCAGCACTTCTCAAAAAGAGTGCCTCTATTACAATTGAAGACCGGTGAGGGCGGTACTGCATCGATATAGTCATTCCTATAGCATCTAATTTAATAAAGCAACGATGCATGGTCGACGAATTTCTCCCGAATTCTTTGAGCCCACATCTCGAATTCTGAATTAACCAAAAATTGACGTGTGTTGGGGCTCCTAATATTTCACTTTTATTTGGATATATCGCTTGCTATTATTCGTTTGATTGTACGGTTGTTTCCAAATTCAAGCGAAATTCAGTTTCGTTGCATGACGGTAATCATTTTCAGTTAGGTATCGAAAATGAGAGTAATTTTGTTTTTTAGGGAAACTAAATAGCCTAATTTTAATGATAAGAAATAAAAGATTGTCTCAGTACTTGCATTCATATAAACCTACTTCACGTTCTAGCTACCCGAAAATTCTAGACATTTCATCTAGTGGTAAGTGGAATACCAAAGCATCAAAGCTTTTTGATATCTCCTTCCAAGGAAGGATGGAAAATGTCTAAAAACAGTTAAGATTTTTTTTCACCCCTCTCAATCCCCATTTCCATTTGATGAGAAGTAAATGAAATAATTCAATAGTCTGAAAGCAGAAAATCACGACTATATTTATTCGACTAAATTTGCTTGTCCTCTTTGGTCAATTACTTCTATACGAAGTAATAGTTTATTTTTGGCAAATTCATCTGCCAATTTATAAAGTATGTCACCTCGAGTACTGTACAGCCGAAGCATCACTAGGACTATAAATAGTCGGGTTACGGTTACAGTGTTGCCATTTATATAACGTTTAACGCTTCGACTGTCTGATACTTATGGCAATACACTGTATATAACATGTCATAGTAGATAACAAAAATTATCTCATGTAGATGGTCTTTCTACAGAAAATTGTAATAGATACTCTTACCTAACGATCTTTTTAGTTAAAGTGAAAAAACCCATGACGATTTTGTTATTCGTTAGGACCGGTGCCAGTAATCCAGATCCTACCATTAGACGGACAAATGTTATATTATTGGTAAAAACTTAAATATTTGAAATTTATTTATCACCTAATTTGTGACAATCACAAACAAGAGCCAACCTACACATTGTAGTTTAAAATGGCTAGAACTTCGAATTTTCAAGGCCGGTTATAGCTACTTGCTGTGGTACTTCAAGCCCAAAGGATCTACAAAAAGAACAGGATCATGGGGATAAAGGTATTTAACATATAGAAAAATAATGGGCAAGTTCCGCAAAAAGATAGGTTGGCCCTTGTTGGTGACTCCGTGTATTCGCTTCCTCAGGTTACACCCGTATACGGATGTATGGGCATGTGTAATGTGCATCCACTTTTCTAGTTGCATATTTGCATTCATTTTGGACCTAGTGAAGCCAACTAGCTCGGGTTACCTATCCTATTTTCTGCTCGAATTCACTTTCCTTCTTTTTGCGGAATTTAACCATTATTTTTCTATTTGTTATATACCTTTATCCTCATGATCCTGTTCTTTATACGAGTATATATATATATATAATTTGTTGTCGGCATTATTATTATCCTAAAGCATTAGTTGTGCTATCTTGAAAACAAAATTCATAATTACACTTTGTATTCCACCTGTGTCTAAACTGTCCGACCGCTGGCACATTCACCTTACTAAATGGACACGATATATTTCGGTTTCTTCTTATTGTTATTTAACAGTATACTCACTAAGGGGTCATTAAACTCTTTGCTTCATTGAACTGATTATTAAAAAAGTAGTTGATAGCTTGTTGTGCTTCTTCCAATGCTTTTTCCAGGGTCATGTCAGGCGGACTGAAAACAAGATATAATTGTCGACTATGATATTTATTTATGTTAATTTACAAGCAATCGGAATATATTACGTGCGATATATCATTCAGAAGTGTACTTACACTGGAATTTCTTCCGCATCTGCAAACTGAAAATAAAAAACAACATTACTTCAAAGTGCAAAGTGCTCTATTATTTGTATTGGACCTACAATAGCTGCAAATATATCCATTTATATCGACTTAGCAGCATATTTTTTGCCAGAGCAGTTGAACCAAATGAGTCAAAAACAATATATCTAACTTATGAATGACCCGTATTTGATGCATATAAAACAAATTCGTGTATTCTACTAAAGCATATGGTTCTCAGAATTATCATAAATAGTGTAAAAAAAAACAAAGTTGATCTGCAGTGCTCCAGACGAATTATATTAAAAAATAGATATTTTCTCAGGTAGCACAGATTTGCAACACAAGCTTTTGAGTATTTTTTAATCTACCAGCCGGACCTTGATAATAGTTCTGAGTTCTTATAAAAATATAATCAAACGTTCAACTCTGGATTATCCACCAGCTACAACGATTAAGAATGCGGAAATACGTAAATAATTGTTCATCTTCCATGGAAAAGTTCTAAATTTATTTTTTTATCAATTTTCGCCTCTTGTGAGACTGGCATCTGAATTCTTGTTGTGTGCGGTGTGCTAAGATCCATCAATAAATAAGCTTATCACCCGATCTAGTGAGGTTAATTCTTCCTGTGTCGCACTATAGCAACATTATGTCATATCACTGATTAAGGTAGAATAGGCTAATCAGTGGTCCTATGTAATTAAGTTGAGATGTAATATGATGACATGTCCTTACTGTTGATTCTCACTTTCATTGAACAAACACAGCAATTTTGACTCTGTAATTTGTTATGATATTAGTATTTGTTTAATAACAAAATATAATATCTAGATAGTAATTGTCATTGCTAATAACACTGACATTCAGATCATTTCGACAGCATTTCACAAATCATCCAATAGCCCAGTCATATTGTATAACAACACTTTCTCAAAAATATAGGTAGGCGGAGATTTATATTATTTGTTTCTATTTAGTCAACCCAGTATTTCTGACAGATAATGAACATGATTATTCTCAAAATGCTTATAGACCATTTTGCTTCCAATGAATATTTTTAAATATTTTAAACTCACTGTTAGAGGCAAATTAATATAATGATATTTTTAAGTTAGAAAACGCTTTATTCCAGAGGAAAGTGTCCCAAGCCAGACTCCTGGTCTCATTGGCTCTGCATTCTCTGAAACTCTATTATTGCCAAGTGTATAACTTTAATTTATGTTCGTAGATATTTGCAAGTAAGCCTGTATACCCTATACAGGATGTCCTGTATTTAAATGAACATAGTGAAGTGGTAGGTAGTATGGACCGAGACCTTCTGAGAACTGATAATAAAAAAGTTCTAGATTTCGTTTTTATGGAAATAAACCCGCGAAATCATTAAAAGCACATATCCAGTCACTATTGAACCGATTTTGTTAAAATCTTGCGAGGTAACAAAGTTGTCTGGGAGTAACGTAAAAATAGGACGGTCAAAAAATCCAGGACCCGACTCGGTTTTTTCACTGTTTTGTCTTTCTATCAAAATCAACGCCTTTAAGCTGAATATTGAAATGTTTGACTGTGTACAAAAAATCAGCGAATGTGGCTAATAAGCAGCAAAATACGTTCACTGCACCTCTTTTAGCTTTATGTTAAGAATTTGTAGTTATTTAAATATCTTATTTTTAGCAGTCAAAAATTTAGAAGTTATCAACTTGGTTTCATCAAAACTTCACAAAATAATGATTAAAATTGAACGAAAGATGTTCTGGGAACTGTTTATTTCCTTGTATTTTATTAAGTGCAACGCCATGAAAATTATACATCAAATTTAATATCATTGAGCAGGAAAAAATGAGCAAGATATGATAGATATAAATGAAATCAAAATTAATGTTACGCATCCTATTTAGTTTTGTTAGTAATTTTCAATGATTTAATTCTCCCAACTGAAGTTATATCTCAACATGAGTCCCGCTTTAGTAAAACAGCATGTAGTATGCAAAAGACTCTCCAGGCCAATTCGAGATTGTGATGAACATGTAGAAAACGTAATATACTAGTCCGGACTCAGCATTTTCAGCAATAGTGCTGTCACCACAACTCTACGTAAGATTTAGTTACATAATGGTACATCACTCAATTAATTGCAAAGTCTGGACCTGCATTGCTTTATTTTTGTAAATTTTTAACTTAAAGTTGGTCTAGAAGGTCAAATTTAGTGAAATCGCACATTTCATGTCGATTTCCTTTTAAACAGAACTCTTGTTGTGCAATATCAGTTGGTAGAATTTTAAGTTCCCAAAACGACTTTATCTCAATTTTAATTAAGCCTTACATTGTTAATTATTGCTAAAACCAAGTGGATAACTTTAAATTTGGAATTTTGTGTCACATAAATTGCTAAAAATAAGATATTTGGATGAATACATTATTTTAACTAAAAAAACTAAAAGAGGCGCAATCAATCTATTTTGCTAACTCACTAGCACCATTAACTGATTTCCGATGTTGGGCATTTTCCTCTAAATGCATGTTTCTATATCTTAGAAAGTTTGGTGAAACGATCTCTCACTACTTCATTTAACCCAAAGTGTTATATTAGGTCACACATATGAATATCCCAGAACACACAAACCTCAAATTACAATACTACGTTATGAATTATTTCCAGACGATGAATTACGTTTTAATTTTTGGAATCAGTAAAAATGTTGATCAACATCAACGTCTCCTACTGCCTCGCCTGTATTCGATCCATATACAAAATGATACGGGTCAACACGTTGTAGGTATAATTATTAGTATGTTGCATATGCATTACAATAAAAACATCATCCGTAGAATCATTACTAGTCCGTAGATGTTTGCCTTGATATAGAACATGCTTCCTAGTAGGAATCTTCAAGGCAGATCATAACTACAAGGCAAACGACATGCAAGGAAAGTTTTCTCCGAACCAGAAGCCATAAAACAAAAATATTTTAAATTGAGGGATTTTCTTCAGTGCCAGGTAGCCTAGTCCTGACCCTAAACCAAATCAGAATGGTCAAAGAAGCGCAAAGCTGGCACCAAATGTGTTATACCCGAAGATCAAAGTTCATGGTACTCTTCGCTATTACCTAGGGTCTCCGCAGTGGATGGAGGGATGAAGGGCGAATTTTACATGTGCGTGCAAACTAGCTTTTATAAAAGGTGTTAATATAAAGTGCATATAAGCAGACCATTTTATTCATATTAATATACTCAAGCTGATATTTGACAATATCATAGTACGATACGATTGAAAAAATGGAGTTATGAAAAAAATAGGGTAAAGTTAGGTAATTTGGTATATTTTATACAATAACTCGTAAATTCCTTATTTAAATTTAATGGTAATTTAAAGTAACATTATTTTACACGTTTCTATCAAAATGCATACCAAAAAAACGAATGTATATTCTGAGAGCTTCGGCTAATAAGCTTTTTAAACACATGTTGCAAACGGTACAATTTATCGTACTGGTTCATTATGTTGCACCATGCGGTGTGTAAATTGCACCTTACCAAAAAGCAATCTTTTTTTATTGTTACTTAAATAGAGATCATTAATGAGAATCTTAGGAGAGATAAAGCATTACCCTAATGAATTAACTTAGAATACGTAAATATCAAAAATTTATATTTATAGAACTTGAAAATAAGTTTCACCGATTTGGGGCACATTGGTAACACAGTAACACTATCAAAACAAGTACTACTCATATTATCATAATAGATAGATTTGGCAATCACAAACACCGCAGACGTGAAGTTAAAATAATGTCATTTCACATTTAAGTCGTGTAATAAATGTCAAATGACGTTATTATAACGTTTACGCATGCGGTATTTCTATTAAGTAACAATATTTGTATAATCTAAGCAAAGAAATGACAGATTGACCATATCCCCTCCAGGTAAAGATATGCCTAAGATATTTTAAAATAAACAGAGTATTCACAAAAACGTATAGACTAAATTTATGAGCTAGAATTCAAAATTGTTCACTTATTATGAGTTGCAAAAACACAACAAAATTATATTAGAATCTAAAAAGTCAGATAATTTTATTAATCAACATCCGACTCATCAGTAGACGAATCAGGGTCGTCGCTATTCAACTCAATAACAACTGGTTGAAAAATAATGGCTATGTAAGTTTCCAGATCCCACAATCTATGTCGTGTATTAACTCTTTCTTCCCCTTGGAAAAAGTTTCACTTTGTCCGTCCATTATTATATACAGAGAAATCCATATATCACTGACGTCGTAATGTGTACGACAGAGAAGTGCAAAAAACCTGCAATGCGCATGTTAGAAAGAGATAGAAGCACCACGTTGCCTAGCAATCCGAGTGACGAGGCCACGGACGCACCTGCGGCTTGCCACGTTGCCATCGGTGCACTATTTCTAACATACTTATTGCATGCTTTTCGCGCTTCTGCCTCGTACACATTAGCTCGTCAGTGATATATTTGGATTTCTGTGTATAATCGCATTAGAACTATTCTCGTTAGGCTACGCCACTGGCATTAATGTACAAACCAATGAGTCTATCCCTCATAGGGTGGTCACGTTAGCAGTGGGCAAGGGGTAAGGGTGTCTCACTGTCAATGTTGATCTTCGGGTAAAGAAGAAAGAAGAAAAATTATCTCCTAATCCGTTATAATCAGGGTTCCATCTGAGTGATGCAGGAATAACATCTATCCAACTATCAGATTTGATTTCAGCTAAAATAATGTAATGTTCGATGAGGAATCAGTTCTAGATAGATAGGATGGTCATGTTTTGGAAAGACGAATATAGAACATTCCTTTCTGTCATTTTATACAAAGCTTACCAAATAAACAATAGTTCAGTTAAACCCAGTTTCTGCCACCTAGTCATGATCTTTTATGTTTTCAAGACAACATGGCCACTAACATAAATCGGTAAAAATCCATCTAGTTAAGAAATTTGGTTTCAAAGCAAAAACCTAAATGCTTCGTATTTTGTTATGGCAAGCATAAATATGTAATGATTATAACATTTACTATACTTTCTATATATGCATTGACGTTGCACCCAGATTTATCCATTTTCGTCAATGTAACTAGAAAATTATAATTGTTCACGAAATATCCTTCTTCATTTAACATTTTTAATCATGAATATGTGATTTTCTTCTTGAGAAAGCATATTTCGAATATTCTGCCTGCATGGTTTATTTTATATTCTGATTGTTCTGACTGAATGTACTCTAAAAAAATGGTACTATTTTACGTATATTGAAGCTTCTTAATAGTCAGAAAGCAGCAGGTACTGTTTATGTTATGAATATGTAGGGTGTGATAAAAATAACCAAGTGTTACTATAACCAACAAAAGATAAAGTGACAAATAATTAAAAGCAAGCTATACCTCATCCGAATTCCCAGTTGAATTGCTTGATGAAGCCATAGGGAACACCTACTTAGCAGAATACGTCGTCATTTTTGGGAAACTTTCACTACGAATTTTCACACGTCAAAATGACATAATATCAACTACATTTTCCCCAAACTGAGTGCGCAAAAGTTGTTTTTGGTTCTAGGTACTTCTGACGCAATAAATATCTTTATTGAAAGAATAGTATCCGGGTTAGAGAATTGAGAATATGTCAATTCCCTGTGTCTTGAGCATCGTCGTCGATTGCATGTCCCACACTTTATTGTTGCAAAAGCTCAAGTATTATGGCTTAGATGAAGCTTCTTGCAAATTACATCAAACTTACTTAGAAGGGCACACACAATTTGTTGAAATAAATGGAAAAAAACAGCCCTTGAAAGTGTCGTTAGTGGCTTGCCACAAGGGTTCCGTTCTGTTCTTGATCTTTATGAATTATCTGAACAGATGACGCAACACCCCTGATTTCAAACAACAACAACAAAAATTCCCTCTGGTTTTGTCCACAGATCAAATCCATACTAATGAAAATAGGGAATCTACAGATGTCATGAAGATAGTCTTTGTAAATCTGACACAGATTGGATTCGGCGGAATATTTGCACTGAGAAACGCTGGCCAATGAAACAGTTGTTCTCGAAAATTGTCATTACCCATAATGATTTTTTTAATTATCTTATGTAATTAAATAATTCGGTTTAATCAAACAGAATTTTCTGGAACCAGTTTAATTGAAAGTAATATGCTATTAAACTAATTTGCATTAAAATAGCAAATAATGTTCTTGTTTGTACTGTTTAATTAATTTAGGTGATTTAGTTTATGTAGAAAATGTACATTTAAAACAATTAAACTGTTTATTTGAACCGAGGACTCGGCAAGACTCAACTCTTCATTCGGGAATGATCGGGTGTATGCGACAGGCGCAATGCCGGTAACGCCCTTCGAACTCTTCAGTTTTATTTGTGATCTTCGCGAGGAGCTTCATATTCGAACAGACTCTGCCACAACTAATCCATGAAGTTCGAGATGCTTGGAATGAGGTGCCACAACCAGACAGGAGTGTATTCAGCTGGAGGGTCGCCCAACACATTATTATTTTTTTTTCTTATTACTTGTAAAAAAAATTTCGTGAGAAGGTTATCGTTTCATTCTTGATATAAGACTACTTTAATGCCAAAAAATCAATTTGAAGAAATTAATTTTTTCTGGGTGTAACACTTCTAATAGCACTGAGTATATATATACAGAAAAGTGGAGCCTCCTGTTGGTATAGACTTTTTAGTATTTGAAAATATTCCATGTATAATTTTTGTACACATAATCAAGTGGCCTTATTCAGTTTTAGGTGTTCCTTTTTCCTAACTTCTTAATTTGAAACAAAGAATTGCTTTAATAGAAAAATGATATATTGTAACCTGTTCCTGAATAGACAAATAGTTCGTAAAACTTAATCCCATATAAAACAAGTTCACAACCATTGAAAACAACAAATATCGAATTTCGTTAAGGTTATAAAATGTATATCTTCATTCTAAAACATCAACTATCAAGTTTTCTAAATTTTTTGATATCTATAATATTTGTCAGGGCACAGTTATAATACACATCATTCAATAAAATACAATTAATTCTTTTGAATTACAAATATTATCTAAAAGCCTTCTAAATCTAAATAAAGCAATTCACTTGGACTAGGCAAACACTTTTACCTAAACTGATTAAACACATTTAATACATATAATTAAATTGTTTTACTTACCGCAGGCAAATTCATTGTAATACTTTCTATTAATTTTAAATAAATTGGCATAATCAATCTAAAGCTAGTTTCATGGATTCCAGTAATCTGTTTTAGAAATCGGAGTTAATTAAGCTAATTAAACTTGTTAGCTGTCAAATAGTTGATAAAAAATTTTTATTGACCTAAGTAAACTTTTTATTGGTTTCATCATTTTTTTCTTAGTGTAATCATCTAATCTAAACTAATCAGTAATAAATCAGATAACAAGACTTGTATAACAATATTTTCAAAAAGTGCAAGTAATAAAGGAAAACAATCCACAATATAATAAGTATAATACTAAATAAAATATTATTTTATGCTGTAAATGATTATTTTTCTCTGAAATTACTGTTTTAGTGTCACTTTTTATATGCATATTTTTATCTTTCCGTTATTATAATCATGTACAGTTAGTTAATCATGTAGGTCATACGCTATATCGTAGGTCAAGACTCCTTGAATGAAAAAGTACAAAAATAAGTAGTTTGAAAAAGGGCCACCAAGATGACGAAACATTAATATTTTTTCCATCTTCATATGTGGTTTCATTTAACGATCAGTGAAACATGGAAATGAAAAAATCCGCAAAGCTCACCTCATCCAAATCGTCATCGTCAAATTCATCATCCGACAAATTGACCTCATTGACGTCGATCACGCCCGCTTCTTGAACACTCATGATGAACGTCACTGAAACAACACAAATTATTAAAAAGAGCGGACAAAAAATCACTAATGGTCCACTTACTCGTCGCCATTTTTGCTGAAATTGAATTATAAGTAATCCTCTTTGATTATTGCGACTGACTGAGAGCCGCGAACGTTTTCATGTAAAAGTGAAATCGAAGGAAGATGAAAGTTGAGTATGGTGTGTGTATGTATACTCGTATTATGGATAAACCAGTCATTATAGACAAGAGACATGACAAGGTGTGAGTTTGTGAGACAGAAGTACATATTTAACATATATCGGCCTGTCACTCCCAATCCGTAAGTCTGAGGATTCATTCGTGCAGGAAAAGGTTAAGGTGTAACAGAAATCGCGTTGAAGACAAAACAGATCCTTCGGGAACACCAGCGTTGACATCATGCGATGAACAGGAGAACTCTTCAATAGTGACGGATATCTTGCGACCAAAATGAAGGGTCGCCTATCCATCTGCAGTCAGTTTTCCAAAAAAATTCCCCAAAATATGAATAAAAAAAGGTGTATGGTGTAGGTTTAAATAAATACATGTCGCGTGAGTAAAGTTTAGGGGAATTTTTGGAGGACATAATTTTCTAGGGGATGTTTTTTGGGAAAATAAAACCTTTGGGTACGAGGTCTGTAAATTAAGTGATGAGACTGGCAACGTAGCGTTCGATCTGGCAACACTGGAGGCGCTGGGCTTGGAGCGGGGATAGGCGAACATGTGATCCGCCTTTAGTACAAGTTTGAACTTGCTCGAGTCATTTGGATGTCCGTAGCAATTTTTTTTTGTGAGACCATGTGAAAATAGCAAACTCAAACTACAGTTTTCTTTTACAGTTTGAATAAGGATTCAAATAGCATTTACATTACGGCAAAACAAACACCGGCTCTTGATCGCCCTAGTATTGGTCGGGTTCCGAAAAGTAAACCAATATAAGAACACGAGGACTGCGTCAATATCATTTGAATAGGGTTTAATGGGTATAATATAGGTAAAAACAATATTTAATTAAGTTCACGTATCATGATTTACAAAATGGCAATGTTTTGAAGTTCCTGCCACCTTTTGAAGAACGTACCCAAAACTATTGTTTTGCAATTTTTTTTCTGTGACAAATAATCATTGTACCTATTCACCTGCTCTACACTGTCTATAAAATATATCAGTTATAGCTTATGCTGGAAAATTATATATGTCTCACTAATTAGTTTTCAAATATTTATGTGGATATTTTTTATTCAATTATAAAAATTTGCAAATTTGGCTGATTTTTGAACCTGTCCTGAATCAATTCTATCTGACCTGTTTCAAAGATGTAACCCGCTGCATAGTACTTAGGTATGAGTGCGACCAATGGCTTGAAGATTTAAAATACGCCACTTGAATGATTCCACAAACACTCTTATTAACTACACTATAAAGGCAACTAACCTTAACTTATTCTTTCACTGAAGATACTGTTGCATGGACATACGTACGTTGTTCAGGATCACTCACACACGTTTAGTTGCACTTCTTATCGGGATGGATGCATCGTTTCTACTAATCAAAGGCCATTTTCCTACAACAATTAAGATAATTAATTATGCCAAGCTTCATTAATCGCTAATCAGACGACTTTGCGCTTTGATATTTTATCTAATCTAAAAAACGATGCCTTCGACTGCAATGATGTCTATACGTGATTTAACGGTTTATTGATGGTAGATGAGTAGATAGACATGAGCGTAGATATGTTGAAGGCAAGAGTAATCAAAAAGAATTTAGACGAGTAGACTGACTCAAAACTTTTCAAGAAATCATTTGTGAATGGGTTTCGGCTGCAGTGGTGTGTATACATCGATGGTGGATGAGTAGATAGACATGAGCGTAGGTAGGTTGAAGGCAAGAGGAATAAAATAATTAAGACGAGTAAGCTAGTAATTCGTAATTTTTGGAATACCTCAAAGCCTTCTACCGCTGCCAGAAGTCACAGTATCCTTGTGTGATTGTTTATTTGTAGTTCACACTTTTCGTGCGGTTTTCTTTCATATAAATCCACCGACTAAAACATTTCTGTGCTTCATTACACTTTTACAAATTAACATATTTACGGAATGTCATTTTGAGTACTGTACTTGTAAGATTGTAATTTCACAGTGACGTTTATTAAAAGTACAGTCAGTGATATGTGAAACATATATTTACAAGTGCAGGGTTCTATCTAAATTGAGGGTGATATTTTTGTAGATTGACTCTTTGGTGAGCATTTACTTTACCTGTTTTATATTCATGCAAATGCTTTGAGTAAACGCGATCTACAAGAAAGCACCCACCTATGCATGCACTTAAAGATTATCTTATAATGTTGTTTTTTGCAATAGTGTGAACTGGAATGCGTCACCTGGCTTATCAATAACCAATATAGCATGATTTATCATCAGAAGAATGCTGCTGCTGTGACAGCAGTGAGACAAAACGTGGAAGCTGCGTTCTTTGGGGCGTATTTACATACCATTGAGAAACCTGTACAAATTTCATGGCTCGCTGAGCTACAGACAAACAGACAAACAAAGGTTCTTTCGTCAAAAAGGTGGCATGAAACATGAAGCAAATAAACTAGTATTCTAATCAAGCATATTTTCCACATACTCGTATATGCCTTAGTAGGTGATGTGCACACTTGAATCATATAAATTTGAGTTGGTAAGAACTATTTTATCGTTTTTAGATGAAAACCAGTACTTGCGGAGATTTACTGAATTATTCACACACTATTGATGGTAGTGTAAAAAATTACGAATTCGAATTTTTTTTCTCAATAAAATGTCTTGGTATTGCGGTGTCGCGAAGTGCAACAGTGACATAGCAATTCCAGTTAATTCAAATGTTGATTTGTTGACAAAAGCAAAAAATAAGTAATAATAATAATTTTTAATTACAAAGGGTTTATATTACAGTAGTAGATGTTTGAACAATTAATCATAATTAATGACCTCAAACAAAAAATTATAATAAAATTTAAGTTATTAACAGAATAATTCAATTCAGGGTAAAAAGCGTGGGGTGCATTTTACTACATTTTCATAACTCTCATAGATAGTTGCCAATAGAATGTTTGTGACATTTAATATATCAAGCACCCCACGCTGAATTGAATTATTCTATTAAGAACTTAAATTTTATTATAATTTTATTTTGAGTCCATTAATTATGATTGATTGTTCGACCATCTACTAGTGTAATATAAACTCTTTGTAATTAAAAATCATGTACTACTTTTTAGTTCGGTTTGCTATAAAAGCGTATTTTTTAGTTTTATTAAAATTTTATTTGTTTTTTATTTTTTAGTTGGATTTATCCATTAGTTTTTTTTTTAATTCATATTCGTTATTTGTATTATAATCAATAAGACTATAATTACAAATTGTTTGATCGCATTAAATTCCTTGTTTATCGACTGTAAATTCAAAGCTTTGCTGCTTACCAAATTTTGTTCCTTAAAATAAATAGATTGAAATGTATGTTCAGATCATTTTGTTGTGAATAAGAAGCCTTTTGTGAATCACGGTCATCATATAATATATTATATGAATATTATAAACAGTAACTCGGGTATATTAGACTCATTAGTACCTACGCATGTATAAGGAATGGACAAGGTGAGAATTCACTACCTTGAAAAAGTATCTGCCTCCGCGGTACTGTGCCAAGTGCCCGAACCAACAAAGAGGAAGTCCGAAACTGCACGCATGCGCAGATCGCGCGCTAGCTCTATATCTCTTACTCCTCTACAGAAGATCTATAAATGAATTTATCAATCCTGCCGGTCCTAATAAGGATAATGGAAAACTGTTATCACACACATTTGAGTCACACAAGTCTCCAGACCAGATGGCATCTGCCCAGCATTACTTTGGGAGGGTACTGACATCCCAACACGCAAGCTAAGCTATATCTTCAGGTCTAGCTTGGCGCTGGGGTATATAGCAAGACCGTGGAGACTCATCAGATTGGTTTTTGTACCTAAACCTGGAAAAACAGTGCAGGAAGATGCAAATTCACGCAGGACTATATAAGTCTGATGTCTTTGCCGCTGAAACATTTGGAAAACTGTTAGATATACATGAACGGGATAATGCTCTGGTAAACAGCCCTCTGCATTCGAACCAGTTTGCCTAGATAGCAGGCAAATCGCAGAAACGGCGGTACACCAGCTGGTATAGACAGGAGATTATGCGCTAGAAGCCATGGAAGTGCTACTCTGGACTCTTATAGACATACAAGTCCCTGAACTCAATCTTTAGAGCGACGAGGAAAACTGGCCTCGATGAAACAACATGCAGGAGGATACACTGCAAGCTAAGAGAGAGAAGAGACCTTAGTGGCTCAAGTAACCCGAGGATGTCCGCAGGGGAGTGTACTGTCCCCATTACTGTTTAATCTGATAGTAAATCAGTTAGTAAGGGAACTAGACCAAGACTGACACAGAGCGCTAGGATATGCGAATGACCTCGTTATTCTATCGCAAGGCAAATTCAACACCACAGTCAGAGATAAAATGCAAATGGCTCTGAATGTGGTTAGAACATGAACGTCACACGAGCATTTAAACTCAAGTCCCTCTAAGACATCCATTGTTGTTTTCACCAGAAAGAAGAAATTAGAGGGGCTAGGAGCTCTATACCTTCTGAGAGAACAGGTACAATTGTCGGGGACGTCAAGTGTCTGGGAGTAATACTGACCTGGAGCCCGCAGATCAAATGCATTAGAAGAAAAGCGAAGTCGACTTTAATGTTGACCAATCGCTCTCATGGCAAAACATGGGGATTGAGCCCTTCCATGATGCACTAGATATACATAATGGTGGTGAGACCCATGATAACTTATGCATCTCTGGTGTTGTGGCCAAAGGTGAGACACCGCTCCGCCATTGCAGAACTAAGCAAGGTACAAAGACTTGCTTGCCTGTAGATAACAAGTGCAATGAAGAGGGCTCCAGCTCCAGCACTTGAAACCATGCTGGAGCTCCCACCGATACAATATGTAATAAGGGGGAGGCGACAGTTACAGCCAAAGAGAAGATATGAGCACCTTGGACATAACCAAATAAGAAAACATGTGGGAAGTGACATACTCGATGCGAGGAAAGACCACATAGTTCCCAAGTTTGTATTCAAAAAATACTTCGATACCAAAATAGAAAATCGAACGAAACGCCAGTGGCACAACCTGCAAGGGGAAAATACCTGGTACTTTGACGAGTCAAAAAACTGAACAGGGAACAGGCGCAGGTATATATGGAAACAGGTGCAATCCTGGGCATAGTATACCGCTTCGAAGACACACCTCTGTACATATTTCATGGAGAAGTGTATGCAATCTTGCACTGTGCAAGAGTAAATAATGAGCGAGAGCGTATAACAATAAAATAATCGCCATACACACTGACAGTCAGGCGTTACTCATAGCGTTAAGAAGTCTTAGAGTGACAGGACATTCAGGTAACGCAAGACTTGAAAGGGCGGATGAGCTATCAAGGAAAGGATCATCCACGCCCTATACAGGCTTTTGAGGTACCAAAAACACAAAAAGGAACCAAGCCAAAGAGTGGGTAAGAAACCAGTACAAGAAACATTGGCACTTAGGGACTGGGTGCAGGCATGGGAGAGAATTAATCTCAGGATAATGTCCAAACAAGACTTCGTAATTGCTCTCAATGAGTAGAAACCAAGGTGCAGTTACAGGACTTCTAACAGGACATAATGACCTGAAAGAACACCAGAGCAAAATAGAGCTGTACGATGGGATCTTAGCTGCAGATAATGCGGAAAATGAACAGAATCAACCCTACGTGTCATAAGTGAGTGCGAGGTACTGGATCACAAAAGACGAAAAGACTTTTCGGGAAACCAAAACAAGGACTGAGGGAGCTTAGAACAGTACCGCCAATTGGTACAGAACACTAGACTGCTGGACTGGGCACTATAAATTCGAAGAGCAAGGCACAATAAGCGCTAGAGGCTGCAGTGCCATCAGGGATTTAGGTCGGACATCTCCCGGAAAGGACAAAAGAAACTAGTTGTATGCGTCTATGATATTAAAAATTCTAAGCTTTAGTCTCTTAATAAATATTAATATTATTTGTGTGAATCTCGTACTTGTGTTTATAATTAACAGAATATGATCTAGTCACTTTCCCACGGTCAATTATTTTGCTCATTATGTCAATCACTCCTAAATATAGTTGTACTTCCTCACGTAAAGGTGTTAAACTCCATAATACATAGTAATTTCACTTTCCATGTGCGGTTAAAAAAGAAAAAATGTAATAATGATGGCGTATCGTTGAAACCGGAGCGTGAAGTTAACAAGACTAAGGACAAGCGTCGTGGAAGAAAATGAGAAGGAAGAAGCAATGGGAGAAGTCCAGGAGACCTAACCCGTTTTCCACATAAGAGTGCATAGATTCGTATAGTCATGGTTAAAAATGGATGGCTTCCGGGTAGTTGACCATTTTATTGGATTTGTGAGCAATCCCTTCAAGAGCGAAAATGTATTTATAGATATTGTTCAAGTTGTATGTGTTTTGTTTATTTTCAAGGGAAAACCAGGTAAAAAGAGGGTCGTGGGACTCTTTAGAGACGTCGACGGGGTGAGGACACTTAGCAGGCACTCATCGTCCAGCGAAAAGGCGGTACGCATGGATTTACCCGTCAGAGCCTTTAAATTAATAAATTCGCGCATTTTAACGGTTCGTAAGAGATATGACCTTTTGCGCTTCTGAGATTCTGGTCCATATCTTATTGAACGAAAGGATGTCGTCAAACCACAGAACTCAGAACTTTCATTTTTGTCATTTTCAAGGCTCTCGTGGGCCCTATCAGGGTCAGGAAGTGACAACTCCTGGTTTATCTTATTCAAAACGACGTTATCTTGCAAGAACTTCTACTTATAGACGCCGTGTCTATCACAGACAGTTTTGTAATACTGAATTGCACCTTCGCTTAATTATTTTTAAAACATGTTTTTTATATCATCGTTTGTTGTACAAGTTTATTTAATAACATTTAATAATGATATCATATAAATTATTTTTAGATGCTCTTGTACACGATTGACGTAAATTTAATCACTCTTAATACATGTTGCACGTAAATGAATACAAGTAATTGTATTGAGGTTACTTTTGTTTTTGCTTACATTTACAAAAATGCGAGAGCTTTGAAAGTCCAGATCTGAGAACTCTAAATAGCGGACATGTGACCTTTCTCAAAAGCAGAAACAGTGGCGCCCGCAGGGGGAGGTCAGAGGGGTCTCCCTGGGGATCCGGCTAGACATTAAAATTTTCATATTTAACATAACTTTGTGTACAATTTTGAAAAGGAAAATGTGTTGGCCCTGCTCTTCAATAAGTCCTATGGACGATGTCTTTCACAATAAGTTATCTTGGAGATGGTTGCACCCCCCTGATAAAACTTCCTGCGGGCGTCCATGGGCTGAAGAATCTCATCATCTTAAGGGATAGGGATTGCTGATCCCAAATAAGACTTAGGACCCTCCGACTACCTGCCATGCGGAAATTAATAGCCGGATCGTCGCGGTGTCTACAATTATTGTAGGACGACTTTATGACCTGCTTGATTTTCATAGTTTTTCCTGTCCTTCAGAAAGGCAGGGGTATTTCTAGATTGCTACTGTTCCGTGTCAGAGCTCTATTTTGAGGTAATATTTTCTAAGCCTAAGGCCCGTATCGTCAGTCGTCCCTACAATTGTAGGGCGCCTCTATGGCCTCCTTGATTGTCATAGTTTTCTACTTTTCCGTGTCCGCGCTCGATTTTGAGGTTATGTCACAAATATCTATTTGCATCAAATTGTGCTTGCTTTTGAGTTATATCATGTTTTATCAGCCTGAAATTTTCGGCAATTTAAAAAGAAAACATATCTTCACAATAGGAGAGCGCTGACGCTGACACGGGACAGGTACAATCTAGAAATTTTTGAAGGAGAGAAAGGAGTATGACAATCAAGGAGGCCATAAACGCGCCCTACAATTGTAGGAACGACTGACGATATGGGCCTAAGATGTTTCAGGCTGACGAAACTTGATTTTTATCAGCCTGACACACGTATTGCTGTAGTATATACAAAAAGATTAGGATAATACATGTCAGCTATACAATACAATAAACACTGAGCAATGAAGATAAATGGTTACACGCTTCAAAAGAAACCTTTGCACATATAAGGAAATGCAAAAATTAGTCATATACCTATATGTGAATGCAGCAGATAACAAAACCAATATAACAGTATGAAGTCATCCATACTTGCATTAAAACTTAAATTAAAATGCATTTCTGCACGATAATAGTCACCTCAATGATGAACGAGATGATTAACAGCTTGAAATAATTCAGAAACATTCGTATAATATATATATATATATATATAACCAGATATTTCCTGAGATATTTTTTTCAGTGCACGGATATTAACGCTTCTTACTTAATTGTGTAGTTTAATTTCTTAGTACCTTTTCTGCTGATTTTTAACAACCGAGATTGAGCATTTTTCTCTAAATTACATTCATTTTTAATATCTACAATTTTATAACTTTTGTTCCTTCAGCACAAGCCGAAGAAAATCAAACGCCCCAGAAAAGAGAATATTAACGCCTTTTATGGACATCGCCGACTAGCATTACCATAACTAATACCCATCAAAGCACCTGTTTTGAAATAAACAAAAAGGTACATTTGTCGCCCCTCCCAAAATTTTCCTGACGCTTGTATTACCGAACCTCATAACACCAACTTTTGAAGAGTATGTATCAGAATAAAAGATCACTTGACTTGCCTCAAATTTACATTATTCCTCTGCCAAAATAAGATGGTTATAATAGTGTTCTTACAGTTTACCTAATTTCGAAGGGCAAGTATTACCTTATAATATTATTACAATTTATAATATCTAGAGAATTTTACTTTTGTACAGCAAGCAGGTGCAGAACTAAAAATCGAACCTGTTTCAGAAAAGATGTAATTACTTGTGCTACAACGGAATTATATTTTGAGTTTAGGTATATGCAAAGTCACCTCTTCGAGATATACAAAGAAATTTGCTGTAAGTTGACCAAAAGAAGGTTGTTGAGGATGACAATATCTTCAAAATAAGACCTTACATATCTAGAATGTCTAAGTTTTATTATTTGCTAACCGTGTATTGACAATCCCCTCTTGCTTTGATACTGGTGGATTGTTATTTTATTTTGTTGATATAGCTCGTGCAAAAAATATGTAAAATAACTCACCTATTTGGAATAAAATGTAGAAGTTGAGTACTTCTGGACGCTGAAAGATTCACCGGCACACTGTGATTTTTATCCAAACAGTACGCGCTTCCACCGACTGGCGCATTTGTTTAAACTTATTACGTTATTACTAATGTTTTGGTTAACCGTCAACACAGATTTATATCAGATGAAGGTCAATAATGTTCCAAGCAATGGGAAAAAGCATATACATTAAAAAAGTATTACTTCTCTCTGCTACTGAATTAAAAATATATTAAGTCTTGACTAGGTTTTGATGCTAAACATGTATTATCTATCGATACTTTGTAAACTTTGTTTCATCATCGCTGTTCAATGTCATATGGGTTTTTCAGGGTACGTTATTTTTTCGTCTAACTGGTTAAGCAGGAAAATATGCATAGCCAGTTTTTATATGCTACGTGGGTAAAAGATCTTCTGATATTATGCATAATTATGTTTAATATATGAACTTAACGAGTAACAGCATAATGATTATTTTATTATAGCAGTCTGAAGTACGCTGGTCCATATTTTCAATGATTGTAAATATTATCCGGAGCCGGAGCTCCAACAAAACTCGTATAGTGCTTTTAGCAAAATTATGTTTATATCTACTAACCCTAGTAATTTCTCATCTAATAGATTCTGATGCAGTTAGTGGAAAACCCTGTACATAAATAATTTAATTTTTGTAAAAAAATGTTCTGCCCATTTATTTTTTATCGAGCTAGGGAAAAGGGGGGCAGCTCCCCCTTACCTCCCCCCCACTGGGTACGTCCTTGGGGGAGACTATATCTCTATTTTCTGGCGTTTATTTATACGATTCCACGAACGGTAAGGTGAGTCATAGCATCTTCCTCGATGGACGGCCCTGTCGGTAGGACAGGAAAAATGTAAATGGATAATTCTATGGGCTTCTTTGAGTGACTTGATCTATTTAATATCTTTTTACATATTCGTAACTAACTTTTTTCTCAAAGAGGCTAACTTGTGCCTAACATGATCCTCTATGAACTGATGACAGCGTTGCGTGGGAAATGCAGAGTCAACCTACTTGACGCCATTTTTTCTTTCTTTATTTTCTAAATTCATTTTTCTCTTGGCTCTTAGCATTTTATAACCACTGTACTAAGCGTTTTACGAACTTTTGAAAAAGTATCCAAGGCCAGGTATGTACATTTTTTTATACCTAAACCACCACAAACCAAAGGCCTAAACACACCTATGGTTATCGCGGGGCTATAGGGGAATACAGACTGTGGCTTGCGCGCGCCGCCATTTACAGCATATCGGCACGGGTATTATGTAAAAAACTTGTAAAACGTCAAAAAAACTATAAAATGTCATCTTGCAGACTAGGTAGTTTTTAGGGTGTCAAGCAGTCATTCTACGTCGGCTCACTAGGATCGTTGTGAGCGTCCATCTATCAAGTCCATCACCAGCAGATTGCCTAGCAACGGAGAAGCAGAAAGTCGTGCAATCTGCCTCGTTGCCAATATGTTATACCAGAAAATGTTCGCACAGGCTTCTACAATAGGCTAGGTTACTGTCAAACCCAAGAAGAAGGTCTATTCAAACATTTATTTTAACATTTGGTTCTTTGATGGAAATTAATCAAATGCGGCTCAGAGACATTTTAGCTGCACAGAAATTCTAAGCATTTTTAGCTATATATGCAATGATAGAAGGCATGCATGCCTGGTTTCAGAATTTTCGACAACCTATATAAATATTTGTTTTTTTAGGTGTTGATCCCCATGAACTTTGTACTACGCAAAAAAATACAGCAACTCGCTTGACGAATATTCATAAATCTCAACTGGCTCCCAGACTATACCTAAATATTGCGATCGAAACAGTGCATGACCACGTGCAATTCACTATAAATGTACAAATTGTATAACACGTAGGCAAGGATTTTTAAAACATGCAGGCAATTCTGTCGATTCTGTAGACAGTCGCTTGAAAATCTAGCATCTACTAAAAGCAAAGCGAACACATAAAACAACTGCCAGGCACGATCAGGGTGAACAATATTTTGATTATTTACAAAAAGGGGGGAACAGATGGGGTACTAAACACAGAGTGAGTGAAAGCCAAAGTTTAATATTTTCTACCTTCTGTCTGTCCGGAAGGTTACAACGTTACAACACAATTGGAATCATTTTACAGCATACAACAAAAACATTGAAAAATGTATGGAGCAGAAGTGTAAGGTTAGATAGAGCAAAAACACAAAATAGGATACGTAGTACGTACGTAGAACATAGAACAGTATAGAACACTTGTCGAAATATGGAGCATGTATTGTTGCCTACCTAATGTGATATACATAAGCGTATCATGTTCCAAAGTATGACGATTCCGTTCATAGGCGTACCTAACCGATCCTTAACTCTGCGTTTTCTGTTCGATAAGCTGAAATAGAAACCGAATTTGGTCCTGTTTGCTATGCTCATGCTCACAACGGTAGATATAACATATCCTGTACGTTTTCAAAAATCAAAATCGTACCGCTATTTTCGCAGAGCTTTTGTGTCGACATCCGAATCGCCAAAAGCACAACAAAGATTGTCTGTAAAAAGTATTTGTGTCGCCATACTATGTAGCTTGCTAGAATATAGCCACAATTAAGATTACTGAAACGTTTATGAATGAAACAGGTAGGTATACTTTATCTGAAGTCACTTGAAACACTGTGAAATACCGGGTGCGTTTTATATATCTATATTTAACACGCTCTGTTGCTGCAAAAATCGCCAAATTTCGCAGCACGCCTATGCGTGGACATAGCCAATGAGAAAGCGTGTATTTCAGAGCTCCGAACAAGTGCAGGTGGCTACTGAAAATTGAAACAGTTTAGCCAGTGCCGTGTAGCGGTGAATAAACGTGTTTTCTTTAGTCTGTCCGTGTTTTTTCATAGATTTTATTAGTTTGTGTGTTTTTGACTTTTGAATACTCAGTTTACTTGTTGATTTAATTGTTGTGTTGATTGTTCTTGTGTGTCCTAAATATGGCTCTTTGGAGACCTTGGGAAAATGCTCCAAGCCACGAGAAGATGGTTGATGAACCTGTGCAGGCAGAATTCTTTCATAAAGATTTAGAGGAATAGACCCAAAGAGTAATCCTAAATATGTATGATTGTCTGAAAAACGAAAATCCAGATTCCTCGCAAAATCAAATTTTAAACAGAATTTGTATCCTGACAAAAATCAGTCGGTCTACCATTTATCGGGTTATGAAAAGGGGAGATGTAGTCAACCATTCCTTCCACAGAAAGCGCATAGGGCAAAAATTAAAAAGAATAGACGTGGGTTTTCAGGAAGATATTCGTCGTATAATATACGGATTTTATAAAGAAAATTTGGTGCCCACGTTGGAAATGATACGGGATAAATTATAAGATTATCCTGAAGATTTTTATAATTACAAATGCTTAGACTCACTGCACTGTATTGTAAAACTGTGTGGTTTTCAATACAAAAAATTAGATAAAAGAATGGTGATTATGGAGTCGTCTCGAATCGTTGAATTGCGCCAAGAATTTTTGCACAAAGTTAAAATCTATAGAGAGCAGAAAAGAAATCTGATTTACCTGGATGAAACGTGGTATGATACCCATGATGTTGTGCAGTACGGCTGGGTTGACGACAGCAACAAGTGCATTTTAAATGCACCATGCAACCGTGGAAAACGAATCATTATTCTCCATGCTGGCAGTGAAAATGGATTTATACCTAATGCCTTGCTGTTATCTGCCAAAAATATCAAAGAATCATGTGCCGACTATCATGAGGACATGACCTCCGACTTATTTGAAAAGTGGATAGAGCAGCAGTTAATACCAAACATTTCCCCAAATTCAGTGATTATTATGGACAATGCGCCATACCATTCCCGACAGAAAAACAAAATTCCGAATACAGGCACAAAAAACAAGACATTATTGATTTTATGAAGGATAAGGGAATGGAAATAACACAAAAATCAACCAAAGCCATATTATTGGATCTTATTAAAAGACAAAAATTTGAAAAAGAGTATGTTGTTGACAATCTGCTTTTAGCAAAATCGCCATGAAGTATTACGTCTACCTCCCTATTACTGCATTTTTAACCCGACTGAGTTGGTCTGGGCTGCTTTAAAAAAAAAAAGTAAGAAAACATAATCAGACCCCTCAATTAAGTGAATTGCTATTGGCCACAATAAGAGATGCAGTATCTCATATTGCTGCCACAGACCTATGGAAGCAGTGTTCTAGGCATATTATTGAAAAAGAAAATGAGATGACTCTAGCGACAGCTCCGAAGGCGAGGATGATATATAAATACCTATAATGTAAGTCTTTATATACCTTTTTATATATCTACCTGCTATGTAAATATTTGCCTATGTCAAACGTTGGAATTCTGTAATTTTTCCATTTCTTAACTTTCAGTCAACATAAATTAAACTCCCAATATAAGTATTTTTTATCCCAAATCAAAAAAATAAGAAGATAGTAAAATCCATTTATTGTGATATAAAAACATTATTATTATCGTTCTAAATAAATGACCGCACGCCTATGATACGTCATGAAATTACAAAGGACGCGCCACCAAAGGTTTTTATGCTATTTCAAGTGACTTCAGATAAAGTATACCTAGTCTACCTAGGCAGGTATGTGGTAAGTAGCAACTTAACAAAAATCCAACAAACTCTCGTCTATAGTTTTATACGAGCTCAGCAAAAGAAAACCTTTTCTACATGATCGTAGGTGTTACTATAAAATATTTTGCTTTGTATATTTCTGATCTTTTTCTCTCCGTGGTGGTCTAGTGGAGACCTGACTTAAGTGATGCTTAGCACCCGTGTAGGCATAGCTTTATGGTATTTCCTCTTGTTGGGTTTACTAGAAATTCGTTTATCTCCCATTCTTTCTTTGGTAAGCGTTTTCCATGCGGGTATGACTGTGATAAATGACGTCGTATGTCGTTGATTAGTTCCTACCCGTAGCGTCGGGAGAGCATCGGTCGATGGCCCAATCATCGACGTTTACCGGATGTGACGTCAAGTCCCGTTGCCCATAGCGCGTGGACAAGTAGCTCCCCTTCATTTGCCGAGTATTGATTGGTTGACGTTACCGGCTAATAGGTAGTGGGGGGTGCCGGTATCGATCAGCCGCGTACGCCTGAAAATCGGCGTCATCTTTCTCTTCTTCTCCAGTTGGTGTTGAGTGTGGACGTGTCCTCAGATCAATTGTACGTTATTTAGTTTTATTTTAATATAAATAGTTGAATAAAGTCGAATGGCATCTCAGGATCATCAAATGGAAAACGGAGAAGATTTCTCAAAGGACGTATCAGCTGAGGGCCACCAAAACGGTTCAGGAGACGCTCCGATGGCAGACAGCGGCAGTGCCGACACGCCTGGACGTGATGATGATAGGTAAGTTATCTTAACATTTTGCTTATTAACTGCATTTTCTTCGGTAGTTTGTTATCAATACGTTGATAACATCTCCGACAAGAAATAACTTAGATGCCGAATGCCGACTCTTTATTTGCGACCCCAAAAGCGAACCTTTCGAAAATCTGGGATCATCCAAATAATTAGAGTAAATCCTAAGTATAAAATGTTGTATTTATAGTTATTAGTGATTAAGTAATCTCAATATATTTGTATTTTTGTGATTTTTGTGTAAATTTGCAGTATTTGTCTTTGCAGTCTTTGAAGTAAGGTGACTCGATTTTGCTTGCAGAAAATGGCGGCTGACGTGACTCAATTTGGCGCGCATTTTGAATTCCTGTTCAACCATTGTGACAACCAGAATTCTTTTTTCTCTCCTTACAGCTTTAATTGTCTTTTTGCAAAGTTTGCCCTTGTGTGGATGTCTCATTTTATCAATTCTTTCAACTTTTTTTTTTTTGTTGGGTCTCAAAATCTAAATCGTGAGCGGTGTAGGATGCCAGGATATTAGGATACCTAAACATATCCAATTTAAACATAGTTCCTTTTCTCCAGGTGGCTGAACAGCTAAATGGAAGGATGTGGATTTGGAAAACAACGCGGAGCACGAGGACCCATGGTATTTATCCTTGGGCACTTCTTCTGCCACACATAGTAAACTCAACGATACAAATAAGATTTGGACATACTATCTTATCCACTTCAATTTGATTATTGAAATTTGGTTTACACTTGCAGATTTTGATGATTATAAACTCCAGATTGTTTTGAGATTGCAGATCCAATTGAACTAGGATTCAAACTTTGCTGTTTTCTTTGACTTTTTTACCATTCTATGTAGTTCTAAACTGTAGCTGTAAATTTTAAGCAAAATCATAAATGATAGATTTGCTTAGGTATACTCACTATATACAAACTATTCTAAGACTTATTCTTCTTTTACAGGAAATTGTTTGTTGGTGGATTAAGTTGGGAAACGACAGATAGTAAGTACCTTCACATATTTGATAAATCTTTGAACTGTTGCAATAGACACATCCAAGGAACTGCAGTATTGAGGTGCTTTCTTTCAGCAAATGGTACTGTTACGTCTTGTAGACCTCTGATTTCAGTTTTTTCACTTGAAACTTATATAGGGTAGTCTGATAGATTATTTTAAAACAAAGAAGTGTGCATGAAGCACAATTTTCATTTTCCCAAAAAACTGCATTTTTAGCAGCTATTTCCATTATTTCAACCACCACCTGGCATATGTCATAAGAGAGGTGTTACCGGATTGGGCTCCGCATTTAGAGAAAAATACGAAAAGTGGAAAATTTATATATGTATCAAAGAAACAATAACGAAAAAAGAACAAAAAACTAAAATAAATCTGTAGTGAATTAAAAAGGGATTCCTAATAATTATGTGCATTATTAAGTAGTAATAGTTGTATTGGTGGGGAACCTTCAGCAGCCAAGTGATTAAGAATATGAGGACTAGAAAGGGTGGCAAGCCTGTACCTTGATACCCAGCTTTAAAGCAGGAACTGCGAGGTGGTGAATGATCACTTCTTGTGTGTTCAAAAATATATTACTACTACCTCATAATGCACTTTGTATTTACTACTACCTCATAATGCACTTTATATTTTTCTATAATTTTTCCCTTAAACCTTTTTTAATTTACTGCTGTTTTTTTTTTTTTTTTTTTTTTTTTTTTTTTTTTTTTTTTTTTTTTTTTTTTTTTTTGTTACTTTGTATCTATATGTATATAAATTTTCCAGTTTTCATATTTTTCCCTAAATGCGGAGCAATACTGCAGGCAAGTGCCTCTTATATGGCATGCACAGGCATCATATATGGCAGATGGTAGTGAAAATGATAGGGGACATAGCTACTGAAGATGCTGTTTTGGAAAAAAAATTTCATGAAAAGCGTGCTTCATACACACTTTTTTTGTTTTAAAATAATAATCTATCATACTACCCTCTATAAGTTTCAAGTGAAAAAACAGTGAAATCCGAAGTTCTACAAGGTGCAACAGTACCCAGCAAACATTTGATTTAGATAGCCTCATGACACAGAGTACTGTTACTTGTATGTTTTGATTTTGTCTGGTCTTCCCTTCAATACAGAGGCAACATATTTGTGATACATTAAATTAAGAGTTCACTAGTTTCGTGTATTTTGACAAACATCGTTTTTAATTCTTTTGTTTGCTCTGTGCTGTGAAGAATCTAAAAAAAAAATATATATTTACTTTCATGATGAATGACTAAAGTCAGTTCTGCTACTGACCAATCATTGAAGACAATCCTTTTCTGATACAAAAATTTATGAAATTCAAATTGTGATCAGTAGAATTTCCCAAATTAAAGACTGTCTTAATTTTCAGAGGAACTCAGGGATCACTTTGGACAGTATGGAGAAATAGAGAGTATAAATGTAAAGACTGACCCAAACACAGGCCGATCAAGAGGATTTGCCTTCATTGTTTTTAGCCATGCAGATGCCATTGACAAGGTAGTTGCTGCTGGTGAACACACAATCAATAACAAAAAGGTTGACCCTAAGAAAGCAAAGGCAAGGCATGGGAAAATATTTGTTGGTGGACTGACAACAGACCTCAGTGATGATGACATCAAGAACTACTTCTCACAGTTTGGCAGCGTAAGTATTTTACATTGCTTTCAATGTCTTTGGTGCACCTAGAAATTGCGTCAATTCATGATTACTTTTTTCTAGATTATTGAAGTTGAAATGCCATTTGACAAGACCAAGAACCAAAGGAAAGGATTCTGCTTCATCACATTTGAATCTGAACAAGTTGTCAATGAGCTCCTGAAGACACCTAAGCAGACCATTAAAGACAAAGAGGTGAGTTTTGAATGATTTACCTCTGTACTTTTGAAAAATAAACGACATACTATCTTAAAACAGCTACAATCTGAAATTATTGCAACTTGCATAAAGCTCATCTATGGTCTAAGGCTCTGACTGTACTAGAAATTGTCTAATGGTCTTTTTAAATTTATATAAACTGTTTGTTTTTAATTTCATTTGGTAGATTATTGAAAAGTTTTAAGCACATGTAAGTAGGGCTTTTTTCTGTAGAGGATAATCGATGTATTATATAAACATTGATCATAAACAGTTTCCATCTCAAGCTTGCCTAAATTTTTATTTTTAAAAAAATATGACACTCATACACATACGGGGTTTGTCCGGAAAGTAATAGGACTGAGTCAATTTAAAAAAAATTATTAAGTCAATCGTTACAATTCTTTAAAAACTTTCAAAATAGGCTCCTTCTGCGTCGATGCAGCACTGCCAGCGCGATTTCCAAGCATTGAAGGCGACATGGAAGGCATTCTCCGGAGTAACCTTGAGAGCCGCGGTGCATGCTGCTTGGATCCCCTTTGTCGTCTCAAAATGCTTGCCTTTCATTGGCCTTTTCTAGGCGAGGAAACAAAAAAAAGTCCGGTGGGCCACATCTGGGCTGTAGGGCGGCTGCGGAAGCCTTAGGATGCCGGCCTTGGTCAGGTAGCTGTTCACAAGAAAGGCGGTGTGAGCCGTGGTGCAACTTCCAGTCGGCTACGATGTCTTGTCGGACCCGACTGACCCTTCGTTTGAGTCTCCTGAGCACTTCCACATAAAACGGCATTGACGGTTTGTCCAGGAGGAACAAATTCATGGTGGACGATGCCTTTCATGTCAAAAAAGACAATGAGCATCGTTTTCACTTTGGATTTGCTCATTCTTCCCTTTTTTGGGCGAGGAGACGCCGTCGTGTGCCACTCGGAAGATTGCCTCTTTGTCTCGGGATCATACTCAAAGATCCACGACTCGTCACCTGTGATTACGTTATTCAAAAATTGGGGGTCACTTTCACACATGTTCAAATTTTCTTGGCACACTTCCACTCGCCGCAATTTCTGGTCGTCAGTGAGCACTTTTGGGACCATCCTTGCGCATGTTCAAATGCTGTGTCACAATGTCATGAACCACAGATTTTGTAAATTTAACATCTGAGCAATTAAACGAATACTTAGTCGACGGTCTGAGTTCAAAACTTTGCGCACACGAGTCACATTATCGGTGTTTGTCGAAGTCGAAGGTCTTCCAGCTCGGTCTTCATCAGCGACCTCTTCCCGCCACTCCAAAAAGGCCTGATGTCACCGAAACACACCACTTCTTGCTAAAGCAAAACCTGGGTAAGCCTGCTTGATCATATCAAACGTCGTCTCTGTCGCAGATTTATCGAGTTTCACACAGAATTTAATCGCGTACCTCTGCTCTAACGAACGCTGCATTTTCGGCTTGCACCACTCGCAGAAAGACGTCGCGCGAAAATGCCTGTCCTGACTCCAAGCGCTCGGAGACAACTGATCAGCCGCTCATTCGTTAGCTAGGAACGCTTCTACCGAATCCGGTCGGTGCGCGCACGCTCCGAAGTACAGTCATGGCGGAAGAAAATGAGTCTTATTACTTTCCGGACAAACCCTGTAGATGGCATATCTAGCCATGATTTTTTCAGTTTTAAACGCTCCCCTGCAGTTTGGTCGAAATTTAGTCCCTTTATCAGATGTGCTGATCGTTTTTAAATTTTGAAAATTAATTGAAGCCTTTGATGCAAAATGACTGATGTTATAGTTTGGAGATAATTGGCCTCAAAATTTAAAATCTGACTTTTTTATTCAACAGTGTAATTTAGACTGCTTTTATTATTGAAGGTTATTTTAGATACATATAAGTACCTCCAATAGACATTTTTGTTGAACAAATTGCTTTTATTATCAGAAATTTGAAAAAGATTGTGAAAATCTGACGTAACATAAAAAACGCTTGGTCCAGAAAATGAAAGTAGCAGAAAAGTGTTAATTCAATGATGTTATTCATTAAAAGTAAACATTGTTCCTATAGAGATTTCACTGTTTTCTTATATCAACAATAGTGCAATTTTCCATTTTATTAAAAGAGTATCCATACACCAAATTCATCAATCTGGATCCATCAATCATTTCTCTGAGCATGTATAGGGAATGTCTGGTCCAGTGATGCTTGATGCAGCAATAGCTGAATTTCAGTATAATTCAAATGGCCCCTGACATTTTCTGAATAATTGATTTATGTTTTTTGGGAATTTAACATTTTTAAACAGCATTAGGTTCCCCGGCGGATCTCGTAGGCGGGGCCAGAATGTGTGCATGTTTCATGCACACGTGTTCCCTCGCCAGAGTCCATGTGGTGTCCCCCATTTCCCCTGTATGCCCCTATAGCCCCATGGCGTTTAGGCTTTGTGGTAGTTGGAGTATAAAAAATGCATGTTTTATTTTTTTTCATCAGGTTGACGTAAAGAAGGCAACGCCAAAACCTGACCAGATGGGCCCTATGATGATGATGGGTGGTCGTGGGGGTCGCGGAGGACGCGGTGGAATGCGTGGTCGTGGAGGCCGTGGCGGATACAACCAAAACTGGAACCAGGCGTATGGAGGTGGATACGGTGGTTATAGCCAAGGCTATGGCTACGATGGTTATGGTGGTGGCTATGACTACTATGGCGGTGGTGGCGGATATGGAGGATATGGCGGATACGATTACTCCAACTATGGTGGTTATGGTAAATACTCATCTTCCTCCAGACAGTATCACTAAGTTGTGCGCAAGTGATGTGTCGATGACATTGCCACTAGGCGAATGTGAGATGTTGTATGGTCTATGGTGTGTGGTATGAATGAATGTCCTTTGGGTTTGTTTGTCACCATACAGTGCAAATGCAAATAGCTAGATTTTAAATATAAAAAATATTTACAGTATTTTTATTGATAATTCAACTTATCAAGCTTCATTTTAAGTTTTTGATTATCACCATCAACCGTGTCTTTGACTTGTATGTATTGTATGTTTATGATCTCTATCTGTTTCTGGATAAATTTCTCATTAACATTTTTGGACAGTTTCATCCATGGAAAAAATCTCTGATTTCATTTAATTTGAAAATTTACTGCAGGACAGTATTTTTTTTTTACTTAATTTCCTGTTCCTCCATATGAAAAATTAGCCATATGACAAAATTTTCTTTCATCGTAAGTGATCCATAAAAACATAAAGTTAGACACCCTGTATATTTTCTGATAATCAAAATTGTCTGATGTGCTTTGAACAATGTAAGTAATGATATCTACTTAATCTCCTAATAATCTTTAGAATTTTTTTTCTTGAGTTGGTGTATGTTTTTTTTTTAGAGAGATGTATTTACTCTATTGATTGTAACTGTAGGTTGTTTAGCTTCTATTAAAACATACATATATTACTGTGTAGCAAAAAATCTAAATCATCTTATTAACAAATTTTATGTTTTATGGATCATCTATTGTAGAACATGCAAGCCTGGATTTTATTCATAACGAACACCATGACCGTTATTTTCCAATTTCATAAAACTTCTGATTATTTGCAAGTTACGTGAAATTGGCTGTGAACATGTATATTTTTAAAGTATTTATACAGCATATCAGACTTTATACAGGGTGTGATATTCACACTATATACATAAGTATATGAATATATTTATTTAAGTTTACACTTGTTTAAACTTAAAAATTTTGATAAGTGGAAATACATTGTGAACTATGGCTTGAATAAAGCGCTGTTGAAACTGTAACCCCTCATAATGTTTTCCATTTTCCTCTCACCCACACATACTGATATAAAATTTCCAAATTGGCTCAAACGCAGATGAACAATTTTCCAATTATTTGCTAGATTGATTTTGTTGAGTAATCAAACTAATTCAGTCTTTTAATTTGTGTGCATAAACGCAGATCAAGGATATGGCTATGATGGAGGATACGGTGGTGGACGCACCAACAGTCGCGGAAAAGGTACATGCGATGGTGTTCTAGCACGTCTCACAATCTTTGAACGTTTTTTTTGTTGATACTGCTTTTAAGTTTTTTGGGAGTTCATATAATATACTAGCATGCTCACTGTTAGATACAATTGAATTTGTTGAATCGGAGCAGTTTCCTTTTGTCCATTACGTTACCATTTTTGTAGAGGATGTAGAGGTTGATAAGATATAAGCCTTCATTAGGCTTTATTAAACGTTCTTTCAGCTGAACTTGAACTATCAATGGGACAGTTTAGCCAACATCCTGCAGTGCAGTGCTATATACTGAATAGCTGTGACAGTTTGCAACTTTAACCAACATGCTGTCAAATGGCTACTACTATTCAGCATAAAAGCCTTGCTCTGCTGGACTGCTTTATATTGGCTGAATGATCCCATTGTGAAATATTCTGCAAACAGAATTTCATGTTGGGCAGCAATTGTGAAATACTTGCCCTGGAGTTTATATCTCTTGTATAGTGAGAAGAGAACCTGGGGCATTAACAGTGCCATGAGAGAGCTCCAGATATTTGGAGCAACCATGGCTGAAAGGTATGTACCCTTGTTTCCCATGGTTGGACATGTAAACCTAAACTTTTGAAGGATCAGTAATGTGGCCAATTTTTATCTATTTCTTGTGATGGATAATTTTTCTCTGCTTCTGTTGCTACCTTATCTAGACCATCTTGATGACCGTTAAGGTGGCACGTCCTTTTTTTGTTTTTAGATTTCTTTTCATCTTCCTGTTTGCAGCAGTATTCCAAAAAATGTTTTCATTTATTTTTGTCAAAAAATACAATTTTTCTACAATCGGAACTTATAAACAAATATAAATACAGCTCTGAAATTATGTGTGAATATTCCTCTTTTATGGAAGAATGTAATGACTGATTACTTTTGTTCTTATCACTTCAAAAAATCTATGATTTTCTTTAAGCCTCGTCTCGCAGCAAGTTAAGTTTACAAGAAAAGCAAAGATTTTTCAAAAAGGAAAAGTGATGAGAACAAAAGTAATCACTCGTTTCATTCCTCCATAAAAGAGGAATAGTCACACACAATTTCAGAGCTGTACTTGACTAGTTCCGATTGCAGAAAAAATGCACTTTTTGACAGAAAAAATGAAAACAGTTTTTTAGTCATCTCTATACACACCATGAAATTATCGGACGGAAAGGACTTAAATACTGCTGCAAGCAAAGCAGCAAGATGAAAAAAAATCAAAAAGAACGAGCCTCCTTTTAACAAGCATGAAATAACACTTGACATGTGAAAGCAGTGCTATTTAGTGGACAACTTTTAGTTGTGCTATGCGAGCCTGGTCATTTATGGCATTTGGCTTCTATATCTTTACAAATTGAAGAGTTGTTAATGGGCAAAAGAGCTGCTAGAATTCACTGAACTACATGACAAGCTTGTAGACAATTTAGCAAAGTTATACTTCCATTTTTGACAGTATTAGCAGCCATAATCTTGTCTTTCCATTTAGATCTGTTAGGTAGACACTTGTATTGATGATGTCTGCGAAATTGCATTGTATAATGTTGGACACCATCAGGACAAGAAATGTGAATTGTTGCTATAAACGTAACCTGCGTTCTTGACAGCCAATATAGCATATTTCTATTTTTTTTATTTTCCAAGTACCATTTCAGCAAATATATTTATTAAAAAAAATATGTTGAAGACAAATAGTGGCAATAAGGCACGGCGCAGGTGGCGAGATTGTTTTGAGTTATGAAATTAGTGAGTAGGATTGGGCTTAGTATAAAAATTTTTATGACTGCTATTTCTTTTCAGGTTCCGGAGGATACCAAGGTGGCAAACAAAGAGGTGGTGGTGGTGGGGGTGGACAACGTCAACAGAGGCACCAACCTTATTAAATGTGCAGTCTATGTGTGATTTTGGGTATCATGTTCTGGTGAGTAATTTTTTTATACTTCATTTCCTTCCAGTTTTGATGTATTGAATTTAAAAAAAATCCTTATGAAGGCATTTTATCTTTTCATATCCAAATGTTCGTGTTTCTCTATATTGTTGTCATTGTTCAGGAAAAGATTTTATTAGCAAATTATGTTTGCAACATGTGAGAATGTCGTGATTTTTCTAATGGTAATTATTTTCTTTTGTTTCAGATTTCGTATCTCATAATTCAGAGGATATTAATCATTCCACTCTCATTGTCAGCAAGCTAACTGTGTACAAAAACATACGTTGAAACCTGCTGGAAAGTTCATTTTAATTTTTGATACAGGAATTTGAAAAGGAACTACTACCATACAGATTGAAATGTCGAATCATTTTGTGTCCTACTGTATTGTCTTATTTAAAATAGTATGATGTAAATGTAGAGGTAAGTTTATTATAATTTTTTTTTGTATGAGTGCCGGGAGGCGTTGTGTACTTCCATTTGGATGAAATAAAAGTTTGTGTATATAGAGGATCTTTTAATTTACCTTTGAAACATTTAGTAGGGTGAACATGCCAGTGGCGACAGTTAAAAAGATGGAATACAAAGTGTAATTACAAAGTTTGTGTTTAAGCTGACTGAACTATATTTGGAGATGGTCATTTAAAAACTTACCATCACGGATTAATCTAAAACCATAATATCGTTGAAAAAATGGCGGATTAGGGTTGTGATTTGGTTGTTGCCACGTCGTTAACGTTGGTAGTTTCCATTTTAAATTATAAACGAATTGGCAAACCCTAACGGACAACATTTTGAACAATTATTGAAATAAAAAGTGACATTTTCTTGTTTTTGTTTTCTATCTGAACAAATTTAGGATTTTTCTAATTTTCTCGAAAACGAATGACCGATTTTAAAAAATCAAACGTCAAAATAAAGGACCCTGAGGGCAGAGGGTGAAAGGGGGTAAAGTAGTTTTTGGTTAAAAAGCTGATCCCCTTGACAAATCATTTGACTTGTCTCGGCGTTTTTTCTTTTAATCAGTGGTTTTCGATAAATCCGTGGTGGGAAGTTTTTCAAACGAACACTGTATTAACTTTTCGCCAACACATTGCTTATAGATATTCGTATAATTTATTATAAACGTAACTAAAAAGATAAAAGATGGTATTTTGCCAGCAGGTGCTACTAGTTGGCCAAGCAGTTTCCAATTGTTATACAATATTAATTTGATTAACAAGTTTTAACCAGAAATGTATTAAAAAAATATGTGATAGTAAAATATAAATTTCGAATGTTAAGTCAATACTTTGAGGAAACAGAAATTAAACACACTCGTACTAAATCTCAATATATGTAATAAATAAATTTATTTTTCAATCCTGCATTGTCGACTTTGAACTACCATACTCTTGCATATTTCAGGCAATCTCCACAACACAGCTTCAACTGTAACCTACCTTCATTATACAGGGTTTTTCAAATTCGACCCTCACCATTGAGATCACGGAAACTGTAAGAGACATGAAGTTTAAATGGAGACAAAGTTGCGTATTTAGGTACTCGACAAAATGCCGCTTACAAAGTTTCGAAATTCGGAGTACTTCCAGATAGATTCGAAAAAAAAACAGATTTTTTTCTGAGTTTATTTGCAGTGAGATTTCGTCTCTTGCTCTCCAGTATCAATCAGTTCTATTTTTTCCTGAGGATTTTTGCACAGATGCATAGAATTAATTCTGAATCCAAAAATGTATAATACGTCATACATTGACATTTCCAAACCTTGGTTATTAAAAAAAAGAATTACGGGGGCCTTGAAATTATCAGATTATATGTTTTGCATACTGGATTCATCCCAAATTCACTTTATTTTTTCATGACTATCCTAAACGAGATTCAAAATCACTTGTATCTTGTCATTGTTACCTATTCTCTTCTACATGATGGTAGTTAAATTTTCAATTCAGCATTTTTTCTTTTGACTAGGCCAATTTTGTTTTTTCATTTGGATGCTATATTGAAATTTTGTGCATTTAAATGAACCTTTCAGTCCTAAATTCAGGTGTATTTCCTTAGTTTGCCATGAATTTGTTGTTGAATGAAAATTGTAAAAAAACAAAAATGTATGATGAAACCTGGAAACAAATAAAAATGTGATTGATGGTAATAATAATAAGCAATGACAAATCATAGCAAATGTTGAAATTGTCATTTATTTTGTAGGCAATGCCTGACTATGCGTTGTTTTTTGCTCAATTAATTTTCCTTCTTTTTTCTGTCTTCCCAACTGTTGCTACATTCAGTTTGAGGTCTGGTCTGGTATACGAAGCAAATGAAATCTAATAATTCAAAGGCCTATCTAGAAATTTTGTTTTTCTTGAATAACTAAGTTTATATACGCATATTTTGAGCCAGAATTGAAAATTATTCATCTTTAAAAATGAAACATGGCGTTCTTAAAAAAAATAAAGTTGATGCTGGAGGACAAAATGTCTATTGGAATTCTAATTATGTATAATTTCTATAATTCTCCCCTACAAGATTGTAATCTTGTAGAGGAAAAAAAGTGGCAATGTTGAAGGATATTTTGAAATCCAACTACAATTGAATCGGTAAGTGAAAGAACAATACAAGTGCTAAAAATTGCAATTTTACCTGAGACAGTCAAATTGTGTAAAACTCAGACTAGTGAAAGAATGGTATAATGTATGTTCGGTGTCAGTCTGCTTAATTTACGCCTGAATGAAAGAACAGTACACGTGCGGCGCTTGTACCGTACTTGCACTCAACCGCCAGATTGTGCCGTAGACCCTGTCAAGTGAATAACAGAAATTACCGAATTTCACTTATTTTGTGACGAGTGTCCTGGGCAAAATCGCAACCACACAATGGTATACTTTATCTGAAGTCACTTGAAACACTGAAATACCGGGTGCGTTTTATATATCTATATTTAACACGCTCTGTTGCTGCAAAAATCGCCAAATTTCGCAGCAAATATACGTATAAGATATCAAAGGCAGTTTCACCGGTCCACGTGGAGTAAAGCACGCCTATGCGTGGGCATAGCCAATGAGAAAGCGTGTATTTCAGAGCTCGGAACAAGTGCAGGTGGCTACTGAAAATTGAAACAGTTTAGCCAGTGCCGTGTAGCGGTGAATAAACGTGTTTTCTTTAGTCTGTCCGTGTTTTTTCATAGATTTTATTAGTTTGTGTGTTTTTGACTTTTGAATACTCAGTTTACTCGTTGATTTAATTGTTGTGTTGATCGTTGTTGTGTGTCCTAAATATGGCTCTTTGGAGACCTTGGGAAAATGCTCCAAGCCACGAGGAGATGGTTGATGAACCTGTGCAGGCAGAATTCTTTCATAAAGATTTAGAGGAACAGACCCAAAGAGTAATCCTAAATATGTATGATTGTCTGAAAAACGAAAATCCAGATTCCTCGCAAAATCAAATTTTAAACAGAATTTGTATCCTGACAAAAATCAGTCGGTCTACCATTTATCGGGTTATAAAAAGGGGAGATGTAGTCAACCATTCCTTCCACAGAAAGCGCATAGGGCAAAAATTAAAAAGAATAGACGTGGGTTTTCAGGAAGATATTCGTCGTATAATATACGGATTTCATAAAGAAAATTTGGTGCCCACGTTGGAAATGATACGGGATAAATTAAAAGATTATCCTGAATATTTTTATAATTACAAATGCTTAGACTCACTGCACTGTATTGTAAAACTGTGTGGTTTTCAATACAAAAAATTAGATAAAAGAATGGTGATTATGGAGTCGTCTCGAATCGTTGAATTGCGCCAAGAATTTTTGCACAAAGTTAAAATCTATAGAGAGCAGAAAAGAAATCTGATTTACCTGGATGAAACGTGGTATGATACCCATGATGTTGTGCAGTACGGCTGGGTTGACGACAGCAACAAGTGCATTTTAAATGCACCATGCAACCGTGGAAAACGAATCATTATTCTCCATGCTGGCAGTGAAAATGGATTTATACCTAATGCCTTGCTGTTATCTGCCAAAAATATCAAAGAATCATGTTCTGACTATCATGAGGACATGACCTCCGACTTATTTGAAAAGTGGATAGAGCAGCAGTTAATACCAAACATTTCCCCAAATTCAGTGATTATTATGGACAATGCGCCATACCATTCCCGACAGAAAAACAAAATTCCGAATACAGGCACAAAAAACAAGACATTATTGATTTTATGAAGGATAAGGGAATGGAAATACCTCAAAAATCAACCAAAGCCATATTATTGGATCTTATTAAAAGACAAAAATTTGAAAAAGAGTATATTATTGACAATCTGCTTCAGCAAAATGGCCATGAAGTATTACGTCTACCTCCCTATTACTGCATTTTTAACCCGATTGAGTTGGTCTGGGCTGCTTTAAAAAAAAAAAGTAAGAAAACATAATCAGACCCCTCAATTAAGTGAATCGCTATTGGCCACAATAAGAGATGCAGTATCTGATATTGCTGCCACAGACCTATGGAAGCAGTGTTCTAGGCATATTATTGAAAAAGAAAATGAATATTGTGTTTTGCCTCCTGTAAATCCCGTTGTAATTCCTCTACAAGATGACTCTAGCGACAGCTCCG